TAGATGTGCACACAACAGCCAGACAATATTTCAGTCTGATTTCAAATAAAAATGCATAAAAATGTTTAATTATAATTTGTATTATTACAAATCCAAAATCATCCTGTCATTACCACCACATCCAATTTAGAAATATCTATGAAAACTCGTCAATTAACTTTAACCTGTAATTCAATAATACTCCGAATGAAACACTGTACCCTTGAAACATTACTTTTCCTGCTTTCAGTTTTTGAAATTCAGTCACTAGTTATGCTAGATCCAGTTTTCCAGCTATTTCATGCTCGATTGGCATTGTGGCAAGTCCTACAAGTCTCTCTTGCACCATTGTTGAACGCAAGATGTGTTTTTGTTATTATCAATTTTAACTTTGAGAAGCTTCGTTCCCCAGACACTCGTTCGACTGGCTGATGAATTTTTATAATATATGTTAAGGTTTGTCATTATTGTACAGCCTGTGTTATAACAATCATCTTGAGCATAATCCAGCATTGGACCATCTGTTTTTGACCAAGGGAGATGATATGACTCGAACTACAGGTAACCTGACACTGTATTATAATGTAGATTAATATTACAAGAGATTTAAAGCTACTTAAATTCCCATGGACGCCCATGATCTTCAGTATGCAAGGGGTCGGGAAGTGATATTTTTGACTATCTGATTGTCTTTCTGTTTGAAAGTGTCTGTCTGATTTCCTTACTGTCTGGCTGTCTGTTTGTTTGTGGCTGTCTCTCGATCTGTCTATCCGCTTGTCTGTGTCCGTCTGTCTGTTTGACTCTTCCTGTTTGTGTGTCTTTAGGCCATGTTTGTCTCTGATCGGAGATCTCAATAATTTAATACATAAACAAGTTACCAACATTTAGGGGCCGGGACGTGCCACTCACACACCCACACGAACTCTCTCTGTTTGAATGTACGCTACTAACATTACTGTACTGAATTACAGACCACCCGCCCCCTCACTCACCTACCCAAGAACTCACCCACCCATTCTCTTTCTCGTTTCTCAATCCGCTCGTCCTGGTGAGGGTTGCAGCGGCAGCATATTGAGTAGGGTGGTCCAGACCGCCCTTTCTATGGCAACGGACTATGGCTTTTCCTGTGGAATTATCAGGCGTTCCCAGGCCAGCCGAGATCTATAGTGCCGACAGGGGGTCCTGTGCCGGCCATGGGGTTTTCGTCCAGGGGGGAATCCTTACCAGATGCCCGAACCACCTCAACTGGCTCCTCTTGATCCGGAGGCTCTCCTGGATTACCGAGCTTCTCACCCGATCATGGAGAGTGAGCCCGGAAACCCTGTGAAGAAACCTCATTTCAGCAACTTGTACCCACGATCTCATCCTTTCAGTCATTACCCAAAGCTCATGACCATAGGTGAGGGTGGGAACGTAAATCGACCTGTAAACGTAGAGCTTTGTTCGAGAACTCAGCTCCCGCTTCACTACCACTGAATGACACAGCGCCCGCATCACTGCGGAAGCCGCACTGATCTGCCGGCCGATCTCCCGCTCCCACTTACCATAACTCGCGAAAAAGACCCAAGGCACTTAAACACCCTCAAGGGCAGCTGTTCCTCCCTCACCTGGAGAGTGCACTGCACCGTCTCCCGCGAGTGAACCATGACCTCAAATTTGGAGGAGTTGATCCTCATCCCAGCCGCTTCACGCTCAGCATCAAACCGTTCAAGTGCATGCTGGAGGTCATAGACTGAAGAGGCAAAGAGGACAACGTGATCTACTAAAAGCAGCGACGCCACCTCCATGCCCCTGCACTGGATACTATTCATACCTCAGTTGTGCATTGATATCCTCCTGTTCATGAAAATCACAAACAGGAGTGGAGACAAGACACACTCTTGACAGAGTTCAACACCCACAGTGAACGACTTTGATTTAACACCAAGAATACAGACAGAGTTCTCACCCCGGGAATAGAGGGACCGGATAGCACACAAAAGTGGCACCAGTACATCCTACTCCGTCAGCACCTCCCACAAGACATTCCGGGAACACGGCCATATGCCTTCTCCAAGTCTACTAAATAGAGGTAGACCGGAGAAGCATACTCCCATGACTTTCACTTCAGTGACTGCTTGGCAAGCTGATTACCTCTCAATTGAGTGGGTAGGCCTTTTTCCGAGCATAGCTCAGAAAGCCTCCTTCAACTTGACAGCTTCCCTCACCACTGGTGTCTACCAGCGGGTCCTAGGGTTGACGCCATGACAGGCACCAACTGCCTTCAGGCCACAGCTTTTCTCAGCTGCATCGACAATCCAGGTCCTGAACATGGTCCACTTGAACTCAATGTCCATAACCTCATCTTTAGTAATAGTCTATCCACTGCTGGATGAAGGCATCTACAAGCCATTGTCATCCCTCATGGTCTTGCTCCTTCCCACAAGCGAATCTCGGCATTCAATCTCTGTGATGGAAATCCTTACGGGCGTTTTGCAAATGTAAGTGTTGTGGTTGGTTTGATCGAAATATATAAGGAAACAATTTACGACTTAAATACATTGATGTGTGAGTGTACCCAACCACAATTGCCAGTTTGAAACCCAAAATCAACATATTTTATAAGACCACAGTATGGTATATATTTCCATTTGTTGACCTACCACAATTTAATATATATTTAAATAGCAACGTTTCAGGAAAATGCTACGTCGATATAAAATACTTGGAAACTTGCAGTGACTATTCTGCACTGGTGAGTCATAAAAAGAACAAAAACGGTCCACAATTATTATCTTTGTTCACTGCTTCCTGTCAATAACATTTTCTCAAATTTATTTTGATGGTCATCTTAGACAAGAGGATCACTGAATTTTTGTCATGAAATGTTGATCGTTTTTGTATATGCCCAGGGGCTGTGCTTTTTGTGTGATTTGAAACATGGTTTTCCGGCCTAAACTATTATTCTATTGAGATGGGGTTTTTATCGTAATTCACAGACTTAACAAAACCTCTTGTGAAGTTGTGACTAGTTTTCTCTTTTTCACATACAGTACAAGTATTGTGTGCATGTTAGTTGAATGCGGGTTTTTTCCTGGATATTGTCGGGGAGACTTGCTGATTAAAATTGAATTCTTAAAACTACAGTTTGTGCGAGATTACTCTAAACCACTCCCATTGATATCAAGCAACCATATTTCAAATATTATTTCCGTTTGTTACAGTGTGTTGTTATCAAACGTTCTGCTAAGCAATACTTTAACACATGAATCTTAGTTCTTATTTCTTGGTCAAATATCAAATTATATTTATAAATATTGATGGCTTTGAAAGTGAGATCCTTCCTGCACTGACAGATCCAATCCCCATTTTGTATATGTTACTTCAGAGGTGGCTAAATTATGAGCACCTCTGAGATATTTAGTATTCATTTGTACAATGAACAAGGGTCATTGCACAAAACGGTCTCTTTATGCACGATTTCCTTTTAAGGCAGTGCTATTATCGTTATTAACATGTGCAGTATATTTTTTACTTTTAAATAACATGGTGACGCGAACATGGGCACCTGCAATGCAGGTTGTTAAACAAAACTGACCGTGTGCCTTGTGCATTTGTCTCGCCCACCCCCCTCAACAAATATATATCACACTGCACATGCTGCTTGCTTTTTAGCTTGTTGAAAACTGGTTCCTAATTTACAAGTACAGTAGTAGCTTGTCAACCTACTTTGCAAGAGCTCTTTGTAGTATTTTCAAAACTTCAACTTGACGGTCTACGTAATGAGCGTTTGAAACGACAATTCTGTTTATCAATTGCGAAAGTCAGCAATTGGTAAATTGTAAGAAATGTATCTTGATTTGAAGCTTTCGTGACTGCAAGAATCCATACTCTTTGGTTCTTTCGGTAAAGTCACGTAGGTAGAAAATAATAGATCACGACGTTTCGATCGCAACACAAGCGACCGTCATCAGGTGAGACAATCACAGCATCTATAGATCACGACGTTTGCAGTTTCCCTGCTGTGGTGGTGGTGGAGGAGGAAGTGGTGGTGGTGGTGATGGTGGTGATGGTGGAGGAGGTGGTTGTGGTGGTGGAGGTGGTGGTGGTGGAGGTGGTGGTGGAGGTGGTGGTGATGGTGGAGGTGGTGGTGGTGGTGATGGTGGAGGAGGTGGTGGTGGTTGTGGTGGTGGAGGAGGTGGTGGTGGTGGAGGAGGTAGTGGTGGTAGTGTGGTGGTGGAGGAGGTGGTGGTGGTGGTGGTGGAGGTGGTGGTGGTGGTGGAGGAGGAGGTGGTGGTGGAGGAGGAGGTGGTGGAGGTGGTGGAGGTGTGGTGGTGGAGGAGGAGGTGGTGGAGGTGGAGGAGGTGGTGGTGGTGGTTGTGGTGGTGGAGGAGGTGGTGGTGGTGGAGGTAGTGGTGGTGGTGTGGTGGTGGAGGTGGTGGTGGAGGTGGTGGTGGAGGTGGAGGAGGTGGTGGTGGAGGTGGAGGAGGTGGTGGAGGTGGAGGAGGAGGTGGTGGTGGAGGTAGTGGTGGTTGAGGTGTGGTGGTGGAGGAGGTTGTGGTGGAGGTGGAGGAGGTGGTGGCCCTTTGTCTGACTTCTTGTCGCTGTTGTGATTTATTAAAATGAGCTGCAACGGGGTCATTTGATTTCGCAGCGCGCATTGGCCGGCGGCGTCACTGGAGGATGTTTTTTGTTGTTGTTGTTGTTGTTGTTTACATTCTTTGGGTCTTTCGGTGAAGTCACGTAGATAGGTTCATAAAAAATTATAAACAGAAACTACGACGTTTCGTTCGCAACGCACGCTTGTGTTGCGATCGAAACGTCGTTTTTTTTGTGTGTTGCGATCGAAACGTGGTAGTTTTTGTTTATTATTTTTTCTGAACCTATCTACGTGACTTTACCGAAAGACCCCCAAAAATATGAATTGCTGCACTCCCAAGAAAGCTTTAAGTCAAGATTGCGGTTGCGGTTGTTGTTGTCGTTGCGAGCCGCGCTTATCCGCGCTGGGGAATACAAACGGCGATGACGTCACGGCTCGGCAACCCACGGCCGCTGACGTCGTCGCCGCCGCCTCCACAGCCTCAGCAGCCGTGGACGTCTTTTTCTTTTTGCTCTTCTTACGCAGAGAGGGTTTTTTTCTCTTTCCTCCACCCCCTCTCGTCTCTTCGTACTTTAACCGTAAGCAATGATTTTTTTTCATTTCTCAACTAACACGCACGCACGCTTTTTCGCCGACGTTTTAAAATGAACAAACGTTGCGCTTTTAATCTTTGGCGTCGAGGTGCGGGATGTTTTTTTCGCGCGCGTTTCGTTATTGTGTTGGCCGCTTCCACGCACCAAAAAAAAAAATCTTCTTAAACGAGGCCCACCCTCCTCCCACCCCTTACCCTACCCTTCTGTTCTGTGGTTATTCTAACGGGACTCGGCGGCGGGGAGAAGACCGTCGTCGGTGTTGTGTTGCGCAACAAACGAATAAGCAACGCGGACTTTGACGACGAAACCCTTCGACGATTAACCGTAAACAATTGTGCCGATGTGTTTGCCGTGTCGTGTTGTCTTTGAGTGATCGTCGACTGCGTGGCGCACATCTCGATTCCGCGTTGTTTTGTGTGTGCGAAGGACTTTTGCGAGCCACACCGCAACCCGTGCAGAGATGGCGTTGGAAGGAGGAATGGCGTGCATCAAGTACTTGGTGTTTCTCTTCAACCTGTTGTTCTGGGTGAGCACGTGGATCATTGGGGTGGCTACGTGTCATTAGCCGCTTCATCCAACACCGCATCCGCATCGCACGACGAGAGAGAGAGAGAGAGGCTTCGTCACCCTCCGTCGTTCACCGCAAAGCCATCGTCACGGTGGCAATTGTCAACAAGTGCCCCTTTCGCAGCGTGGTGCATGCATGTTACACGGCGTCTTGCCAAGATTATGCAATGCTGTCTTCATGTGGCGCTCAAGTCTGTGCCGTAGTCACGAGGATGTTGGCTGATGCGTTCATTGTTGCTGGTTTTTATGATTTTTTTAAAAGCATCGCTGCATTTGTCATCACTGCGAGTGTGAATATTCTCGGTTTCTCGTGACCGTGAGAATAATTAGTCGCACTACCATAATGCCATCATGACGATTACCATGGTGCGAAAATCGTATGATCACCAGCACCACCACCGTGTGATTTCTTGTATTTACCATGATCGTGCACAAATACTTCGCTTTTTCACTCTCGTCATTATAACCATGATCACGCAGAAAAAACACATTTACATTGTGACAATGAAAGTCGTCCGTCTTAACGCCACCAACATCCACATATCACGACCACCACAATAATCGCGTGCGAATACGATCCATTATCCATTTTGACCTGTCACCCACTCTCACCGCATTCATCAAACCAACTCGCTTATTGCATCAGTTCAAACTACTGTGTTATGATCTTAAACATTTTTCGGTGCCAACAACTCGGTCACTCGTTGCCGTTATCATCGTCACCCATCACCGATCACTTTCATTAATCATATACCATTCACCACCTTAAAATCATCATCACAATCCTTTCACCATCTCAGAATTCATATTTGGTTCATCACACTTATCACCAAGTTTAATCGGCAACGTACAGTACATTATTTGCCATGTGTTAGGTGTAATATACAGTAGTTATTGTTGATCATAACCTTTATTTAAAGCCAGATGAGAATTCTCTTTTGAAATAACAATACCTGTCCTACGTTTGTAATAAATCCTGGAATTACAATTCATATGTAGTAAGCTTGTGTGTATGTATGTTTAGGTAATTGGTTCAAATCAAATAACAGTAATACCTTAATGTGTTGTGACAATGGTAAGTATTTGAACAATATATTTACAACCCTTTGTAAATAAATTGTTAAATATAGGCTTATTTACAGCATGTTACTAATGACGCTTGTTAATTATACTTTTCTACGCTAGTCATTGTGGGTTGGTGAGAGATATCACCACTGATTTTTATCAGAGGCAGGGAATCGAACTCAGATCATAAAGTGCAGTAATCTCTACCAATGCACGGAAATGAAAGATAGCCTATCCAAATATCCCATAAAATACAAGATACAAGGTGGCCTATCTAAATATGCTTATCTAAATAGGCCTATCTAAATAAGCCATCTTGTATTTATTTGTATTATAGTTAGAAAAAACCCCAATTCAAATTCTTGCTAAGTGCTCTCTGACATGAGAAGCCTCTAAACTGATTGGAAGAGGTTGCTGCATGCCAAACATTTGATGTGTGCTTGATGAATATGTTATGGTAATCCTGCATCTACAGTGTTTACATCGTCACCAATATAATTAATCAGTCAGGTTAAAAAAAAATGTGAAATTTAATTTAATGTTATCAATTTATAACCACAAAAATACTTTTTCATAAACAGCCATTCATTTGTACTAATTAACAAATGAATGTCATCAGTCAGATTTCACAGTGTTTCCCTATTTCCCAATATTTCGGTCATAAATAATACTTTAAATGCATTGTGAACTCATTATTGAACATAAAAGTAATGCCATGCATAATATTTTTTCATTAGTAGTGAAACATAATAAAATAAATGTAATGATACATTAGACATGATTACCACAGATACATTTTCCAGTAAATAATTCCTGAATCAATGTAAGGCAGTGGTTATTTAAAAAGGTATAAATCCAATTATGGATTAATCTTGCTGTTTTGAATAATTTAGAAATTATGTAAATGTCAGTTATGTCAAGAAAAAGATACAAACTTTAATTTGTACAACATGTGTTGGTCAAAGTTAATTCCCTAATACAATCAAACTATTTTAGATATTCATGGGTAAGACAGCAAATGCTGGTTTTAAATGTGGCAGACAGCCGAATGAGAGACTAAAATTAGTGGCATCTTTGAGGGCAGACCACTCGTACAGTAATCAAGGAAAACATTGCAAATGACATTTCCCACCATCTTGAAGCCATGCCTTGAAATGAATGGGGTAGTAACCTCATAATATTAAACTTTAAAACAACTTACTGTCATTTCTGTTTATGCTTTTACCAGTAAACTAGAATGATATATGAACTATTATCACTGCTGCAACAGTAATAATAGCTATAGCAGTGATAATAGCACATCAGTGATACAAGGTTGCATATTTTACAAGGTGGCATCTTTTCATATTCTAAAGTTACGTGTTGAAAGTACATGGCCTGCAAGTATTGTGTGTAATTCGCTAGATGCCATGTGGTCAACACTTTAGAATGCATATATTTTACTAGAAAAAATGTGATTAGTTTCCAAATAATTTGTTGATGGCAATCTCAATAAGTGTGCATATTTAATCTTACTGGTTTATGGTGTTGTAAATTACAGAAAGGCATTGCTTACAGTGCAAGCATTACACCTTAGCACATGGAATATCCAGCATGCCCTGTGAGAACATTGCCTGTTTGTCAATGTTGAAATTAGACCACCAATGTCCTTAGAAAATTTGCCGTATTGTACTGTACATAATCTTGCGCTCATACATATGTCTGACTCACTATAAAAATAGCCACAATCAGCAGAATTGAGCAGGGTTTGCATTGTTGATAATATAGCATTTACACATGCATGCTATACTAATTATGCATTGTTTGTTTTCCTATGCAAATGTACCAAAATGCGCATCATACATTAATGATCACACTCACATTGGACAGCTGTATGGGTGGTTGGACCTACCTTGTTTCTAGAGCTTTTCCAGGCAAACCCATTACGTGTTATGAATACTTTATGAGTTTAGTAGACAATGCCCAGCTGAGCTTACACTGTTTGAGCTTAGTAAAAGAAGCAGTATGCTTATCAAAGGAACCCATTGTGTGGACACGCTCATATTTCAGCTAGTCTATGGTAAACAATAAAATTACGAAAACAGAAGTGTCTTATACTGTCGTGAATGGTAGACATTTAACGTTGACAGCTGTCGTAGTAACTCTTTGAAAATAAATGTAGATGCAATATACTATATTTGCAAACAATAAAACACGGAAGTGTATATTACAATGATGTGTACAATGAGCAGTATTCACTCGTGTACATACAGATCGAAAAACATAACATAGATCGAGAAACATCTGTTTTTTACAGTGGTATTGTATTTTATGCGGTAGTAACTTTATTATATGCATCAACGTGGCTAACAGACAGCACGTGATGCTAGTCGGATGTAAAAAAAATCTGAAATGGAAAATGCAACGTTACTCCATTGTAGAACCTCTAAACTGTATGTGTATATATTGTGTATATGTACAATATACAGTTGATATACAACGTTATCATTGTTTTGGTGCTGGGTAATAATGATATGTTCTTTTAGTTGCCAGTACTGTCAATTGATGTTTAAACGGCTTCTTGTTTCCACAGCTGAGCAAGCAAAGCTAAACTAAGTATAGTGTTAATGGATTGTGAGAGTACTGAATGAAGGTTTAAAACTACTGTTTGTCTTTTCACATTAGAAAACATGTAATGGGGTTTAATATATCGTTTAAAAGAACTAATACAATTTGGTGTGTACAATAATTTAATCATGGGAATGCGGTTTAATCCTGTTAATGCAAAGCTGGACCTAATATAAGCATATTACCAATGTCAACTGCACATTGCACTTGTCCGGGGAAGGCAAAGGCCTACTTTTGATAAAATCACAATTTAGTTATAAGCGCACCTTGCCTTATTCCCAAGGGAAGTGTTTTTTTTTCAATTATAAAATTAATCAAGGATAGAATGGTTTATTACACTGATCTACCAGACATTAAGATAGACCCGTTTTATTCTCAGTTGTGCCACTAGTTAAAAAAATATATTAATTTGACACTTCTAAATCGGACTGTTTTAGAGATGTAGTTTATGTGAAGATTTGCATGCTGAAATTCTATTTCTGTAAAGCTTCCTTAACACAAAAATGTTGCTAGCATATATGGCAGTTACACTTTTTATCGAGGATATCAGCCACTTGTTACCTTTGTAGACAGCATTGTACATGTTCTCACGCGATAGTCTGGTAGTTGAAATAAAAGGCGTACTTTGTTAATGTTCTGGTGTTATCTCCACTTGAGTGCAATTGAAATTGTTGTAAACTGTATTAATTTCTATTCTTTGGGTCTTTCGGTAAAGTCACATAATAGGTTGAAATAAAATAACAAAAGACTACGACGTTTCGATCACAACACAAGCGATCGTCATCAGGAGGAGAAAAGAAGAAAGCTGCTGAGGCAGACTGTTTTATAGGATTAGTAGCCCAAGGGTCATAAATGAAGTGAGCGGGTCTAGTGATGTTAATGTAAGAAATTAGCATGTTACTGTAAGATCAGAGGACAACCTCCACGACGAGGGCACGGAAGTGGCTATGCTAATGTGAGAGACGACGGCGAGGAAACATCACAGCCAGTTATGATTTAAACTGGTTAATGACGTCCTTCCAATGATTGCTCAGTTTGTACCCATCTTCTCGGTTGAAATTGTGTCTATAAATATGGATGCATTCATGAATGAATCTTTGTTGATAGCCAGTGGGTTTGCAAAGTACCTTCGTCTTGGAGAAATCAATTTCGTGTGAGCCCACTGCATTTTGCTGAGGTATTGGTCCTACCGTGTTTCAGATCTGCCTTATGTTCACGAACATGGTCCGAGACATGTCGCTTGGTTTCCCCAATGTAACTACTGCCGCAGACACAGTTTGTAGACGCCGGGGTATTGAATGTCAGGGATCACATCTTTCACAGATGGGATCAGATCACGAATTTTATGTACTATGTTAAATCGAACCTGGATCTTGTGTTTGATCATGATTTTGGATAACTTTTTGGTGACTCCTGCTATGTATGGCAAGGTGATGGTTTTGATTGGGTCCTCAGATGGTTCTTTCCCAACGGTTGGGGTGATAGCTTTACGGATTGTGTAGTCTGAATATTCTTTCATCTTGAGAGCTTGGTGTACGTGTTCCAGTTCACTGGCTAGGTTATGATGGTCGGAAATACATCTAGCTCTATGAATTATTCTGGGATGGTTGGTGGTGGGAGTCGGTTTTAGGTAGGCATCCGTATGGGTGGCTTTCCTTTAGACAGTGTCCCATTGAGCCATCAGGTCTCTTTGTGATTAAAACATCCAAGAATGGTAACTTGCTATTCTTTTCCACCTCCATGGTGAATTTGATGGCTGGGTGTATGGAATTGATGTGGTTGAGGAATTGGTTCATAGCTGGTCGGCCATGTAGCCAGATAACGAATGTGTCATCTATGTACCTCTTCCACAAGGCCGGACGTAGAGTGGATGCCTGGATAGCATCTGTCTCAAATTTTTCCATGAAAACATTGGCTACAACTGGAGATAAGGGAGAACCTATTGGGGTACCTTCAACTTGTTTGTAGAATGTTCCATTCCAGGTGAAGTAAGTGTTGGTGAGGCAGTGTCTCACCAGGGCCGGTACATCAGCATTCAGTCCTTGTTGGACTAAATCTTCAATGATTACAATGGTGTCAAGCACAGGAACTTTGGTAAACAAAGATACCACATCGAAACTAACGAGCAAATCAGCTGCAGATAGTGAGATGTCCTTAACGATACCAAGTGAGCTGAGTTAAGTACAGCTGAGGGGGTCTTACCAGTGAATGGTTGTAAGGTCTCAGACAAAAATCGGGAGATATATGCACATCTCCATAATCATGTGGAACTCTAACAAAGCAGAGATGCAAATCTTAAATAGACTGCCATTGTATTTCCATTGAAATTACTGGAGTTAGATTAAAAAATGTCATACTAACATATGCTTATATCTTGTTTGCAGTTGTCTGGACTGGGACTTATCATTGTGGGCGCCATGGCTCAGATGCATATCGGGGCATTCAGCGTGGTGACAGGTAACCTCAGTGGTGCCCCCTACGTCATCATTGCAGTGGGAGTTGTCATTTTTGTGGTCGCTGCCTTTGGTTGTTGTGGGGCTCACAAGGAGAGCTACTTCATGGTGGCTACGGTACGCTTTGACAAAATCTTTCCTTGAATGCATATTTTATTGAATAATGCGAGTAAATTTGCAATATAAATAACTTGAAATGTTCATGGATTTTAAATGCTGCTTGTCTTTTCCTCCTAGTTTTCAGTGTTCCTCTTCTTGATATTCGTGGCGGAGCTGGCTGCTGGGATTGGAGCCTACATATTCAAGGATCAAGTACATGATACTATAACTTTATATGCACTACAAAAATTCAGATTGAACATAAATTGCCAGTGTTAAAATACTACTTGAGTGTAAATGTCTACAACTGCACCACAAGGCATTTTGCTACCAAATAAATCCTTATCTCTACCATAAACAATATTCTACCCTCATAAACTGCATGATGACAAAGGCAAGATGAGTTTTGGTGAGACTGGATTCATGATGAGTATGGGACAATGGGGCGATAGAAACCACAAGTTAGAAGAGCGTGAATAGGTTGTATGAATAATTAATACTTCCTAAGGTCTTTAAAAAATAGCCCTTTTATCAATTCACAGCTACGTGGAGATCTGTACACCATGTTGGTCATGGGCTTCATTTGACCATACTTCACCATGCCGATTCGTTTAGGTGGGAGGTCATTTACCATTATATAGGGAACATGGGGTAACGTGGTTGTGCATTTATTAGAACACGTGACAATTTTAGAAGGTTGTAAATTAATTTGTCCATCAGAGGTTGACCCAACCCTTTCTGTTCTTCGGTGTTGATAAAATAAATACCACTTTGTGGTAAGTAAGTGGGACAATCACTTGCCCACACCATAGAAATGTGATATTTTCAATACTTTGAGCTAACAAGTGACTTTCTGAATAGCAAAATAATTTTTGCTTTTATTATTCCAATATACAAATTACAGGTGGTCGTGTACATACGTCCATCATTGGACATATCTTAAACTTTCAATGTATATATTGGTACTCATCCTACATTCATGAGTATATCTATTTTGTTTCTATAATTTTCTATTCTGTGCAAAAACATTTTTCTTTGTCCCTTTTTAACAGCTTAGAGATGTAGTGGAGACCAAAGCTAAGGTGGTTATAAATGAGTATCCCACCAAGAACAAGGATCCTGTGGATAACATGCAGAAAGAGGTAGGTTCATATATTGTGAATGTCTAAATTGTTGAAGATTAGATAAACCTGAAAGCATTTGATTGTTTTTAATGTAATTTAACCCCCTCTTTCGTTCTCATCCTTTCTATGTGACTGCCAGCTTCAATGTTGTGGTGTAGTCCACTACCAGGACTGGTTTAACAGTACTAATTGGGTTACTAGTGACCCCAACAATCCGAATAGTGTCCCAGATTCATGCTGCCGCAATGTGACATCTGGCTGTGGCCAGGACATCCGGTTCAAGAATGCCACAGCCATCATATATACTAAGGTATTGAATGAGCACCTCATAACCATTGAAAATATTTCTACATTTGTTTACTTATTTTGTACTTATGAATAAAAATTGACAATAAAGTACTTGCTCAAAACATCATTTTTTTAAACTGTGAATAGAATTCCCTCCTGAATATTTTCATCTGCTGTCTGCCATCTCTAGGGTTGTGTGGAGAAGCTTGAGGCAACAATGAAGGAAAACATTGTCCTTGTTGGTGGGGTGGCCATTGGCATCGGGTTTGCACAGGTAAGCCATGAATAAGTAACTGTATAAAGGTGAATATGAACAAACAATGCTTTATTTTTACTGAATGGTAAAGTTATGAATAGCACAATATAGCATCACTGGTGTTGATGTTTTTACATTAGATAATGGTAACCGTTTTTGCAAGGCACATTTTCATAGGTAAAATTAAAAGATTTTAACTAATTGTTGAGTAGGATGGTGAGGTGTATATTTATTCTCTTAGGTTTTTTCGGTAAAGTCACGTAGGTAAAAATGAATAATTCAAATATTATACACAAGTCTCCGTCATCAGGTGGAACCGTCACAGCTAGATTTACTGTAACCACTGGTTACCTTGTGTTGCCTCCGAAACGTCGTGATTTCTAATTTTTATTTCTATTATTTTTATTATTCATTTTTACCTATGTGACTTTACCAAAAAAACCTAAGAGTATGAATCCTTGCAGTCACGAAAGCTTCAAATCTAGAATGTATATTTATTGATGCAAATGATACTTGAACAATGTTTTTCTTTCTGCAGCTCATTGGCATTATTCTTGCTTGCTGCCTCATGCGTGGCATCAAGAATTCTTACCAGGCTGTCTGAGGTCGGCTTTCTCCGACGCAGCTTAATGTTTCTTAATTTTTCTTTTTTGAAGTTATGCCATAGATTTTTGTTGCTTAGTGTCCTTGTTGCTAAAAACATGAGTTTATGCCGCATACTGGTGCATGCTTTTTATGTTTAGCTCAATAGATTACGTATTTGAAACCATAGGAATGCAAATCCATGTCATACCTTGTGGATTTTTATACATACATTTTATGTAAATTGTGTGGTTGTAAGGTTTTGTTTTTGATGGAATATCAACTTTGAACATTATTTTATTGAAAATTGAGCATTTGGTTAGTTTTGTTCCCATAACGTATCAGACTAGTGATGTTTTGCTTAGTAGTTTTAATAAAGATATTAGGCATAAAATATTTGTATCCATCCTTGAAAAATCATAAAATGTTTTAATGAGTATTATATTCTGATTTTATAGCTATGAAGGGTTTAGCATTCATGATGAGCAGCATCCAGAGTTACCGTTATTCCACATTTTTCTTTGCTTTCAATGTACGTGAAATGTTGCTATAAATTCTGTCCACAGTTCTTTCCTTCTCACTCACATTTTTGTAACTTTTACTGTTAATATTTTAACCTTTCTTAACTAACACCAGTTCCTTCATGTTTACTAATAAGTTTTTGCATGCTACTTTCTGCATTTCTATTCTTTATCTTTGCAGATGATCGGCATAGCTCTTTCATGCCTCCTCATGAAGGCAATCCGAAGCGACTATGAAGTGATGTGAGGTGGCCAGCACCACTGCTTATACTAACTCTTTCCAGCTGGCATACCCCATTTTTTAAATATATATTCGAATGAAAAATATGTCCAGGAAAAGACATTGAGCAAAATCTCTCATTTTGCAGTTTGCCTTGAATGTTCATGCTTTATAATTTCAAATAGGCTATCAATTTAATATATTGATCACGTTTCTAAAAAATTCAAAATAGTTTAAACCTATAATATCAAGATAAATCGATTGTGCAGGTGTCCATGGAGAATCACGTTTCTAATTTAAATTACTCCCTAACTTAAATATTTGAATAATAACGAAATTGCTGAATGAGTTATAACATTTTCACATTTGCTGGCTTATCCATAGTGAGCGAAACAAACTTCATGTAAGTGATTCCTGGAATAGGATAGACAGTAATGGTTGGATGAAGCTGCTGGGTTGTTGGTCAGAGTTAATTGTCACAAGTGTTTCAGAGAATAAGGTAATTTAGGCCAGATAAGTTATTGTTTTCTACATTTGTGACATTAAAATAAAATATACTGGCATTTTAGAATGCACTGGATGGCTACAGTCCGACTAATGATGTACTTTGTATTAAAATGGGTCTCGACCAATGTGGTCTTCAGAAACTAACCATGCTTTATATTCATTAAAATGGGTATTTGTTCATTCCATGTATTGCCTTCTGATTGGCTAGTCACTTTATAAATAACATGTTTGTATTGCACGACATGTTTTGGAAGCATTTTCCGCAACATCTGCTATATATGTTGTAGTTTGCTTCATCATAGGTAATTGTTAATGTAATGGTTAATATTAAAGAATAATACGGTTTAGTGCAAAAGGTGCATGTAAGTTTATCAGAATATGAATGTTATTTTGGCTCGCATGCCTTTTCTGATTTATACCTTCATACAGAGTAGGTCGTTGGTTGAAATTCGTTTTATTTTCCTCAGTGTATTTCTTATGCTTGTTGAAACACAGTGCCTGGAATTATGGTATATATTTTATTTGCTCTTCGAAGTGGACCAAAGTAGATTATTTTGCAGACTAAGTTTTATATTAAACTTTTTCTGACCGTTAACTTGGTAACCACAGCTCTGCTTTGCAATGAATATCTGCCTTGTAATGGCTTTTTTGAAATGTTACAGCTGCATGCAAAACTGGGCTTGGACTTTGCCATGTCTTCTTGTGTTTAGGTATTGTAAAGCTATAGGAAATAAAATAATTTGTGCCACCTAAACATTGTCTGGTGCTTTACATAATGTATTGGTTTTGTTGTATCCCTCCTGCAGTGTCTAGTTTTAAAATATATTAACATCCCTGTTTATATTTCCTTAGTGCAGGACACTGACCTATATGATATATTGATTTCAATCGATGTTTTTTGTCATTCTGTTTTCATCGTATAGGGACATTGTTGTAGTCACCACCTTCAATTAATACAGTAATTTCAAGTTGTAAAACGCACAGTATTCACTTATTCTCTGAGAGAAAAATAAGTCGGACAGAAGGAAAAACAGCCACGCGGTGAAGAGTCACAACATTTCCCAAGTTTTGTGGCCTATATATTAAGGTTTAATTGGCCAATTAATGAGTTTACTGTGGGAGGAGACTGGACCCCCTCCAGAGAAAATGCGCATGTGCGAAGGGGCAACACATTATCCCATACAGAAAAAACAGTTGGAAGTATGCATTTTCTCTACCACCTTGCTCTTGCAAACCAAGGTATGGCACCTCAGCACCCATGGGAAGAGAGTTTCACAATATTTGTATGAGCCACCAACCATCGCCTTCACAGTGCTGGATTATAGGCGTGTGCCGCTGCTAATTAAATTTGAATAAAACCTTACTGCTGATAAGCATTTACTGCCAAAATTTTCAAACAGGAAGTTTTGGAGAAAAAATATTGTAATCTTTAAAATTTCTATTTCTACAAAATGTTTTATCATTCGAACATTCCAAGAAATAAATGTTGTACAGTGTGTAGATATTTAGTGTTTATGGTTATTTTGATAAGACCCATTTTATTTTCAAGATGTTTAAAAACAAATCTAGCTCTTCATCACTAGTTTTAATATGGGGTGTTGCAATAAACAATGACAGTTACAGCAGCAATATATCAATATTGTTAAACTTTACAACTGGAATGAAACTTAAAATCAATATCTTTGTAGACTGCAGATAGGGCACTTCAATACTTTACAAGAGTGTATTCATTGCATTTTTTTGTTTATAAAATGCCTATGCATGTGTCGCCATGGTGCAGTGTACTCAAAACAAATTCAAGTGCAAATTGGGCCATTCATCTATAAGAGGTTTTTTGGGTTAGATCACGTAAATATATAAATGCGTCGTTAAAACCCGCTACCACCCGACAGCCAATTAGTAAGGGTTGTCACGTAAACAGAACTTGCCAATTTGTCACTAGTACAGCACACCAGTGTGTTGAAGAGGCAAGCCACAACATTTACAATCTGTTTAACACGTAGGCTTTCGCGACCAGTATTATTCATAACTAGGTTTACTACCCGGCTTCGCCCCGACACTTGGATTCACCATGCCGGGCCGCCTTTGTCTCCCCAGTGGCGATGTTCACACACCACACCACTTACTCGTTTGAGGCTGAGTCGACATAGGGGAGGCCCAGGACCTGTTCAAATAATCGTCACCGGTGGTGGCCGTGATCGGGAATCGAACTAGGGTCGCTAGGTTCGTAGCGCAACACGCTAACCACTACACTACTGCTCCCCCCACACACGTGCGCGCGCGCCCATAGGTACACATACACGCGCTTGCGGCAGACACACGCAACTTTCAGGGTGCGTACGGCAGTAAACGACTGAAATAATAAAGCAGCAATGCTGCGCGAAGAACGCCTTAGACCTGCAACACATTTGTATGGCACTGTACCCGTGGAGGGTTGGGGGGTGCGTGACATCAGCAGGCACACTGCGTGACGCTTCCGCATACGGGTCGCATGACAGATGTGACGTCACAGCTCACTTGCCGTGCAAAATATATGCATTATTGCGCCCCCCCCCCCCAAAAAAAAATACAAAAGTCTATTTTTATTTTTGCATGGTGTACAGTCTGGAAAGTACCCACATGGCAAATTTCAAGTTTGTTGCATGTCAGGAAGTACGCTAAACATTTTGAACAGACACATTCACAAATTTCCCTTTTTTATTTATATAGATAAAGGTTTTTGGGTTAGATCGCGCTACTTATAAATACGTTGGGGCATGATACGCTGGTTGACCTGCTGACACGTGACCGAATGATATTGGAGGGGGGGCTGCTGGGTGGTCACGTGGTCTAAAAAATATCTCGGGAGCCTTCGAGAAAGCTCGAGAGATCTGGAAGGTGGGCGGGGTGAAGGGCGGAGCCAGCCCCAGCCCAGGGGGATATAACGGGGCCCCGTGAGGAGCTCGGGGTTCTTCGTGTGCTGGTGTGAAGAAGATCCACGTCGGGGAGAATAAGCCTCGAACCACGCGGTCCGGGACCCAGCTTGTGGTCCGGGCCGGGATAGCGAACCGTGTCTAGGTCTGCCGTAGCGTGGTTAGATGGACATTCGATACCCGAGTATATATTGTGTGATGTTAGGTTGAAGTTACTTAATAAAGTGTTGCTCCCAAGACAACGTCTGCGACTCGGACTAACTACACAGGTGTGTCACATGATAAGTGGCTGATTACTGATCTATTACATACTTCATTTCTAAACCCCGCTCTACCGGAGCGGATAGCATTTCCGTCTTTGCTCTGCTAACTGTTGGTCACCTAATTTACAAACCTATAGCCCATATTTTCAACCTGTCCATCAAAGAAGCATCAGAACCTCTAGAATGGAAATATTCCTATGTTCACTTCACAAACGGGGCCCTAAAGATGATCCAAATAACTACCGACCTATCTCAATTTTGTCCCCGTTGATGACATTTAACAAAAAATAATAATTTCACCAGGACATAACCGGATTCTCCAGAAGATTTTCTTGTAACTATCTTTGCAGTAATTTGAGTTTCGTATCATTAGGAAGGAAATTGTGGATTGCAACCTGTAATTACACTATTTACAGTGTCAATTGCTTTGTTGTAATTTAATAACCATCGTCGACCGACATGTTCGTGATTCGCACGAATTTTGGTTATAAAAGTGGACTTATTTAATTTATTGATACATGAAAGAAAATATATATGCGTTGTAGTTTCATTATTTTGTCTTCAAAGTGTTAAATGTCCATTACAACTTGATGGCATAGAATAGTCGCACCATTTTAATAATTAAAAACATCTTTATTCATAAACACAAACATTGTCTTAAGAATAGCAATTGCTGCCATGCTGTCATTATACTTAATACGATTTTTGTTATGCTTCATTAAAACATGATTGCGTTTTACATTGCAAACATGTGTTCAGGTGTTCATGTAAAGTATTGTGTCCAGCTATTTACTTCTTATTTTCGTAACCATTCAGATCTCAGATTGCTTTGCAGTCTGGAGATATTAGAATCCAGTACTGCCAACCCGTTCCTAAATTCTTGATCATCGTGAGTTGTAAATGAGGAAAATGTAGATAAACTGTCAGAGAGTGCCGACTGCACTTGCATCTTGTTAAAGCTGACATTTTCTGCTGGTTGGTATGGCTCCTTGTTCAATGAATTACGGATCACCCTGGGTCCAGATGGGGTAAAGAGACCACTATCCTCCATTCGATTGCGTTCGTTCACACTTATCGCGTTGGTTGTTGGAGATTTGTACGATTGTTCTTTTTCTTCAACCGCAACACCACTGTCCCTTTCAGGAACCATTGTTTCTATCAGCAAAGCTGGAGATATTGGAACGTGAAGAAGCTTACAAACTTCCTTTTGTCGAGATGGGCGTCCTTTATTGCATGTAGCTCCTTTCGTAGCATCATTTCCTTCATTGTTAACAAATTGTTTAATTGCAGGTGAATCAGTCCTTTGGACCAAACCACCATTATTACTCGAGTTATTATTTGTACCTATTGCTATGGATAAGTAAGAGGTATGTTCATGTTCTGGAAGGCGCCAAGTTGAATAGTCGTTGTCTTGAGATGTACATTTACTTCGGACAGTGTTTACATCCAAGTCCAACAAAAGGAGAGACATTTTATGCTGCAGGGCCCTGTGAAAATACAACGATAAAATAGTTTACCTTTTTATATGTAAACAATGAAATAGAGTACGGGAATGTGATTGTATAGCCTGCCTTGTCATGTCTTGCATCCTCTTCATCTCAAATTCTTTCCCTTTCAAGCTCATTTGTAGGATCTGCTTTTCTCGATCAGAAGCTTCCAGCTGCTCATGCAGGTTCTGTACGCTGATATGAACGTCTGTCAGGTCTGACAACAAATGATCATGGTTAATGCTCATAACATACGTACATATTTTCATGCCGTTTGGCCAGTCACACAGTGACTCGCAGTAAACCCACAAGAATAACATTTGTGCAACATTTATTTGAATGAAATGGTAACGGTGCAGCCCTGTAATTGCTTGATCGTGCCACTACTGGTCGAAAAGGCCTCCACCAGGAGCTCTGGGGCAAAGAAACATCTCTACCACCTCGACTTGTGAAATGAAAGCTAAATTGTCGTACTGTATGGACTTCATTATCCCGGCCACAATGTTATTAATCCATGCTCCTATTATATATGTCTGTGTCCTGTTAAATAAGTATAATTACAGAAGTGTGTATTATAGTAATGATCATAATAGTTGCACACCTTATTAGTATGAAAGAGTGAACATTATCCTAAGTATACAGATTGACCACAGTTTATATGAAATAGGCTAGCCACTCAATCTGACGAACAATTATTGAAGGTTATACAATAAAGGATGTTAAAGGCTTTTGGTTCAGGAAATATTTTTCGTAATGAGATACCATATTTACCCAAAAATAAATTATTTTAGTGCAGAAAGTCCTTCCAAAGTTACTTTAGAAACCTTAATGAGAGCCCATCTCATTGTCTTATTCCTCTTCTAATGTGTATCTTGTTACTTTCTTTCGCATAGATAATGAATCCAATGTTCTCTCCCAGGAGCGAGTATTTACAATTCCCCAATCATAAACTTTCTTTTTGCTGCTTTCATGCCTTCCATTGTTGTGACCTCTTACGTGTTATGATCCCTGTGTAATTTTTTTAGCACAATAATTTTATGCAGCTCTCTCAAGCAAAATAATGTTTTTGAAATGAGGGGAAGCCTTTGATGTGAAATTTAAAACTTGAACACTCGCCTTCACAGGATAAAATAATGAAGGCTACTAGCTGTGGATATCAATCAAAAGTGGGATAAAATACTTAATAAAAATGAGATGCATGGATCAGGGAACGGGCACAAACAAAGACGTCATATTGACTGTAAATAGTGTGGCTGCTGGGATGTTGTATAAAGTACTTGTTTTCTCCATAATAGAGGTTTTTTTGGAGGGTCTACATGTTTATTTTATTACTTATATTCTTCACAATTATGATTATTATCATCTTGTGCTGTGTATTATATAGTTTTGCATTTAACTGAGACATATCTGAGAGAGTCCTTTCCCATAAACATCTGTCAGTTTACCGGCTATGGATGAAGCAAGTCTGACTTGTGATGAAACAGTGTCAACATAAATCTAGTTTTCTTGTGTTGAATCAATGTCGTGGAAATGAAGGGCACTCAGAAGACCGTGTGGCTGATGGGATGTATAAAAACATTTTATATTTTTTTATGTGACTGGACAGATATGGGAAGGAGGTGTATTATCTCCTTGAAAAAAAAAAGGAAACTGGACTTGGGCAGCACATATCACTTGCAGGGATGATGGCCAATGAAGACTGAGGATAAATGGCAGCCGAAGGAGAAAACATTCCCAAGAGGATGAGGACTACAGAGTGGGAGTAATGAGAACAGCTTAAGTGTGGGAGTGAGATGGATTGCGGCATCGTGTGACTATGGGACGGGGACGGCGGCGGTATAAAGAGGCCTTCATCTAGCAGTGGACTGACCATACCCGACGATGATTGAGAAAGTTCTGCAGGCATTGTACGATATAACAGTATCATGTAATAATCCTTGAACCAGTAGTTAAATTTATATACCCTGCATTGTATACAAATCTTTTGCATTGATCTACTCTCAGGATAGATGATGAATCTGTGGGCTAACACGTGCCAATATGTCAAATTAAAATGAAAGGCAATTGAATGAGAGCCCAGAGTACCCTGATCACTTTCATTGTCATTCTGATCAAGTAGGTATTCTTGATTATCAAAATGTTTTTCCACTCGTCTGATATGATTTTTAATTGCCAAAGGAGCCTAAATCCTTATGGGACTGCAATGCGACCTTAAGGGTCTGTGATGAATCTGTGATGAATCCTTTACAAATATAAGTGGCGAGTGATTTCTGAACAGGTCCTGCTCCCCAACTTCACCAACCCCCACTGAGCAGTGTAGTGAGGTATGGTCAAGCAATCCCTCTAAGCATGGTGTGGGGAAGCCTTCATCCAGCGCTGGATTAACAAAGGGCTGAAATCTAGCTCGACGAACTAACAATATGGCACTGAATCTGAAAATGTACATTTTGTATGAAACTGTTCTGTATAGATGGGTTTTTTTTTGTTCACACACATGCACTTTACTGTATAACATGCCTGACTCTGCACGCCTTAGCTCAATTTCCAGCTGCTGCTTTTGGCAAAGGAAATTCCTCTCGCGCTCTTGCAGATTCTGTGCTGCCCTGTCGTGCTGTTCGTTCTGCTGCTGCAGTGCCTCGTGTAGGCCCCATTTTTCCTTCTCCAGCTGCTCCGCTTGCTTCCGGCTCTCTTGCAGTTGCTTTTGCAGAAATGAGTTTCTTTCATGAAGTGCTAATCCTTGGGAAAGAGTGAACATACATTTCAATACATTTTGCTTTTGTACAGCGCTCTTAATGCAGAGCATCCGAGGGCACTTAACAAAAAAAACTCTAAAACCACTGGCCAATCAATCCAGCCAAAGGATAAGCAAATGCAAATACATTTAATGTGTTTCACATCAGCATGCCTTGGGACAAAGTTCCATTGCCAAAGGCAGGGAGCAGACCGACTGAAGGCACTTGGCCCACTTTAAACTACATCTAGGAACTACCAAGAGTTCAACATTCATGGAGCGTAAGCTACCAACAGTTCTTGTAAATAGACAGGCCCAAAACCACGAAGGGCCTCATAGATAGAAAGTCTTGCACATAGAGAATAACATTGATATGTAGATTAGACATACTTTAGCCATTAAATTAATGTTTCTAAGGTGTATCGATTTAACGCCCCCCCCCTTACCGCCCGTTTTTGTAAAGTTATTGCCATTCAGTATTGCATTCCATTCAATAATTTTATTTAACATTGTGGTGAATGTAGTGGCCACGAGTGGGGTTAGTTATATGAACACATTACCTTACTCGATTCTTATATATGAGATTCTATGCAATTATCGTCTGCATAAAAAATTATATTAATTGACGAATCGATGCATCGTTACACACCGAATGTTAATATCACCAGGGGTGTAAATAGCTCAAGTATTCACCAATATACGCATTCATATGCTGTACATTAAAACGTGTTTGTTAGGAAACGAATAAGTAAATGCACTAGCAATGAAGCTAAATATCATCTGCTAATCTTAGTTGTTTGCAGGAGGTCTTGCAGAATGCATCATTGCTGAAATACAATAGACTCAATGCCCTACAAATTCAATCAACACTTAAAGGTGTACTGTACCACATGAGAATTTCCTGTTCAAATGAATGAGCCGTCATGGTGGGAGCGTTTTGCTTTTATAGCACAAATGTCAGTACATCTTTTAAGATTAGAGTTTGTACATACCTTTCACGTCTGATGCTGCTGTTGTTGCATTCGCTTGTCTTTCATGTTGTCTCAGTTCTTCATTCATCTCTTTAATTTTTCTAAACATAACACAATTGAAAGTGTGTGTGATTGTTTTAACATGCTTATATATTTTTTCTCATGTAAAATATGGCAGCATTCATATTCTCTGGCTGGGGCAGAATATAATAATGATGCCTTTTAATTGTCCAGAAAAGCCTCACCGAGTCTTAAGACTGGGTCCTAAGACTAGATATAATTCGCCAGTTTGATTGAAGAGTGAACGTACAAACTTCATATTCTGAGTCAAACACCACCTGGCCGCACGAAGTGTATGTCAACAGGTGTAATTGGAGAATGCTCAGTGTAAATACATTCTTTACATATTTTCTGAGTATATTTTAGTCTTGGATTATAATATGAATGTTGTGTCTAAAGTCACAACAACACTCCATGTCTTGAATACATTTAGTTTCATTTACAGGCTGTTATCACTCCGCTGCCTGATTAAGGCCTCTGCACACCATACTTCACCATGCTGCTCCATGTAGGTTGGTGAAGGGGGTGGGGGGCCCAGGACCAGTTCAAATATCACTCGTCACCGATGCTAGCCATGGCCAGGAATCAAATTCAGGTTGCGAGGTTCATTGCGCAAATCTAGTTACATGTTATTACTGCAGTGAATAATTTGTAATGCACGTGGGAATGTAATTGTGCTATATAGCACAGAGCAAGGTAGAGAACAAGTGTTTCAGATGGGGAATTAGGTAGGGAAATGGAATGGCCTTCACCACCTCGATGGGAAGATGCTAAAAACATATACAATCCGTGAATGGCAATGCATTTTCACTTTTTTCCCTGTTTAGAAAGTTGCATTGGTTCAACGTGGTGTCAATGTAATGAGTTCCACCTTCGCAGTTGGATGTTCTCACTGCGCAGAGGCAGCAAGGCCAAAGCGATGTCAGCCTGGGTGGTAACACCGCTCACTGCTGACGGCAAGGTTGGGACCTTTTCTTCCAGCTCTTTCACCAGGCGTGCTACGTTCTCTCCTGCACACAGACATTAAACAGTTACGCCATGAGCATACCCCATATATTTTATATTTAACTCTGTCACTCGAGAGATAAACCCACACACACTACATACAGTCTTGAGGGATTGCCTGGCAGGGTCTGTGCCTTGCTCTCTGTCTGCCAAGTGCTGTCATGTACCAAAATATGATACTCTATAACACTCGCGCGTGTCATTCTAGCACGTCGGTAAATGCTTATTATTGTTTAATGTCAAATCAGTCACACTCAACCCTATTGGCCAATTGTGTCGCACAGAAATGTTACCAATAGTTGCGGTCAGCTGCCATACCCACCTTAGATCAGCAGTGTTGCAAATATATTTCCAAAGAACGAGGATAATACTTCTTTACAACCCTTTTGTCAATCCACTGCCCAGCGCATGGATGTTGATTGACCATACTTCACCCATGCTGGTAGGTGCAGGATTGGATGCAGTTGACAAAAAAATATTATCAACTTGATGCTAGTCTTTTTTAAATCCTTTATATTAAGTTCACTTGCTTGCTTGCTTGCTTAGGAACGTGCAAATATTTCCGTCGTTTTTTAACCCACTTCCCGTGATCTAATCGAGCTGACATTTTCCACACAGACTCGTTGTGCATGACAATTAATGTTCGTGAAAAATTTTTTCCAAAATTTTACACTTTTTAGGACAAAAATATTATATTTAATTACCAATTGCTTAATGCTGCCATGCAATCATCTGACCCATAGGTGGCAGCCATCTCAAGCCAGAGGACGAGAGGACTCTAGCCGCCACGCATATAAAGGATTTATAGTGAAAAACTTTGTTTTTACGGGTTATACTTGTTTGTTCTCCTTTTAGCCAAGGGGATATTAACGTGACATTGTGTGTGCATTGTTGTGTGCATTGTTGTGTGCATTGTTGTGCGCCTAATAATAGAGAATCAACATCGTGCATGTGTTCCACCACACGGAGCTCCCCCTGTCCTCCTCCCTCTCCCCTGCTACGTGAGGAAACAAAACAGCCCCCCCCCCCCCCCCCCCATTGTCTGATGGGTGTACCGAGGTGCAATTCCTCCCTCCTCACATCTCTACCCCTCTCCCCCCATCTCTGCTCAACCCCATCCCTCTCCCCCTGTCTCTTGCACAGCTCTTTCCGCCGCCCACTCTGGAACCCTGAAAGCAGCTACATTTGGAGGCTGGCCCCCTCTTTTCTCTCCACCTGATGAAGACCGCTTGTGTTGCGATCGAAACGTCGTGGGTTTTTGCTTTAAATTTAGATTTTTGTTTTCTATCTACGTGACTTTACCGAAAGAACCAAGAATATGGCAGGCGCCGCAGGGAAGAAGGGTGGGAAGCTGGGTCATAGAGACCCTCTGGGAGAAATATTTTGAAATATAAACCTTACACTATAAACAGGCCATTATTATACTGTATACAACAATGCATAATAGAACAATACTATATATTTACACTGTGGGAGCAATGTTTTGAGAACAATATATGCACATACAGTACACAATGTGCATTACTGTAATCAAGCGTTGTTGATTACTTATATATAATGATGGAATGGAATTCGTTCAGCAGAAATAACAATCCAACCGTAAATGAAAACATTTGTGCCACTTCTCCTCCATGGTTTCCCAATCACAAAGTTTTTAGAATGGTATAAAAAAAATAGTTCTCGAAAAAAAGGTTCATTTGAAGGGCAGTCACAAAAATAGAACTCTGCCTCAACCCAAATATTGTCTGCATATTTGCACTTTTTTTTCATCTCCTATTTTCTCTTGCACTATTTGTCTATTGGTTTTGCTTAGATGGGCTTGCTACACCACACATTCAGGAGTGAATTCAACCGTACACTCCAATGAGATATATCGATTGTGCCCTACTCGTGATACCCATGCCCCACGTTTCTAGCCTGGGGGGACGCGAACGGCTTCTGTTTGTCGAGTGCCCAGCCTCCGAAATTCCCAACCCTTGAAGAGGTTGGGGAATTCGTAGTCAATGGAGACTTTTACGTCCATGTTGACGACCCACCTGTTTATAAGGAATTCTCTTAGTTCTCTATCTTGTCTCTTTTAGGATTTCTCTCCCCAGTTACTTCTTACTTATTTTATCCTTCACCATGCTCAGCGATCAAAGGTCCATTGTTTAAGGCAGCCTTATTAATCGAATTAATTGTTGAGCTGCCAGTAAAATGATCGCACGTGCATGACAAAAAAATTGCAATTATTTTCAGCTATGTTTTATAGAAAAAATTTAGCTACTGTATGAGTTTAGTTATCCTGTGTCCTAGAGGGTCATAGTTTACTTCAATTTGACAAGAAAGTTTTTTGCAGCCAAATCAACTCCTGAGAGCAACACATGGGAAAAGCTTGAGAGAATATTTTTTAACATGTAGCCCAACCAATAAAACCAGACCTTGTTTACACCACTGCCTTCAACCTTTCCCTACTTGTAGAAGTTGGTGACTATTTCTCCATTGCGTGTTACATATTGCAGTAGGAGTCTATTTTTCTCTCTCAGTTATTTAGTAGTAGGTGGGTAGTGTCTAGTTGCTACAAAACATGGTGACCTCATCTTCTTGGTTCTTTCGGTAAAGTCACGTAGAAGGGAAGTAATAAAATAATAAAAATAAAACATAATAAAACAATTCTCACGACGTTTCGGCCACAACGCAAGCAGCCGTCCTCAGGTGAAAACCAGGTCCGTCGAGGCGACAGAGTCTGAATGAAACAGCACACGGGCTTGGAGCATATATATAAGCTGGGCGCATTGACAAAGGAATTTGCATATCAACAGGAATTTAGCATATTTATGGAAAATGCAGGAATGTGATTAGTACTGCATATGCATGTACATTATGCAGGATTAACAGCATCAAAGGGAGCTGCAGTTACTGCTGCTGCAGCAGTTGCTGCTGCTGCTGCAGTTTCTGCTGCTGCTGCAGTCACTGCTGCTGCTGCAGCTGCTGCTGCTGCACTTGCTGCTGTTGCACTTGCTGCTGCTGCTGCTGCAGTTGCTGCCTTATCCATTTTAATATAACACTATGTATTAAAATGGATAAGGCAGCAACTGCAGCAGCAGCAGCAAGTGCAACAGCAGCAAGTGCAGCAGCAGCAGCAGCTGCAGCAGCAGCAGTGACTGCAGCAGCAGCAGAAACTGCAGCAGCAGCAGCAACTGCTGCAGCAGCAGTAACTGCAGCTCCCTTTGATGCTGTTAATCCTGCATAATGCACATGCATATGCAGTACTAATCACATTCCTGCATTTCCCATAAATATGCTAATTTCCTGTTGATATGCAAATTCCTTTGTCAATGCGCCCAGCTTATATATATGCTCCAAGCCCGTGTGCTGTTTCATTCAGACTGTCGCCTCGACGGACCTGGTTTTCACCTGAGGACGGCTGCTTGCGTTGTGGCCGAAACGTCGTGAGAATTGTTTTATTATGTTTTATTTTTATTATTTTATTACTTCCCTTCTACGTGACTTTACCGAAAGAACCAAGAAGATGAATCCCTGCAGTCATGGTGACCTCAGTTTATTTCCTGATCACGGCTAACATTTGTGGGGATTGATATGTTAACGGGTTGTGAACTCACCTCTACCAATCCATCCAAATGGGTGTCGTAAAGTATGGTCAAACAACCCCCTGACACTTTGGGAATGTCTTCATTCCAAAGTTGATTGGCAGAGGGCTTTATCGTATATTACCTTTTTATTTTAACACACGAATATGAACATGCTTTTTTGTAAAGGTCAGCTGATAGCGATGGTAATTAGCATTCCACTTGAAGGTATAGTGTGCACATATAATCTATCTTCAACATACAAACCAATTTGTAGTTGCACAAATAGGAAACCATAATGTGCATATTACCCCCCCCCCTCTTTAATGTTAAGCAAAAGTTGGGGTGGGGGGGGTGTCTTATATGGTTTGTATGCGTGACCAGATTTGTATAACTTTATTGGCATTGAGTACAGGTTTAGGGGTGTGTCTCACTCTCCAGTGTCTTATAATCTTGAAAACATGGTACAGTATATACCTAGTGATACATTAATTTATTGATTCCAAATCTTGACTTAAAGCAGGACTGAGAAGGCGATGGCTTTGAACCTATCTACATGACTTTACCGAAAGACCCAATGGATTATTGATTGATTATTTATTCCACACTGATTTCTAATGACCCTCTTTCGTCTCCGCAGGTGATGACATATTGTGAACGCGACAGTGTTATATTTTGGAAAGAGTGTTCAGAGACTTAATATCCATGTGTATTGAGATTTGTGGGAGGATAGGCTCGGAATGAAAATATTGTTTCTCCAGAATGTGTCCCTATCATTTTTGTGGGGTACCTAGAAACACATGGGTCAACCTGTATACTGTATTTTGCTGCAGCCATACAATATACAGGAAGGACTCTTCAGTGTGAATTGCCAGATGGGTTTAAGAGAGCTTTGGAAGAAAAAAAAACAGCAATGCTCGCAGTGTTGTTTGTAAGAATGCCAGCTGACACAACACTAGAGGTTCTGACTGTAGAGTACATGCAGATTAAAAGAAATCCTCTACCTTGTCCTGTGAGCAAGGATTTGAGCTCCACAAGCAATTCTCTCACTGTGGTGGTTTTTGGCGGCGACACCTGGTGGCTGGTGCTGTTGGTACCATCCTCATTTTCAACGATGTGGTTCCCAGGTTTGTGGACTCTGTCTGTAATCGGCTGGCTTAGCCCCTGATCGACATGTGACGACTCTTTAGCACCGTGCAGCCAACTCTGATCCATCACTGTCATCCCATGGTGGTTAAGACCTGTAAATGTAATATTACAAAAAAATACATGTCATGCAAAACAAATACTGCATACATGTTTAATTAATTTAACACATGCACTATATTTTGGGTGGTAGCACTAATCCTTGTGTACAAACGTTGAGGCACTCGATACAAGGATTGTGCAATCCTTCAGCATTGCCCGAGGGCGTTACAGAAAATGTTACATTGTAGGACTAAGAAGGCGACGGCTTTGGGAAGGTCTTCATCAAGCAGTGGATTGATCATGGCTACTGATGATAAAAGTATGAAGTGGTTTTTTTTCGCTCCCAATTCTAATTATGTCTATCCTAACCAACCTGGTGTACTCGCTCTACTGTATAGTATTGTAATATTGTATGCTTTATAAAAAAAAATATTGTGATGCAATTTGAAAGAATGTAAAATGATCCTGGCAGCAGCAATTAAAAAACATTTCATTTACTGGACATGTGTTGATATGATGGTTTTAAGAATTATACTTTGAATATCATAAATGCAGCACTAAAAATTTATGATAATTTACATCCATTTGTTAATCCCCTATGCCTATGGCATGAAAGCCTTCCCATGCCTTGCGGACAGACATGATCAAGTGTGGTCAAATTATCCCTATGGCAGAAAAGCGTGGGGATGTCAAATTTTCATCAGGCATGAATAAAACTGTCGTTACCAAAGCAGTTACGTCTCGGCCATGCCTTCTTACATCAGTGGCATTTAAATCTGTGCTGTGGGATTTGAATCTGTGCTGTGGGCTCTGAATCTGTGCTGTGGGATTTAAATCTGTGCTGTGGGATTTGAATCTGTGCTGTGGGCTCTGAATCTGTGCTGTGGGTTCCGAGAGCGGTGCGCTAAAAAGCCCCACTTGTTCCATAAGACACGTCGCGTAAAAGCTTCTAAAATTACCTTCACAGCTCCTTTTAAAATGTGCTTTGAAATTGACGTGGAATACTAATGGCTATAACGGTTGGCCAAATAAATATACGGTACTGTAATGCTTTACATTACTCGCATGCACATTTTTGTGGACATACGATTATGACCACGTATGCACGATTCATTTTATAGGTTAAACAACACAAAGCGGTGATTGTGTTTTACATCACGCTAGAATCAATTGCCCCGAGGTCTGCAGCCCACTGGTAGCACAACACCATGGGGGTGATGATAACAGAGGGCTTCTCGCATTGAGCCAACGCGCAACCATTGCGCCCCCTACCAACGGACCCCGTCATTTGTAGAGGCGAGTGCCCTAATACACTCTGCCCTGTTTGAAGATTAGGAATGGGTCGCCAGGGAACTGTTATCATGGTTACAGTTTCCATAGCTGCGTGCACTCCTCCGAGTGGACCCATGCTCGGCGGCGTTGGTGTTCGTGCGGCAACAAACCCTGAGCAACAGGGGCGAGCCTTGCCTCTGGCACTCGTTGGCCGCACGCCACCGCGAAACCCCTGGCCAAAGGCATCACCACCTTCGCCTCCGCGTAACAGTCGGTGGCAGCGTGGGAGGAGAGTTGGGGAACACCCTGCCTGAGCACCTGGGAGGATGCTATTGGGGATAAGGAGGGGCCGGCCAGTCACACGATGGATAACGTGGGTTAAATAGGTTTACACAAAATATATATAGTACGCTAAAATCGCCCCAACAACACGTGCGTAATAGGATACCGCTTGCCTTAATATCCTGTCAATTTGATTATCTGTTATTACAAAAAGGATCTCTCCGTTGTAGGGAATGAAATGTAGGGTGGCATGTTGTCGTATTATTATACTCATCTTGCAAGCCCCCTCCCCCCCCCCCGAGTCTTGCATCAGGTCAGGTTACATGGACATCGTAATTATTAGTCGCCTCTTACCGTTTTCAATTCTGACAAGCCAGTGGTGGCAACAGCTGGGGAGGTAATTTTTCGATAGGTTAATATTAGACATTTACCTATGCCCTTTGCGGCAGGTTTAACTGCATATGCTTCTGCATTAATGTAGCCTTGGCTATATTTGTCCTCCAATGTCTCCCAAGCCAAATTCTGCAGGTTATTTTTCAGTACTCTCCTGTTCCAGTAATGTATTGCCACCTGCTGGCCGCGACATCCAACAGCCGCAATTACAATTGAGCAGCGCTTTGAGGGTGCATTATTACACACGATTAGGGACGATGATGGGATATTCCGGATTAAAATAATGACTCAAGGCATTGTCTTACAGATGAGATGCTGCCAACACTTAATTTTTCACTCCATAATTCCGTACAACATTACATTCTAAACACGCATTGCATTATTCAAGCTACCCCAGTTTGCAGTATTTGCTTGCTGTCTATACAAATATCGAAGTTCACATCGCAGACAATGTGTTATACTTTCACGGTGACGAACACGGGTTGTCAGAGGGGACGGGGGGGCACGGCGGTAAGACATTTATTCTTGCATCTGACCTTTTTTGCTGCCAGCCTGAGATTTTTTCACGGTTTTGGCCGCCTGCTGTCGTTTCTCCTCCGACTTGGCCACTTGCGTCTTTGTCTTGGGGCCAGAAGGGGCATTTCTCTCGCCCTTCTTGACGGCGCGCTTCATTGTCGGGAACGTGGCTTGAATCGGTATGGTCGAAGGAGAAAACGAAACATATAAGTTCCCCAGTTTTCACGGTGACAATATTGCCGTTGCACTCAACATTGTGTTGGAACATACGCAGTGCTGTATATATATCTGCTTACCTTATGGTTGAAACATATTTCAAATACGTGGTATTATCTCACCCCAAACATACCGGTTTAAAAGCTATGCCTTGCTGTGGGAAAATGCACTGTGATGTGGTCCTCACAACAGCGCACTCACGGTACCCTTGGCGCTGGAGTTTGAGTTTGTGTAGACTGTTAAGCCAGCTGTGTTTGACCTCTTGAGTTTAATCAGTTGGCCATGGGTGTGCAGCCTGAACTCGGGAGAAATGCAAAATGGGGATGAACAAACGGCATTTTCTAACTCATCGAGGTCCCCAATGGTACAAACTATCTTCTTGGTTCTTTCGGTAAAGTTACGTAGAAGGGAAATAATAAAATAATAAAAATAAAACATAATAAAATAATTCTCACGACGTTTCGGCCACAACGCAAGCAGCCGTCCTCAGGTGAAGACCAGGTGTGTCGGGGAGACAGCGTCCCACTACACCCCATAACAACTCCGGTCAGCACCTCCGATTGGCACGCTTGGCTCCGTACGGTGCGAACCAAGTTCAACATACGCACAGGACATACAACACGTGGGTGTAGGTGGAGGATTGCAATTAAACGACGCCGTGCAATGTTTGCCTGTAACCAAATCACCCAGAATGCGCGCCCGTTCTCATTTAACCGAGCAGAGCGAGCACTTGAACGGGTGAACCACGCGATGCAAGGCGAGGGGCAACAGGTCGCTTGGTGACCAGTAGGTGGCAGTACAGCAAATTGTCTCGGTCCACATACTATATAGATTTACTGCAGTGGGTCTGCGTGTAAATTAAACGATCTGTGTGGAGCTATGAATGACACCTCCTGGGTATGCTCGAGTTTTCTCCTGGTTCTCTGATGATGTCCTACTACGTACCAAACACTCAAAAAATAACGTTGGCCAAGTTTCCCAATGCAGGGTGACCCTTCTGGAGAAAAAAAAAACAAGTATTGAGCGTAAGTGAGGCTTTTTTGGGTAAGTAACTGCCATTATTAAGTAATAATAATTTACAGCCCATACAGAGGCCGAGCACACACATTTGCCCCGACTCCGCTCACAAGTGTTTCGCATTGCACGGAACACAAACACACACATCCATCGCCGTCTTGTCGGTTTCTAAATACAATTCTGGACGAAGGGCGCGCCCTATGCAGTTTTGATCGTGGGCGTTGTTTGACCATATCGCTTGTCAGTAAAGGGATGTGCGCAACCCCTGAACCAGGTCAAATATTACTCACCACGGATTCTACTGCGTAGGAGTTTTTTTTTGCTGGTGTGATGTGCGGCTTTCTGATGTGTTTTCAGGTTGTTACCGTGTGTTGTTTTGACATCACGTGCCCCGCTTCGCTCCATTTGTTGGGAGTTTCTTATTAGGAACGAATTGAAGAATCTCACTTTCTGACTAGATTATGTATCATTGTTGCCTGCAAAACGTCGGACTTCATGCCAAATAGACCGTAAAACCCCCAAACATCCGAGGGCTATGCGCATCGGTGTTGTTAGCCGTGGCAAAGAATGAAACTGGTTGCTGAATCCATTGTTTCGTGTGCCAAAGGGACTGTATCATAAATTATGATTGTGTGTAAAAAAAAATTTCCATTCCCCAACAGGTGTTCCTTTTCTGCACTTGGCTTCGGCATTGCCTTCAGGCAATTTTAACCGCTATCCCGTAGCTCACTTATGGCTTAGTATGATACATTTCAGTAACAGACCACTGTTTTGCAAACAATATTGTAAACATTGTTTCACTTTACAGAATACCGATTAATCTGTGAATGCAAGCTGCTCGAGCGAAGCACTGCAAACTAAGTTTGTGGAGTTCTCTCTCTCTCACGTTTATGGTTCTCACAGGACAGAAAAGTTTGATCAGATTGTCATGTAAAGTACAAGCACGTACAGTGATGTTTGAATGGATTAGAACATGTACGAGCCTATTTAAAACACCCTCTAGCCCAGGTTATTCTCTGTTCAGATGGAGAAAAGAAACATCCATTAACAATGCGTGATAGGTCGGCCTCTGCAGCGTATGGAAGGTTATTATTTATACTCAACTTTATGGGACTTACTGCTATTTTAAATGCATATGTCTACATGGCTGTAGTTTTTTGGTTAATATATCATTCAAATGGAAAACGGGAAAAGGGGTAATTTTCTATCCAGTGTACAAGTTACAGAATTGCAAAACAACGCAATCATGGTTCTGGTACACTTCATGCCCACATTATTTATCAATGCAAAGTAATACAGGTACACTTTCAAGTATATCATGCATCATTGTGTCGTTTCAGAGTTTGTTGGCAAGAGGAACAACACTCACAAGATGCAGGAATACTGGAGTCCTTCGCATTAGCTGTTGAATAACTCAACAAAATGAACTCTCCCCACGACACAAGCCTGCACAGACGAGTTCGCCAAGCTTCAATTACCTTTTAACTGCATAGCAGCACAACGCGAGGCTAATTATTTACACCTGAAATCAATCGGCTATGACCAAGTTTGAAAGATGTGCAATGCAAGATTCCTTTTATCTCTGAAAATGTTCACACGTTTAGCTATGAGTCACATTTCTTGCTTGTCCTTTGCTAAATGGGAGGGTACTGTTGTATTCATGGGCAGGTGTGCTCACATATGAAACGGATTGCCTTGTTTAAAATGAGATTATACGTTAATTACGGGAGCATTATGGCAGTCTCGAAAAAACTGGAAATGGTTTTTGGCACTTTTGTTGAGACGCAGGTGTGAGGCATTGTGTGATGATTGCGTACATGAGCAATAATGGGTGACAAAATGGCACAAATATAAGTATATATTAATCATAATCATATTTGTCGCATATTAATTATTTGACAGAAAGAAAGCCCAAGTTTAATGGCTGGCCGTGTTCCATTTAATTAAGTTTGTAATTTCGATTTAAAGCTTTCGTGACTGCAGGGATTCATCTTCTTGGTTCTTTCGGTAAAGTCACGTAGAAGGGAAGTAATAAAATAATAAAATAAAACATAATAAAATAATTCTCACGACGTTTCGGCCACAACGCAAGCAGCCGTCCTCAGGTGAAGAACATGTCTGTCGATAAGACAGAGTCTAAATGACACGTCTTAGGCTTGGAGTGTCTATTTAAGCTGTGAGGGAGGAGGAAGAGAGCCTTGACAAAAGAATTTGCATTTGAAGAGGAATTTTGTTGGTGCTGCCCCTGCCCCTGCCCCCTCCCTTTGATGCTGCTAATCCTGCATAATGCACGGGCATAATATGACTTTGAAAACCCCCCGCCCACCTCCCACGCATTTCACAATTAGCACTATTCGCATTCCTGCATTTCCCATAAATATGCTAAATTCCTCTTCAAATGCAAATTCTTTTGTCAAGGCTCTCTTCCTCCTCCCTCACAGCTTAAATAGACACTCCAAGCCTAAGACGTGTCATTTAGACTCTGTCTTATCGACAGACATGTTCTTCACCTGAGGACGGCTGCTTGCGTTGTGGCCGAAACGTCGTGAGAATTATTTTATTATGTTTTATTTGTATTATTTTATTACTTCCCTTCTACGTGACTTTACCGAAAGAACCAAGAAGATAAGTTTGTAATGTTGGTTATAATTTTTTTCGGGCAGATTTACGATTTGAGTGAAATATTCCATTCAGCAATAGAGCACAGACAGGATGCGCCGCTTTAAAATGTTCAGATTTTAGGGATGCATTATTAACCAATTAAAAACAGGCCTTCCCATCAATGTTATATATATAAAATAACCACTGGCAAATGATATGCATTACTTTATTTTAATTACCACAAAAAACAGTTTTCTCAGTTTAACACGTAGGCTTTCGCGACCAACACACCGGTGGGCTAAAGTAGTGAACTATTTGTCTTTTGTCAACGTGACACTTTTTTTGTTGATTGGCCGTATCGGGTGGTGGAGGGTTACGACACATTTATAAATAACGCGATCTAACCCAAAAACGTTGATTATGAACAGTTTTCTCACCGTCAAATGCAAATGCTTTTCGGTGGGTGTTAACTGTATTGACATTGGATTTATAAATGTAATATTTCCCCTAGATTTGTATCTTTTTGACTGAATATTATAATGTGATGGAACTATTCTATCATACCCCAGATGCACATTTACTTTATAATAGAACAGTAAATGTATTTATGTTCAACAAAGCTGAAAAAGAGTTTTGTTTTCCACAACTCTCCCACAAATGTTCTTCCTAAATCTGCAAACGAACAAGTAACAGATAGTACCGCAGAATACTGTAATTATAGAATCTGGGCCATACAAATTATTATGGTGAGTGTTTAACTGGGTGTTGGTTTGCCTTATCACCGGGCTTATTATTTCTTCTGGTGACACTTTTTGTCTGTAAGTCCAGATTGCTGGGACGCTGACACTAACATCTGTAATGAGTTGTGAGTTAATGATTGCATTGCAATAATGGAACTACACTGTGATTCCCAGAAAAGTACCTGAGGAATTTTCAGAATCACAGGGTAAAACAGCTCTGAATCTTACACCGGTTGTAACTGCAGGCACCATGCTCAGACCTCTTTATCCGATTACAAACTGGCAGCTCCAAGAGAGGAGGGGCAGGGCACACATTTCGATTTAACGCTTTTGTGGCTGCAGGGATTCATCTTCTTGGTTCTTTCGGTAAAGTCACGTAGAAGGGAAGTAATAAAATAATAAAAATAAAACATAATAAAATAATTCTCACGACGTTTCGGCCACAACGCAAGCAGCACGTGTGCTGTTTCATTCAGACGCTGTCGCTTCGACAGACCTGGTTTCACCTGAGGACGACTGCGTTGTGGCCGAAACGTCGTGAGAATTATTTTATTATGTTTTATCTATATAATGTTATTAATTCCCTTCTACGTGACTTTACCGAAAGAACCAAGAAGAAGGGCACACATTGTCAGACGTTATGTTTATTATGTGCGAAAGGTTTGACCAGATGCATACGTAAAACTTAACAATGATAGAGGGAAATAGTATGCTATAATATTAATTATTAATCTCATAAATGAAATGTTAAGTCAAAGCTAACCATGTTTATTTTTTTCAGAAAAGGGAATCACGTAAACACTATATAGAGGGACATTCATTCAGGATTTTTTTTATTCACCTCTCACAGAGAAAACATGTATTTAAACGATTATGAAGAGAACACCTGGATTACATTTTTTTAAAGCACCCCCTCTCCCCCACTGGTCCCCCCGCTTTTTTTTATTTGATAAAAAAAATACTCTACTCATTCATATAGTCTCTCAATAAAAAGCGGGTAAGATCACAAAAACAAGTGTTTAAATGCTCGTGACCGTTTTTTTTGCTGGAATTGTATTGTACTGTGGAAGACACGAATAAAGACAATTGTAAAAAAATGTATTCCTCAAGAGAAGCGATTTGCATGGACAGCGCTTTTAACGAGGCAATTCTCAGCGTTGGTAAGAAAGCCACTAACGAGTTGCGTTGGTTGTGGTTTGCACGAGCGGCGTGAATGTTGTTGAGAGAGCAGAGCTTGCTTGCTCCCCTCTCCACTGGAGCGCGCCCGGGCGGATTTTGGTACCGTGCCGTACCACGCGTCCCGCGGCGCCCTCCGCTTCTCAGCCCCCACTCCTCTCTTCCAACACACGCGACCACCCTCCCTCAATGACTCCTTGAATGTTAAAAAAGAAAATGTGCCCAATGACGCAAACACGCCGATTTTTTTTTAATTCTTCCACATCGACTAACATTGAACATAAAAAAAATTAATACGAGGCTTGCTGTGCACAATGTCGTGGCTTTACATTTGTATGCCAGGACCAATTTGGAACATTCGCAAAGGCAGATTTTGGAATTCCGAGATGACTTCACTTAAAGGACGACCCTTTTTTTAAAAAAAGCTCGTTTTTACTTAATTCTATTTAGTCGTAAGAAAGTGGAGTACAGTAGAGTTGTGGAAAATGAAGTGTGTCATTAACTTGTTGTGGCACCACCGTTTAATCCTGGCCTCCCGTTTGATGGGCAACCAGGGAGGGCATGGCTTAGATATTTATTGGAGGGGAAGGGAGGCACTTTGTGGTGTTGGGGGCGGTGGTGGTGGGTGGGTAGAGAATAGCTCATAGAGGGAGTCCGTCGCATGCAGGGGGAGGTCAAATTGGGGGCGGGTCTTAAACATCTCGACCTTCCTCAAATAAGGCCGAGATGCCAGTGCATCTTGCACCCACACTCACGATCTCCCCAAGATACTACTCTGCACGACGCCAAGGAGACGTGCCTCTGCTGGAGGGGGCGGTCACACAACTCTATCCGGCCCTATGTGTTAGCTCAGCAAGCAGAATTTCATTCTGACCTTAGCGTGGAAAGCAAAATAATCTCAAAGAGTTGGTGTGACAGCTGTAATGGCTGGCCACCTCCTCATATCTGCCGTGATCCTTTGCAGTATTTTCAGTGGAGCTGTTCAAGGTAAGGAGATGATGCAGGCGCCTGCAGATTTAGCGGGTGCCAGGAGTGTCTTGTAAAATTACACACGGCAGGTCCCTGGTAAGTTTGTGCTGTGGCTGTTTTGAGTGCAAAACAAATACAAGGGCATTCATAATTAGTTGATGTTTTTTTACAGGTGTGGAAAAAAACTCAGGAGTTTCGAAGCGATAAAAACGCATCAGTGTTACATGCCAGTATGCTCCGTGATATTTATTGCAAACATTCCAAATTAGCTCTTAGTGTGAAATATCGCTTTTAATATAATTGACATTTAAAAATCATCAACCTAAATCAAATTATTTTGATGTGTTGTATTAAACACTCACATTTACTTTTTCTGTCTAGTTTATGCAACTAATACCATAAGGAAACTTATATAACCATTGTTTGAGATGCACTTTTCCTATTCTAGTATCATGTAGTTATTAGTTGCTTTTTTTCTAAAATAATACATGAGCTAGGAAAACTTAATAGTTAGAATAATCACAAACAGGTGTATAAAGAATGAACAGTTCCTTCTTGGATGCATTATCAGTAAGGTGTGAATAGATGTGTTTATTTTACGTGATGTTTTTCATACAGTGTAGTAAATCCAAAGCTGTTTCAAAAGCTAATTGCAAAATATGGGCTTGAAATTTAAATCGTTTTGACGCAATACATTGCTGCTTCGTCAAATTAACCCCACTTTATACCTCATCAGGGGTACGTTGAGAAATAATTTGTGTCAGCAGGTCCAAGTATAAAGTCCACAGGGTAATGAATAACATTTTGTCATGAATAAGGTCAAAGAATTATAGTGGCAGGTTGTCTGCTATTGTATTAACTATAATAGAGGGATTTTGGGTTAGATCACGTAAATATAAATGTGTCGTTAAACGCGCCACGCCTGACACAGACAATTATATTTACGAAATCTAGCCCCAAAACCTCTATTATGGGTAACATTGGTCGTAAAAGCCGACGTTTTAAACAGTTTATTCAGGGAAGCTGACATAATTTTTATTTTAGATGTACACAATACATTAGTTGAAATCAAATTGAAATCGAACGATTAATTAAAACATAATACTCCTAAATTTAAGTGTGAGGACTATCGAAGAGATAGAAATGTATACTGAAGGTAATAGCACTGCTACCAAGGCTGCCAAGAACGACCCATTGATTATTGATGTCACCACATATCTTCTCTTAATTACTGAGTAGTAACTCATTAACCTTATTTGCCAACTGACATGTTGAATACACATGACTAGACCCACAGTCTTAATCCCTTTATCGGTTTGTTTATTAAGCCAGTAGCAAGCATTTCGTTATTTATATGTAAATGGTCTTACTAGGAACCCGCATTATGTATGAAAGAGGAAATCAATTTTGCAAGGAACAGAAAAATATGTTGCATTGTTATGCTGGTGGGTAGTGCTTAAATGTTCTGTAGGATAGAGACCAGCGAAACATTTATGTCAGTTAATTATGCGAAAAGTAGTGCGGTGAGTTCAGGGTGCTATGAACTTAGTGAGCTTCGTTGATTCCTGCCAATGGCTAACATCAGTGCTTAATTATACTACTGATAAGTGAACCAGTTTTTCACCAACCTTCAGAGAGACCAGCGTGATGAAGTATGGTCAAACAATCCTCATGACCGACCCAGCATAGGCAGACCCTCTTTCAAGCAGTGGACTGACGAAGGGCTACAAATAATTGTTATAGTAACGATAGATTTGAATGAATGTGGTAAGAAATTATGTGTAGAAATGTAACAATGTTTAATGTTCGTATTCTCTTTTGATCATTGTGTGATCATAATCATAGTGATCGCTGGACAAACGGCACCATATGTCTGATTTGTTATTAATATTATACATTTGTCTATACATTTCTCACTCTAGAATTTGAGAATGCTAAATATATTAGTACAGCATTTTAAAGTATATAGTATACACATTGCCTCGTGTGTTCTACAATTTCTAGTGTAAAAAAAAACAGGGTAACCTCTGAATTATACGTGTATACATACCTGTCAACCCATACGGGTTACCCGTATTCTTCTACAGGGAAATTGAGTTTCACGTCTATAAGGTGCACAGCCGTGTCAATACGGGCTTTGCAGGATGAACGTTGATATGTATAAGGGCACGGAGTGACCAATAACGTCTGAATTGGTCTGTAATAAGGTAAGCACTGATAAGGGGTTGACAGGTATGGTGTACACAACAAATCCTTGCAGGTTGCAATAACTCAAACCAATGTTATTCATAATACAGGTTTTTTTTTGGGTTAGATCCCATAAATATAAAATGTGTCGTTAAACCCGCCACCACCCGACACAGCCAACGAGTAAGGTTTGTGACGTAAACAGAACGTGGCTAATTCGTCACTAGTACAGCACAGCGGTGTGTTGGAGAGCCAAGCCAAAACATTTACAATCTGAGTAGGACGTATCACCAGTAATTACAATTAGCTTAATCAATTACTGGCAAAACGTCATACTCAGATTGTAAATGTTGTGGCTTGGCTCTCCAACACACCGGTGTGCTGTACTAGTGACGAATTGGCCACGTTCTGTTTACGTGACAACCCTTACTAATTGGCTGTGTCAGGTGGTGGCGGGTTTAACGACACATTTAGATATTTACGCGATCTAACCTAAAAAGAAAAAAATCTGTATTATGGGTGACATTGGTCGCAAAAGCCTGCCACGTGTTAAACTAACAATGTTATTTAAAATGTATGCTTTCTTGAGTCAATTTCATTACGCAGAGCCACATTATTACGTGCGTCTGTGCTAACTGGCCACAAGCGGATGACAGTTAGTGATGCAGATCACTCATTTTTTAATCCATGATTTTATGGTGATAACGTTTTGAGTACAACATGCGGGAGAATGTTTGTAAATAGTTTGATTGATCAATGAACGGTTAATTAACCGTTATGCAAAATTTGGGAGTCTAGCTAGATTGGTATGGTTCACACGATTAAGTGTTCCATAACTAATTAACCCTTGCTATGCTGACGGCGCATAAAACTTTGTGCTTGGTAGGGCTTCTTCTGATATTGGTAACAAAGTAAATGGTTAAATGGGAAGGGAGTGGGGGGGGGGGGGCTTGGGGGGTATAGAATTTGGTAATTTATTTCCCTTTAAAAAAACACAAGAATTGTTCAAAGGTCCATGTGGTTAGCGAATCAATGTTTTAAATGACTGTTTAAGAATGTTTTCATTCCCACCTGAATCACGTTTAAACTTAACACCATGCACTCTATTGGCAGTGTCATTTTGCTTTGTCATGTTCAAAGTAGTAGAGAAGGAAAACATTCCACAGGAACAAAGTTCTGTAAACACCCACCAACAGTGACCACGCATTACACAAGAGCATAGCTACAAAAAATACACCTGTTATTCTTACATTTCAGGTTTGTGTTATATGTATTATATATCATATATGTTTATGCAAACAGAATGTCTCTCTTACTAATACAAAACAAATTTGCGATAGTATCTTGTAACAGCTCAGGTGTCAAATATGACAAGAATTTAAACAATGTTTTAATACGCTCCACAAAAGATACCTCCATCCCAAAGTTCAAGGCATCCATCAGTCAGATGCATTCCAGGTAATGCATATTTAGAGCAAAAAGGGAACTACCAGGCAGTAACATTCCCCTCCCTGGCACGATGCTATCAGTAGGATTGGCCCCTTTGGGAGACAGGGAGAGGCCTGGTACCAGAATCACAGAGCCCCGACCTGAGAGATAGCACAGCGCTGTCAAAATGGTTTCTGCGGCACATGGGGGGGTGGGGGGGCTGCCGAATTTGACAGCTGGCAGGAACACGTGTCTCTGTGCGGCTTAACGAAAGCATATTTATAATGGCATTGCACGCTACCCAAGGGCAGCGCAATTATGCAGCGGGATGTTGACGCGTGCCACGCTGTACGATAATAACATTAAACATATAGATTAATAATATATGATCATTTTCTTTTCATAGTTGGTAGAAACATCGGACGGATTTAAATGTTTTATTTGTAAAATGTGGTGTTATGTCTTAAAATGGTATTTATCATGAAAAACAATAACTAGCAGTTTTGTTAGGAGTTTGTTATTGATATATTTAAGCAAGGGGATTTACCTTCTAAGTCAGAACATTAGCTGGGAATTGACAAACAGACATTTTAATGCTCTAAAATAGACATTTGTTTTTATTAGCAGAAATCTCCACTGTTAGGTGCCACAATGTGGACATTCAGGCCACGTGGTTATAATTCTGATATACTGTGCCGTATTTATGATATTCACCCAAGTAAAAAATATTCATTACGTCGATCATTATTGATAGGTCAGGAAGGCATTTATAAAAGAGCCATTGAAACTTTTTGTCTAGATTCAGGACAGCAGGACTAAGCATTGCTAAGCATGATTAAGGGTGTGCGAGTAGACTATTGGAGGTTAAGGGTCAGGCTGGAAGGAGAATTTTGGGGGAGTGAACAAAACGCTTTTGACCCAGTGGCTCTTATTCGTGCCTTTAATGTCAGTGCGTTGTGCACTTTACTGGGTAGTCATTCGGTGCTAGAGCCAAGCTGTCATAAGTCCACTTTACAACAAACTTAATGTTCTACAATGTAAAACTTACAGCTCTTTGTCACGTGGAGGGTGGACCACCCACGTCCTGCCTCACTGTACTTGATATAATTAAAACGTAAAGCAGCCAGGGAAATTGATGATCCAGCACTCACAAATTCCCTCCGGTCACTCGCTCACGATCGTCAGTCGCCTCCTGATGACTCTTATACCATGGATACCGGTCCCCTTCGCTCATTGATTCCTGCTTTAATGTTAAGGGATTACACCTACCAGACTGACTCTTGCGTCTTATCCACACTGTGTTCAACCAACACACTGCATGTCAAAACTCTTCTCTTTAATGCTTCTTCCCTCGCACTGCTCGACTTTGGAATTCCTTCCCATCTTCTCTTTTCGCAGGCTCTTCTATTCTTGCTCAATTAAATAAATGTGTTAACTCTTATCTGTTGTACCTCTGATGGTGCTGACAGTTGCTGGCCTCTTCACGTTTTGGGGATTTTGGGCCTGTGCCCAGCAACTACGTTTCAGAAAAGAATAATAGGCAGTGAAAAATCAGTGCACATATTGGTAATTTAAATCTTTAGAGAATTCAATGTACGAGTTGATACATATCTTTAAATAGAATTCACAAGTATGATTTTTGTATAACTAGTTCGTGCAATCATAATTTATTGATATATATTTACATATAATATAAATGACATGTAAATAAAAATGCATATGCTATATAATGCGGATTCCAATATGCCATAGACGAAATAAGTACGCGTAACTTTATTTTACAGTTATTTTAATGAAGGCACTTTTATTGCAGTATACATTTTCTAAATCTTAAGTCTGTAAACATATACACATAAGCGAATACTTAGGCATTCCGATTTACACACAAATACAATTTTGTTTGTAAACGGTGCCACTTAAGGATAAAATCTAATGATAGAAATGTTATCTTTGATCATAAGTGAGACACAAACACTTCAGCTAATGATAGTGTGTGTCAGCTTATCTGACTGAGAAAATGTGAAGTTAATTATTCAATGTACAGGAGACTCGTGAAGATTGTTTAACCCGTAAACGCCCACATTAGATGCACCCATAAAAAATACAAATTTAGGTGAATAGACGAGTCTAAAGTAACACACGTTAGAAAGAGCTCAAGAAAAGTGTATATAGTATACACAGTTAACCCGCAGAACTGCACTCACCTCGCCATCATTATTAACACGATGACTTCAGGGCATCAGGGCAGGCAGACTAGTAGTAAGCAGCAGCTAAGGATGGCTAACTATTACTTTAAAAGCTTACAATTCATTCAACACTACCTTCACATCGCATTCATAATTATCAAAGGGTGAAGCAGTGGCACAGTGGATCATGCAGTATATGTATGTATGTTGAGCTTTTATCGCAACGTACATAGCCAACCGTGCTAATCAGAGGTTCGGGGGGGAAGGACAACAAACTAAACACAAAAAGCAGATTTCGATTTAAAGCTTTCGTGACTGCAGGGATTCATATTCTTGGATCTTTCGGTAAAGTCACGTAGAACGGATAAAATTTAATGATAAAAATAAAACATAAAAAAATTATCACGACGTTTCGGCCACAACACAAGCAGCCGTCCTCAGGTGAAGAACAGGGCTGTCATTAGGACGCTGTCTTTCCGACAGATCTGTTCTTCACCTGAGGACGGCTGCTTGCGTTGTGGCCGAAACGTCGTGAGAATTTTATTATGTTTTATTTTTATTATTTTATTATTTCCCTTCTACGTGACTTTACCGAAAGATCCAAGAATACAAAAAAGCAATTCTAAAGAAATGTACTATGAACCGGCAAAACTGGGTTTGATTCTCAGCCAGGGCTAACATCGGTGGCGAGTGATATCTGACCTGAGGGTAGACAAGTGGTTGAAAACGCCTGTTTAATTATAAAAAAAAAACATACAAAAAATAATACGTGCGCAAGTATATTGCATTGTAAGATTAACCAATGATGCTATTTATTGACATGAGCGAAATTTATTACAAATTCGCTTCAGGTTGCAAAGGGCCCTTTATAAATACGAACTGGAATAGCAATCGAGGTGGCAGTGTGTTTCAAATGTTGCCCTTGTAATTATTGAGTTATGATTAAATACAAATCTACTCTGTTGGACCAAAAACTTTAATCCCATTTCCCTACACCATAGCTTCTTTCTCCCTTTCAGTGCTTTGATGTTTACTGCAGAGTAGGTTTTTTTTTTAAGTCGTGCTTTCCTGCTTCAGTCTCCAATGTGTTTGATGTGAGCCTCCAGGAACTGAATTCAACTGAATTCTGAGCATATGCAGCAAAATGTTGGACATCATGCTGAATGACACACGGTACAACCAAAGACTATATCAGAGAGCTACACAGCGAAACCGAAAATACCCTCACATTGAAGAGTTGCTCTGATATACACATATATACGTGTGATGGGCTAGTTTTCTCGTTGCACTGCATGTTACTTGGCACGAATTCAGACCGTGTGAAGAAACTTCCAGCATGTTGACCGAAAATAGGACATCACATTGGAGAGTTGCTTTGGTATATGTGTATAATACATGTACGTGTACGCATCATGTGCTGGTTTGTCCACCCAGGCTGCGACAGTGGGCAGTTCCGCTGTGGCTCGGGCGCGTGCATTCCCCGCAGCTGGGTCTGCGACAGCATCAACGACTGCTCCGACAACTCAGATGAGAGAGGCTGCTGTGCGTCCCGCTCTTCTTGCACACGTTCATTACGACGAATGCTTCCGTCGATACTCAGGAGGCGATATGACAGAGTACAAGGGCACCCGCCATGATATTTTTGTTTGGAGCTAGAGCATAACAGGGGAGAGGATGGGCGCCAGGGGAGGGCTTGTGCAGCAGGTTCATTACATTCCTGTCCAAAACAAAGATCTCCAAACCACTTGTCTCCTCATTAGAGTGGAAAACATTTCGGTTCAAAGAGCAGCCTTGTTTGAGATGACAAAACACACTGGCTCACTCTCCCCGGTTCATTACTGCTGCCATGGCTATACATGTAAAAGTTAAGTAAATAATCGATTACTAGATTTAGGTTTTATGGCAGAAAGCACAGTATATTGCACAATAGTTTACACAGCATTTTACATGAAAGAAATACTATATTTCATCATGTAACTCAAAGCATCAACCATCAATATGGACTTGTTGATTTATTAAAGCAATATTAAAATACTATGGGGACCTCATTTGCCAGTAAAAATATGATAATTGGTTCTTTACCCTTCTATCTGGCAACAAAACTGACACCTTTTTGCAAGGAGTCATGTTTGCATAGACCGCAATACCTGCAGTCATAATACAAACAAAAGAACATAACTCTGATAATGTGCACTGTCCTTGAAGTTGATTGGTCCACACCCGAGACAGCTTTCCTTCGAGCCTAGTCTCATATGGGTTGGACCAGATGACGCCAAAAGGCGCCTTTTGGCGTCATCTGGTCCAACCCATATGAGACTAGGCTCGAAGGAAAGCTGTCTCGGGTGTGGACCAATCAACTTCAAGGACAGTGCACATTATCAGAGTTATGTTCTTTTGTTTGTATTATGACTGCAGGTATTGCGGTCTATGCAAACATGACTCCTTGCAAAAAGGTGTCAGTTTTGTTGCCAGATAGAAGGGTAAAGAACCAATTATCAATATTAAAATAATTATAATTATTCGACAATACATAAACTAAACCAAACAATTTGCATTTTTTAATTTTAACTAGATAATGCCCACTGAGCTCTATAGCTCTTTTCTCAGAACCTACCTGGCAACAAATGATAGCTCAAAGAATTGGCTTATCACGTGAAAATGTACTGCAGCCAAATACTCTTAAATGTAACGAAGATAAAGGTGCAGCCCTGAGCAGTTGGTGGAAGGGCGCTATCGAGAGCCCCTCTCAAGGGTATTTTTGGTCTATTGGACCAATATTACATGCATTTCATAACTGCATTTATAATATGTGATGAAGTATTGTGTGTGTGTGTCGCAGGCCAATTCATAAACTTTTCTTCTGTGCATTTGCAGCCCCTGCAACATGTTCGACGCTCCAGTTCAGGTGTCTAAGTGACAACCGGTGCATCGCACGCGCATTTGTGTGCGACGGAGAAGCGGACTGTGCGGACAGATCAGACGAGCACCAGAACTGCCGTGAGTTCAGTCTTGCCGTCGTCCGTGTCTCCTGCCCATAGCTGTCCCGTGTTTCATACGCTGCAATCAAAGTGCTTCCTCACTCACACATGCCATTAAACAGGTAGAGTTTTGGTGTGTAAGCAGCACCCTAGTTGTCAGGAACAGAGTGATGTAATGTCATATTCCGTTACATTATTTATAGGTGCCTGTATCTTCTGAGAGAGGTTTGAAAACTCACGCTGCATTATCATCACCCAGAGCAATGCTAACATTAGCAAACCTAGAAAAAAAATGCCATAAAATACATTTATTCTACAGAACTGAACATTTATAAATGCCTGTATTCTTATTCTTAGGTTTTTTCGGTAAAGTCACGTAGGTAAAAAAATTAAATTAATAAAAGTAAAATAAAACAAAATAAAAAATCACGACGTTTCGGAAGCAACACAAGCCTCCGTCTTCAGGTGGAACCATCACAGCCACGACAGCTGTCTCAAGTAAATGAGAGATCACAAGAAACAGGTCCCTGAGGGGTGGGCTGGTAGGAACGAATAACCAAGAATATAAACATAATGTATTATTACACTTGTTTAGCCAGGAAATTTCTCACTGAGTGTAAAGGTTTTTGTACGGTCCTGCCAAGTGTTTGTAGTAAGGGGCGATGTTGCTACACCTAATCGGACGATACGAAGGGAGAGTTTGAGGCCTAGTTCTAGGCTTTAGGCCTAGCTGTAGGCTTTAGGCCGCTGTGAGTTAATTTTTAATTTAAATGTTTTAATTATTAATGTAAAAGCTTTAAATGTAAATGTTTCTATTAAAAAAAACATCAGGGAATGTAACATTGTTACACATTAACTCCCTTTCACACACGCGGGGGTACGATACGAAGGGAGAGTTTGAGGCCTAGTTCTAGGCTTTAGGCCTAGCTGTAGGCTTTAGGCCGCTGTGAGTTAATTATTAATTACATTTTTTAATTAAAAGCTATCTCAGGAAATTATAAGGGAATGTTACACTTGTTTAGCCAGGAAAGCATCACTGAGTCTAAAGGTTTTTGTAGGGTCCTGCCAAGTGTTTGCAGTAGGGTGCGATGTTGCTACACGGACGGACGGACGATATAATCTATTCTAGGCTGGTTCACTTCGTTCCTACCAGTAGTACCACTCCGTATATATAACGGTTAAGGGGGGAAGGGCCAGAAACGGCACACTTTTTATTAATATAGTAAGGTGAAGCTTAAGACTAAGAATAGACTGCATAACAAAGGACTGAGACTTTGTTATGGAGAGGTGTGGTTTGTAACTAACACCTAGCATACATAACAAAAGTGTGAAAAAAGAAAGCAAGTAAAAACTAAAACTGGTAAAACAACAAACTGGCTGTCTATCAATAACCTGTAATAGTTGTCGGTCAAATAAGATGGTCCAAATAAGTGTAGTTACATCTTTTTTGCATGGTTAATCACATCTTTCCAATGATTACTCAGTTTGTAACCCTCATCACGGTTGAAATTATGTCTGTGTTTGTATATTTGTATAGCTTCGTGTACAAACCTTTGATGGTAGCCAGGAGGTTTGCAGAGCACCTTGGTCTCGGAAAAGACAATTTCATGAGAGCCCACAGAGTTGTAGCAATGATCGGCAACAGCCGAAGAATCAGTTCTGCCGTGTTTCAGATCTGACTTGTGCTCGCGGACACGATCAGAAACATGACGTTTCGTTTCTCCAATGTAGCAATCACCACAACTGCAACTCACTTTGTAGGCTCCAGGATACTGTAAGTCAGGAACGACATCCTTCACAGATGGAATCAGATCACGGATTTTATGCACTGTACTGAATCGGACTTGGATCTTATGTTTGTTTAGAATTTTGGAGATATTTTTGGTCACGCCTGCTATGTATGGTAACGTGATAGTTTTGGTCGGAGTTTCATATGGCTGTTTCTGTATGGTGGGAGAAACAGCTTGGCGTATGGTGCGGTCAGAGTATCCGTTCATCCTGAGGGCCCGATGTACATGTCTTAATTCACCGGCCAGGTGGTGTTGGTCAGAAATGCCATGGGCTCTGTGGTATAGCGTTTTGATGAGATAATTCTTTTGAGATGGGTGGTGGTGGGAATCCGGTTTCAAGTAGGAATCTGTGTGGGTGGGAGAATATGAATCCTTGCAATCACGAAAGCTTCAAATCTAGAATTAATGCCAGTATTCTGTCTAAAAAAGTAATTGCAACGCCTTTAAAAATACTGAATGAAAAATGATTATGATGAATTTTTATATGGAGAAAATTTTCAATGATTCGTGAAGTTGTGAATGCAGATTAGTGGTTGGCATTCTATAGGGTTTTTTTTTCTTAATATCGGAGCTAACGATAACAACTGACTCCTACAAATATTACAGTTCATTTACCTCCTCAGTCTCTCAATGTGAAGCCTCATGCATGGATCACAGGAGTAGAACTGAGGCCTATTGGTAAGCTGGGCCGGGTACAGAAATAACATCAATTAAAAAATCTACCAAGAATATGCAAAGAATGTCATGCAATTTATATAAAAGCTAATGTGCAGAGGAGATGCTTTATTAGGATGAATTTCAAATTACTCATTTAATTCAGTGGTGAGATTATATATAATTAATTAGTTATCAACGCTGCATACTTTATTATCATATATAATTGATAGCTATACTATTTTAATGCGATAACATGTGTAAAACATCCATTTGCAGACTCTAATAGTGCAAGAAGGTATTTTTAATGACACCTTTCTACACATAACTCAGACATACGACCACTCCATCCCTACTGCCGTCTCTCTGCAGGTATTTTATGTGCAGTTCTTTCTGTTATTTTGTGCTTATTCACCGCTGGTAACAACACTGCTCCAAAAGCCGTCAGACCTCATGTTCTTTATTTCCTTCACCATCACTCCCTAATGCCTCCCCCAAAGTCTTAATTTTCACTGCTTACCATTTGCACATTAGCCCAGCTGACAACACCGTAGATAAGATTCGTTAATGAAAAAGTGCTGCAGTTTTATCGGAGTTAAGAGATTGGGTGGAAAGCACGGATGCCACTGCCTCGACAAATATCTTATGTCACTTATACGTTCAACTACATTTATATAACGGAGTGGAGTGGTGGTTCAACGGTTAACACACCGTGCTATGAACACGGCCACCCGAGTTCGATTTCTGGCCAGGGCTAACGTCAGTGGCGAGTGATATTCCAATTGGTCACGGGTACCACCTTCACCAACCCGAACTGACCACCAGCATGGTGAGGTGTGGTCACACAGCTCCCATGACCAATAGGGCATGGGGAGGCCTTCATCCATCAGTGTATTGACGTGCGGCTTAGACGTTATATTTGATCCTTATGGCGGTATCCCGGGGTACCAAATAATACAAGATGGCCGAGGCAATTCAATGTTATATTTCTGGGACACTATTTTTCCAGGGGTGTACTTAACTCTGCGACTGGGGTTCCAATCAATCCGAAATCAGTGCTATTCCGCGATGTCGAAACGCCAAACATTATAGCATTAAAAAAATCCGTTATCGAAAATCAACGTTGAATAGGACATCGTGTACAGCTCGTCGAGATGAGTCGATTGCCACATCGCCGACCATCAACGGACTAAAAATGACTGCATCACGGACATCGTGCGAGAACAGGGGTACTATGGTACCCCCCGGGGTGCCGCCATAAGGTTAATTTGTATAACACCCATGTCCATTTAAATAACCCTGCCCTGAAAATGGCTGTTTACTCTTTCTATTGTTCGTACCGATCCTCTCCGCCCTCCCCACTGCAGCTGGAAGCACGTGCTCAAGCAGCCACTTCACGTGCGCTTCTGGACACTGCGTACAGAGCGCGTTCCGCTGCGACCACTTCCAGGACTGCGATGACCGCTCCGACGAGCAGAGCTGCCGTGAGCTGCACAGCCGACTCACGGGGGCGTGCGCGGCACGGCCACAAACACCTCTTGCCCCTTTTCTAAGCCTAAAGTCACATTGTTCCACGGGTTCGGCAGCTCGGATCTTCCTTCGCCATGCACTTATATAATGCGCCCATACACCGGCGACATCCTCGATCCGCTCCCTCCTTCGATCTCACCCTCGGTCTGCTCCTTTAATTCCTGCGTCGGCAGCATGTCCATAGGGCTTTGAGTTCCATGGCCACATGCTTGTGCACTCGAAGGGAATTCGTTCGATCTGGAAATGCTGTACTAGGTTTCCAAGTGCATTGCCCTTCTGTCACTGTTTATTTAACGTAATTTAAAGTGTACCACGCTCAACGTCCCTTCGAATGAAGTAGCCCTTTAAACAGTACCTTTGCTCACGAGACTCAAGACTTTTAGCCTGTTAGTGCTTGCTACAGCATACCTTTTGGACATTGTTTATATTTGCTAAAATCATGCTTAGTATATTTTGGAACATATACATCCAGTAAAATAAAATGCATATTTTGCTTTACACATGAGATGTACGTATTATGCACGTCGATATAAACGCATGTGTCATCGATCCTTAACAGTGCAGTAAGCATAACCTGCAACAATAATCGTACGTATTCGACATCATCACAGATAATGCTAAAACTCCACACTTGCAAAAGGTCACTAATGTATTGTTAATCAATCATGAACAATCTTATGGCGATCTGCATTGTTAATAATTATTGGTGTTAATGATCATGATCCTTTTTCACAACCCTAAAACAAATAAACCATTATTTGATGGTTGTACAAAAGACAAAGATCTCCCTGTATAGCCTGAACATACTTTTTCAGGCCATTACTAAGGCCGGCACGGCACACGAGGTGGTGGGTGGCCAGCACCATGCCCGGCCGCCTTTGTCTTCCCAGTGGCGATATTTACTCACCGCACAAAGTACTCATTTGAAACTGATTCGATCTAGGAGAGTCCCAGGACTGTTTGTACTACACATTGGTATATGTTCTTGCTCAACTCAACATGCAGAAGCTGTGCACTTTTCCAACAACTGCCTGCGGCCACATGCACACACGGCCATAAAGCAGGTCACGGAAGGTTGAGCGCAGCGGGTTCGCGATGCTACAGTTTACACATTGCAGGACACAATTATGCACCGCCGTCTGCTGAATACGTGACGCCGGCGTGCAGAGTACCCGACATGCGGAGAGATGACCTGCGCCAACGGAGCCTGCTTCAACACAGCGCAGCGGTGCGACGGGGTGGTCAACTGCCGGGACTTGTCTGACGAAGCCAACTGCAGTAAGTGTGGCACGAACTCTCCCCTTCACCCGCTGTATGAGCTCAAACCAATTCAATCACACGCGCACCTCTGCCTCTACACGCATGCGAGGAAGGTATTGAATGAAATCGCGGTTTGCTGACCACGGGGGCTCAAAGGTCACACAATGCCCAGCGGCCAGCAACAATCAGCCCTTATTTAAGATGTAATAGATGCGAGTTAAGGTGTTTCTTGAAATGGGCAAGGTTGTAAGGACTTATGGAAAGAGATTGAGGTGGGGTTGCAAAGTCGAGAAGCTCAGAAGTGTTTTCACCTGCAGTGTGGTGCTTGAACATCGCATGGATGAGACAAAATCGTCAATCCGGTAGACCGGACTGGCTGTTTTGGGTGTAAGAATTATTTCACGGAGTCCCTGTGAATTGTAACCATGGCAGGAGCAATGGACGAGTAATACGGAGGTGGCTCGCCGCTGGTGAGCGATTAACTGAAGTGAATCAGCGAGTGGTAGATCACCAATTGACCTGAGTTCTACATTTAGCGTTCCTTTCACCTCATTCAGATTTCATAATGCTATTTATCACTATTTGGCATTTATGAAGATGTTTTATTCGTAAAAAAATTTGTAGGGACCCATATCATGTTTTGTTTCATATTATGTAATATAATTTGTAGATCTAGGATTTTATATTACTTATGCTGCATGTTTTCAAGTGGTGTTTTCTGCATGTTTTCTTGTTAATACGCTGTTATTTGCATTTTTGATTAACCCAATCCCAGGTCTCCCTATACAAAGAGACTCAATGGGATCTTACTTGGTTATGAACTTCACCTATCTATAATTACAACGTTCTGTAATATATTGATTGTATTGATCCCTTCACATTGCTTAATCATTTACAGCCTAAACATCCAAGTAGTGACGTTTGTTTAGCATGTGCGTTTGAGACCGAGATTCGCAGAGTTGCAGCTTGCAGGATTTGGTCGCCACTGTTTGGATCATTAGCGTCTCCAGGGGGAGGGGTAGGGGGGGGGCAGATACGGACCAGGGGTGTCAGTGTGTTTACCCAGGAACATTTCACTAAATCCTAAGGCAGACTGGGGGAGATGGATTTAATTGTTTGACCAGTTACTTTATTGAGTGTGTGTGCGTGGGAGGAAACCAGCTTACCTCAATAATATGCATGCATAAGAGAGAATAACACTCAATGGTCAACATATATTTGTCCACAAACCCACTTGCCGTACTGCCAACCTTTAACAACCTTACAGGCTTGTGGATTCAGAAGTATCACAAATCTCCATGGTCCAGTAACGATCACTCCACATTGTTAGATTTGCAGGCATGTGCCACCATACCCAACTATTAGCTATGTAAGTGTACTCTGCCAGAACAGTAGTGATTGGTAGCTTGTGATGTAAACATGCTAATGTTAGGCAACATATGAATATAATTTTTATTGGAATAACTTGGTCCACAGAGCGTTAAATTGCCTTTCACTTTTCTAGCGGCAAGATGCCCAGCGGGTGAATTCCAGTGTGCGAATGAAAGATGCGTCCCCCAGTCCTATCGCTGTGACCACATTGATGACTGCACGGATGGAAGTGATGAAAATGGCTGTGGTGAGCTATTACCAATCAACACTTCTAACCACGTTGAATTATATATAGCCTGGAACATTGTTGATTTTTTGTTTACTGTGCAGGTCAATTGCATTAAAAAAGAGTATATACTGTACTTCCAAAATGAAAATAGTGAATTAAATGTACTTGAAAGCATACAATTGAATGACACACCGCACACTTAACACACATGAGGAGAGTTTGCTGATACAACCCAAATCTAAAGGTGACGTTTGGCTTTTCTCTGGTGGCAGTTTACGGGACATGCCAGGGTAACCAGTTCACCTGCGCCAGCGGCCGCTGCATTCTGCAGAGCTGGGTGTGTGATGGAGACGAGGACTGCTTTGATGGGAGTGATGAAAGAGGATGTGGTGAGCCACCAATGTCAAACTTTCCACATGAATGTGTGATTCAACAGTAATACAAACTACCATCATTTGTACACATGCTTAAATTGCATCACCATTTCCATGAACACTGTCTGATGAGTGAAAAGTAAAGCTAACATTTTGGGCTTTGGCTCTATTCAGAGTAGAGGTGGGAAATAGTGACGTAGTTGGAGTCGGATTTGTAAGAAGTGTTGTATGAATCAAAACGTTAATTTACTACGCCTTTTGGCGTCCTCTGGTCTAACACTGTTTTGAGACTAGGCTCAAAAGAAAGCTGTCTCTGGTGTGGACCAATCAGTTTCAAAGACAATGCATATATTATCAGAGTACTTTTTTGTTTGCATTCTGACCACAAGTATTGTGGTTAATGCAGACATGATTCCTTGTAAAAGGTTTCAGTTTGGTGTTTTAACATCTTAACAACAACTGTTGCCAGAAAAAAAGGACAACCTATTCTCAGATTTTATGCATGTGCACCGTACATCACTTCCAGCACATTGCATTAAATATCAAATGAGGCTAAAACCTCGTAATTTTTTACGTGCATGAAAAAAACGAAAACACTTGCTACAATCGGTTGTTCACTGTGGGTGCAGCGAGCGACGAGAGAGAATGCTACCCGGAGGAGTGGCCATGTCCTGGCAGCAAGGCGTGCATCCCCTTCAGGAAGGTCTGTGATGGGAGACGCGACTGCCCGCACGGCACAGACGAGAGCAACTCCACTGCTGGACTCGCCTGCTGTGAGTAGTCCCTCGCATTCAAACCTTTCAGAAGAAGAAGTAGAAGTGTCAATGTCACTGTTTTCTGTTAACAAAAAGGGCAAACATTGGTTGTTGTGAAACCTCTCTCACATTTGGGAGTGGAAAAAAACGAAATACTTTGTTTCGTACCTCATTTGACATGCCTTACAGTACTGCAGAATGTTATGATAATAACTTTCTGACCTTTACACATTGCAGCTATCGAGAATTGTGGAGCCCTGAGTTGTGAATATCGCTGCCACGCTTCGCCCGCGGGGGGCGCCTGCTACTGCCCGCCCAGCTTCGTCGTCTCAAACAACAGCATCACCTGCATGGGTGAGCACACAAGAGGACAACATTTTTCCGTGCTATACCCGGGCCATCGTTTTAGCTGGGTTGGCCGTCGAGGATGGGAGCGGCTAAAGGGAGGTGAGCGGTGCGGGTTGCAAAGATGTTGGGCGGGGGGGGGGGGGCTCAGAAATAATTAAATGAGAAATGTACCTCTGGATGTAAACTACTTGGCTGTTTTTTTTTACTGCTCAGAGTTTGTGATTGGAGTCCTCTTTGTTGTCAATTCTTTGCATGACCCCTGTAGATTTTGACGACTGCAAGATGTGGGGAGTGTGCGACCAGTTCTGCGAGAACCGCCCGGCAGGACACACGTGCCAATGCAGCCCTGGTTACTCGCTGGAATACAACAAGCACTGCCGTGCTGACGTGGCCAGTGAGTCTGTTTCCTGTGAAACAAACCCGCTGCGCTGTAACTTAGTCGACATGTTGCAGTTCACCCCATCCCATTAGAGATTGATGAAGTTGTGACGATTCGAGGTCATTATGCGATTCAAGAATTACATTTTTTGTCTTAGTTTTATTGTCTGGTTTTTATTGTTTCATCTATTTTCTTGCCTCTATCATTTGTTTGCTCAGTTCACCTGAATGTGACATTGGTTAGATAATTTTAATCTATAATTTTTAAAATAATTTGTACTGTAATTGATTCTCACACCATATGATTTGATGTATGTATCATGAGCATAATACTCACTTGTAATCAATTACTTGATATGTGGTTACATACTTGTAATTTTACTTTTAAAACAATAAAAAGTGTGTACATATTATGTTGTTTTTGGTGTGTACATGTAGTTTTTAACACATTTTTCTAATTTCCCACAAATATTATCCTGATTGTCCTTTGGGTGTCACGTCACAGTGTTCAAATGTTGTAAAGGCCTGGGGAGCAGCACCACTCACGCCGTTGCTCTTGTGTTGACGAAGGTGGCGTTGCGTCGCTCCTCTTCTCCAACGGAAAGGACCTCATGATGAGCGACCTGCAGGGCCGCACCGTCCGTGTGCTGGTGCCTTCGCAGAACCGCGGAGTGGCCGTCGGTGTTGACTACCACTACATCCTCCGCCGCGTCTTCTGGACTGACACCATGCAAAACAAGGTTCGTTCAGCGCATCCAAAATAATACTGTGAAAGGTGTAGCGTAACAATAGTTGTATGATGTGATGTACTATGTTTTTTTAAGCGCAAAACTAAATTGAAGGCGATAGTTTTCTTTCTGCGGACTCATTGGTAACTGGAGTGAGAACATCAACTCACCACAGATTCAGAACCCGATTGAAATCTAGAATCTCAGCAAAGCTCTGACCTCCGAGCCACCTGGCCACTTCAAGATTGGGTGACCTTTTTTAAGTACCATGGGTTATTCGGCATGATGTCCTACGATTCGCTCCGAGCGTTGGGAGCTCTTGGAAGCTAATTCAGAAGCCATACACCACAATGGCAGGAAATGCCGATTTGCCTTGAGGAACCTGGTTCCTTTATGAACGACTCTCACCAGGTACTGCCTTCAAGCCTTCAAATTAAAACACTGATGTACTCGAAGAGATTAGTGAGAGCCGAGGAGGCAAAGGCTGGTGGCAATGTGAATAAGTGGAGGCTCAGGAATGATCACAATGTAAATGTGGAAGAGCCAGGGAAAACATTTGAACACTGTTCAATGCAGTGCCCCGAATAAAACACCTGAGGATGTATTTGGGTCATGTGATAACACAAGGTCTTGGCTGCAATTTCAAGCAAATAGCTATGATGATGAGTTCAGTGTGTGGGTTAACTGTTGATTAAGAGCAGGGTATTCTATTTAATTCATATATTCGTATTGATTATTTACCTCCGATTCGCCCGGTTTGTTACATACTGTGTGAAAGAAGTTCAACATATATACGTACATTCAGCGCATGATAAATACGTAGAATTGTATATTGTACTTAAGAATATAATTTGTTTAATGTGTTATATGTGATGGGTTCACTTGACCTCTGCAGCCACCAGTGGCTGCTACGTTCATCACAATTTCAAAAAAGTGATAGATTATTCGATCGAATCATGACATCTACTGCCAAGTGTGTGTTTCACACCAAGACCTTCATAGATGTTCCCGAAAGTGTGCGCCTGAGCCACAATTGCCACAGATTCCAGTAACCTTTTGATATTTTGTTTGCTGTCTCCTTTAGCTAAATTATGATAAAATTTATCATGATAAACTGTGCAGCACATATGACCAAAACACAGCATTTAATCAGATCTCGGAAACTACGCAGAATAGAGCCCAGCTCGTGCTTAGAGGGGCAATCATCATGCAACAGCAGGTGCCATAGACAGTGGCCTACCTTTTAATAAACGAAGAGCAGTGCATAAAAAGCTCCTGTTTGCTGCACTGCCACGCTCCCACGGTCTGTGCGGTCTGTGTGCCTTCACCAAACCAGCGCTGTGCAGCGTGGTGAAGTGTGGTCAAATAATCCCGATGGCCCACGCGGGTGTGGGGATACCCTCCTTGACACGTGTACATCCTGTACAGCAAAGTCCCCCCCCCCCCTCCTCTTTTAAAGTCACGTCTATGCTATGCAACAGGTACTTTCGGTAAACATGGACACATTGGCAGTGGAGACGGTGCTGTCAGTGGCCCTGGACATGCCCGAGAACTTGGCCGTGGACTGGATTAGCAACAAGCTGTACATTGTGGAGAGCTCGGTGGACCGTATCGACGTGACTGACCTGAACGGAGCGAACCGACTAACGCTCATCGCTGAGAATCTGGGGAGACCCCGTGGCATCGCTCTCGACCCGACCGTCGGGTGAGATACCTCGCCGGATGACGATGATGATGCTCTCCCCTTGTGTTGTCATCGCTCAGCATGAATGTCCACATGAGCTATGCAAAATAAACTCGATGATCACCACCTTATCTGAATATGAAGGACCAATGAAATAACTTTCAATGGGAGGTGCTAATATACATTAACCATTAATATGCATGGCCAAGAATTGAACAAGGATTGGCTGAGATTAAATCTAAGTTCATAAAGATGAATATCTCTTGTATAAAGAACTCAATTTCCGTAGGGTCTAGCCAGGTCTGCAAGCTACAAAATATTTCTGCACCTTATAGCACCACATCCAGTATACCTTTTGCTTTGGCGAACACCACACCTGTCCACCTTTGTCTTCCCAGCGGCAATGTTTATGCATTGCGCCGTGCTCCTCATTTGAGGCTGCGTCAACCAAAAACAGGTTGAGATTCTGCTTGTCACTGGTGATATCCGTAGCTGGGCATCGAACCCAGGTGGCTCGGATCATAGAGAAGTGCATTATAACCATCGGGTTACCACTCCTCACTCTGCAAATACAAAGATCCCCCATATAGCCTTAACAAACTGTTGGAGCAAATGCTGTTAGCAAGCACCTATATAGGCCGACATGGCACACGAGGGGGTGGTTGGCCAGTACCACGATTATCTCCCTAGTGGCGATGTTTACATACCACACCAGGTACTAATTTTTTGGCTGAGGCGACCTAGGGGAGGCCCAGAACCAATTCAGATAATCGTTACTGGTGTTAACCGCGTGAGCGGGAATCGAACTCGGGTGGCCAGGTTCGTAGTGCGGCGCGCTAACCGCTACACCACCTCTCCCCATTCTGCATACACATACATACACACACCTGTGTGTACAGGTACATGTTTTTCTCAGACTGGGACGACGTGTCGGGCAACCCTCGGTTGGAGCGAGCGTACATGGACGGCACCAACCGCTTGGCCCTTGTGCGCACCAAGCTGGGCTGGCCCGCCGGCATCACGCTCGACTTCGTGCTGCAGCGCGTCTTCTGGGTGGACAACCGCTTCGACTACATCGAGAGTGTCACCTACGACGGCCTGAACAGGTGCGACGCCTCTCCTGTTGAGCGTGTTTTTAAGCCACAGAGGTGTTGAGCCGAACTGGTGCTCGGTTCTTTGGGCTGACTGGTAATTAGGGTTGCCACTTCTGAGGTTTGATATACAAATCAGGGAATATAATGGGAGGGGTGGGGGGTCTCGTTACTGCAACAGAGAAAAACTACCGTAATTGTAAATACGTTGTCATGCGTGGTGCATTATAATTATCACACAAATGATAAAAAAAGTTGCACTGCATTGTACCTGGAAGACTTGTGGATTTCCCAAGTAGTTATCCCCAAGAGAGGACGATTTTTGGAAACCTAGGAGAGGTGGCAACCCGACTAGTAATACTGAACACTGCTTCCGCATGAAATGAGATGTTTTTTTTTTTATTGGGTCGTTTTTTTATTTGTGATTAATTATATTCTAACTACATCATCATTTCTTAATTATATTTTAATTATAAATTGTTTCTGGTTCATAAGTTGCCCTTTCCATTATTTTTTTAACCATGAAAATTTCAATTTGCGAGGCCTGTGAGATAACGAGCGTGGCTCTCAATTCGTGTTGTTACATCATCATCGAGTCACCCTCTCGCTCACTCACAGGAAAACGATCCTGAGTGGCGGTGCGAATGTTCCACACCCGTTTGACATCACCACATTTGAGCATTACGTCTACTTCACGGACTGGACGCGCATGGAGGTGACTCGCGTCAATGTCTTCAACGGGAGTGACCTCCAAGTGGTGCACCGCTCCAATATTCAGCCTTATGGGGTCATCGTCCACCACTCTCTGCGCCAGCCCCAGGGTATGTATGTGTATGGTGGTGGCTTCTGCCAAGAAGTCTGTTCATCTCAAATGCAGCGTCTTCAGATGCAGTTATGTCTGACTACTACATGAATGAAAATTGGAATTGTATGAAGGCAATCGCATATAATAAAAAAATGTGACCATTCCTTTAAAGAGGAAAGCCTCCACCGAGTTCTCAAATTTATTTTTCAAAAGGTCACTGCATCGGGATATTTTGCCAATTCCATTATTTATAGGCACGTCGGAGGAAATCGGAGTACCTGGAGAAATCTCACGCATTTCGAGAGGGGGATAACATTCTAAGCTCCACACAAATGGATTTAAAAATCCATTTTACGTGCTGCCATTGCCTGGCCATCTCACATCCCAGCGAGTTTTGGAGTTTCACAAATCTGTGAAATCCACTAACTCTTACCTCTAGCGCTGGATCACAGGCGCGCACATCCATATCTACCTGTAATGACATGTGACTTTAAAAAAGGTAATAACTTCAGCTGTGAATGTTTATTAAATAGCATAGCATTTAAATTCAAATGTAAGTTAGACCATGTTATATAATTCCGTGGATAAAATTAACAAGTAAAACTATATCCAAATTTAATATAAAGAGATGAGCATGGCAAAGGGATTATGGTTCTGCGCTGTGAACCCAATGACCTTAATTCAATTCTCGGCCACGGCTAACGGCAGGGGGGAGTGATATCTTCACTGGTTCTGGGCCACCGCTTCCTGTGCAGCTCCACAGAAACCACGACGGTGGAATACGGTCAATGAACCCCCAAAAACTTCCACAGATGTCGACACCTTCGTTTAGCAGTGAATTAATTAATGACTAAGATGTGTAATTTAAATGGTGTTACTGTTTCATCTTCTTGGTTCTGTCGGTAAAGTCACGTGGAATGGAAATAATAAAATAATAAAATAAAACTTAATAAAAAAATTCTCACGACGTTTCGGCCACAACGCAAGCAGCCGTCCTGTTCTTCACCTGAGGACGGCTGCTTGCGTTGTGGCCGAAACGTCGTGAGAATTTTTTTATTAAGTTTTATTTTATTATTTTATTATTTCCATTCCACGTGACTTTACCGAAAGAACCAAGAAGATGAATCCCTGCAGTCACGAAAGCTTTAAATCGAAGTGTTACTGTTTGTTTGGTTCTGATAAAGGCCATAAGGGGCCGTCCATAAATGACGTCACGCACCTGGGAGGGGGGAGGGGGGTCAGACATTTGTGACGATGTGTGACGAGGGGGGGGGGGGTTTGAGAAATGTGACGTCACATCAAAATGCGCAACTTTAAATAAATATAGACAACACGTTTTACTTAATTAATTAGACTTTTAAATACATGTTTTCTCTTACAACATCAGAGTGTAGCGCCACATTAAATACACACTACAATGACAATAGTTTAAAGCGATTTAAAGCATGTTTTATGTTTTTTTTGGGGGGGGCAGAGCTTTGTGACGTCATACTTGAGGGGGGGGGGGTCTAACTTTTTGTGACGCCGTGTGACGAAGAGGGGGGGGCAAAAATCGTCCAAAATCGCGTGACGTCATTTATGGACGGCCCCTGATAGAAAAAAAGTTAAACCAGTTCTGAGCTAACGGAGGCGTGTGGGGATCGTTGTGTGTGTGTGTCTCGTGTCCGTGGCACTGTGCAGTGCGCAATCCGTGCGGGTCGAATAACGGTGGCTGTGAGCAGATCTGCGTGCTCAGCCACCGGACGGACAACGCGGGCCTCGGCTATCGCTGCAAATGCCGCGTGGGCTTCGACCTGCAGCCCGATGGCCTCCACTGCTTCCGTAAGCCACGGCTCGTCCCCCCCGTGGCCATGTCTGGGATTTACACTTTGGGTGTCAGATGTGAGGTCAGGCCTCACTTTTGCAGTGGATAAAGTTTCGTGCTTCCTGCAAGGCAGACATGGAAGAGGAATATATTTTTTGTTGGGGGATTGTAGTTGATTAAACAAAACTGCCTCTATTAAAGGCAATTGTCCATAGATTCACTTTCCACACTCTTCTACGTTTGTGTAATTTTGCATTCTATAATTTAAGTTTTTTGTTTATCTTCTGCTCTGAACTACTTGTTAATAGATGTGTATAAACTATTGCAATTTGTAAGTGTTCATGTTTGTCCCAAAATGCTTGATGAAGTAAAATGTCTCTAAACCAATATATAAGAGATTCTGCTTGGCTTAACCAAGGCAGGCGACTAATTGATGGTGATGATGGTCATTGAACATTGAAATTGATCATTATGATGACAATAACTGTGATTGTGCATTCTGTTACAGCTGTCACCAAGTTTCTGCTGTTTTCCGCGATGACATCTGTGCGGGGCATCCCTCTAAACCAGTCCCAGCAAGAGGACGTCATCCTCCCCGTCATGGGCAGCCATGTGACCTTTGTCGGGATCGATTTCGATGCCGGCTCACAGCGAGTGATCGTCTCCGACACATCTCAGGGGAAAATATTCCAGCAAAATCTCGACGGCACCGGTCAGCACGATGGGTTTCTTTCCCTCGACCTCTTCTATGTCGCGTGGCCACAATTGGCTGCGGTCTGTAGGATATTCTTTTGCATTTATATCTCATCCTGTGCTGATTTGTGGCTAAATAGAGCATACTATATTGTCTAAGTATTTGGACATCATTAAAAAAGTTTTTTTTACATTTACATGAATGCTATCTATTGTTATACACTTTAAAAAAATGTGTATCCTTAAAACGAGTATTGCTTTTGAAGGATGTGATCATCGGCATACCTATTCAAACAAACACGAAAAGACTAATTCACACCAGGTAACACATTGGCGTTTGTGTTACACCCCTCATGAGTCCGTCAACTCTTCTCGCTCAGGGAGGGTGAACTTGACGTCGCGCGATGTCTCGTCTGTGGAATCCCTGGCCTACGACTGGATCTCTAAGAACCTGTACTGGACCGACACACACAGCCGGGTGGTCACTGCCATGCGGCTCGTCGACCAATCCCGTCGCAACGTCCTCGCGAACCTGCAGAACCCGCGCTCCATTGTCGTGCACCCACTGCAGGGGTCAGCACTGCCCGCCCACCATGCGCGTTTAGAGAGACAGAAGAATTTCAGACGGATAGTTCCAGTGATATGTTTGCAATGCCCATCATTTATTGTCGCACGTAAATGTTTACATGGGATAATGGTTTAGACGCTTTTTGACGTTTCTCTGGTTTAACACTGGTGAGATAAGGCCATAACGGAGGACGTCTCTAGTGAAGGCCAGTCGATTTAAAAGACAATGCATATATTATCAGAGCATCTTTGTTTTCACGTTTTGCCACAAGTATGTGTGACTAATGCAGACTTGATGCCTTGCAATATGCCTATTTGGTGTTTGAACACCTTAATACCTCATGTTTTATTGCCAGAGAAGGTATAGCCTATTCTTATTTTTCATAATTTCTCCTACTGGTTAAAGGTCCCATAGATATGTGAAAATTAGTTTTTCATAAAGATTTTTACAATAAAAGTAATATTTCATGTTTGTGGTGATGTGGAACGCCCTATTTTTTCCAGGTATATTTTCTACAGTGACTGGAACCGGCCAGCCAAGATTGTGCGAGCCTGGTGCGATGGTTCTCATGCCACCCCGATTGTCAACACCACCCTAGGCTGGCCCAATGGCCTGGCCATCGACTGGCAGAGCCCCTGGTGAGACAGATATCAGTAATGAGCAATCATTTTCTCTGCAGAGATTTCAAATTGTGAATGGCCACTCTGAACAGCCAACAGCTCATTGACAAACTCCTTAAGTAAGCCATGTGTTTCTCTTGCAGGAACCCCAAGTTGTATTGGGTGGACGCATTTTTTGACCGCATCGAATTTAGCAACTTCAATGGACAGAACCGACAGCGGCTGGATCGTATTAGTCATCTCGCTCATCCATTTAGCATCTCCATTCACGGAGGTACAGTGGTTCACCAGTCACTAGGCATTCTGAGCCACAATGAACTTGTTGTAGCAAGGGTTCTTTATACTTCTCACCTCATAACCTCTTCTTCCTATGCCCTCATCCGAACTGAAACTGTGCAGGATTTGCCTATTTCTCGGACTGGCGACTGAATTCAATTGTGCGTGTGCGGAAGATGGACGGTGGGGAGGCAGTAATCATCCGCCAAGGCATTCAATATCTGATGAATGTGAAAGTCTATGACACAGACATACAGACAGGTAAGCACTGCAGAGTCACGAGACACATGCTCAGATTGTGCCAATATAGATGTTTTTAAATAAATATATTGAGAATAACGTAACGACGTTGGCTACGAACAAAAAACTCTGAATGCACATGATCTCATCGTATCTCAAAAGCTAAGAAGAGTGTAGCCTGATTAGTACTGATATGGGAAATGGCTTGGGAATACCAGGCATTGTAGGCCCGCGCTGCGAAGCGGCGAGGAGATGACAGTACATCAATGGATTATTGAATCTGTGTAGACTTTTACATGATACCCTCTCGTATATATGGGGTTTCTTCTCCAGGCAGGTTTTCTCCCACGTGCCAAACACTCACGAATGGAATTGGCCAAACATCTCAATGCAATATTCTCAAGGAGCCTTTACTTAATTTAAAAGAACACTAATCAAGAAACATAAAGGTCAAAAGTAAATCCACACTTCTCTTCGGATTTCTGATAACATGTGTCCCCTTGCCGCTTCCTATCCAAGGAAGTACATATCCACGGGCTCTGTGCTGATTTACTCCGCCATGCCACTTACCATTCGTAACGTCGCAATAACTCTGCTCTTTAAAGGCAGCAATGCTTGCAACCGGCCAGCGAATCCCAACGGCGACTGCACCCACTTCTGCTTCCCGGCCCCGAGCGGCGCGCGCGTGTGCGGCTGTCCATACGGCAAGCGTCTCGCCGAGGACGGGAGAATGTGCGCGGACAACCCCTTGGAGCCCCCCACGCCGCAGTGCTCGTCCGCCGAATTCTTCGCCTGCGCCAACGGCCGCTGCGTCCCTCGCCTCTTCCTGTGCGACGGCTACGACGACTGCCACGACGGCAGCGACGAGCGTGGATGCGGAACTGGCAGTGAGTTGACTTCTGCTGCCACGCATGCCGCCACTTGGACCCGTGTGTGTATTTAACGTTCTCCCATCACGAATTTGTTGTGAAATGCCATTAAAGCATAAAGATTGTACAGTCAAAGACTGCGTAACATACTTTTTTGGGAAAGTGCTGTCGAGCACTTATGAAGGCCGGAACAGCGCATGAAGGGCGTGGGTGGCCAGCACGACACCTGGCGATGTTTACATATCGCACCAGGTACTCATTTGAGGCTGAGTCGACCTAGGGGAGGCCTAGGATCGGTTCAGACAATCATCCCTGTTGTCAGCCTTGAGCGGAAATTGATCTCGGGTCGCCAGGTTCGTAGTGCAGCACGTTAATCACTACGCTACTGCTCGCCAATCGGTGCGAAAAAGTTCAACATGCAGTCATACATACTCTTGTGCTGTGTAGCTCTCTGATGTGTGTTCCAAACTCCACCTTAGTGCAAACTGCCCCATGACAGATCTCATTCATCGGTAAAATCTGGCTTTACCCCACCTAATAGAATGCAGTTCTAGTAATGTCACCCACAGCCAATTGCAATAACACAAACATGTCCCATCAATGTTTGAAGGGCAAAGAATACTAGTGTGGCACATTTGGAATGGACCACTCTTTTAATTATTTACTCGTGCAGCAGCAAGGGAGTAAAGTGTGGTTTTGTGAAAGTCCTTATGTGCTGTGCAGTACATCAATGCATGTGTGTACACCAGCGTGCAATAACTGAGTTGGGCCTGTGGGTGGCTGGCAGGGTTATTTATTAACCAGACTTGTACACCAGTCACGTGGTTAATGGCGACTCGGTTGAGGATTGCTGTGTGTGGCACACGTGCTGTTGCATTTTACAGATTTACCACAATAAATGTGTTTGCCCTCGATTTGGAGCACCTGCCCACGTCCTTCATTTCGAGTGTGCAACAATAAGATGATACCATTCTGCAGGTGTTCATGGTTGTGCTGTGCATGTCTCCCATGTGTTTGCGGTTTGGACTGCTTGCTGTGAGGCGGCATGACTCTCGAATCACATGCTGTGCAAGCCATCAACACGTCTGAGCTCAATTCAATTTTTTCTTGACGCAATTTTTTACTGAAGTGAACATTTGCCACGAAGGGAAATCACTTGTTTCATTGGAGTTAAGCGTAGCGCGGGGGGGGGATTTCGTGCGTACGTTTCAATTTAGTGCAATGTCAATTCTTTTCATTTCAGACGTGACATGCTCCCCTTTCGCGTTTACGTGCACCAACCGGCGCTGCATCCCGATCGACTGGCGCTGTGATGGCGAGGATGACTGTGGAGATCACAGCGATGAGCAAAGCTGTCCCACGCGTCTCGCCACCACCTGCCGGGCCGATCAGTTTACCTGCGCCTCGGGAAACAGATGCATCCCTCGCTATTGGATCTGCGACACCGACAATGACTGCGGGGATGGTTCGGACGAGCGTGGATGTGGTGAGGCATTTGCTATGTTCCAGCGATGGAAATAGATATTCGCCCTTGTATTATTTGTGCACAGTGTAAAGGTTATCTCCTACAGATTTTTGTAACAAATCTAACCTTTTCACATTTCTATAGATGTTCACTTATCCGCCTATACCTCGGTCCCCAGTGAGTCGGATATGCGACTTGGCACTCTATGTGCATACTCATCAGACGTTTAACGATTCATCTTTCCGGTGATTGTAATAAATTGCCATGATTTGGGGTTCATGAATTCATGTCTCTTGTGTACACTAGCCTAAATTTGACAGCGCATAATAAGTCGTTTATGATATATATGTATTCTAAATAACTGATATGCACAGACATGCATACCTGTCAACCCCTTATCAATGGCTACTTTATTACAGACCATTTCAGACCTTATTGGTCACCCCGTGCCCTAAATCTCAACGTTCATCCTACAAAGTCCCATCGCAAGGTAGAAACACAAATAAATAAACAACAAAATGTTGTTGCCCCTATTGCAACGGCTGTACGCCGCATGGACCTGAAACTCAATTTCCTGTACAAGAATACGGGTAAACCGTATGGGTTGACAGGTATGGAGATGATTAAATAAGTGTAAGAATTAGTTTTAAGTGATGCATTTATTCATAACTAATACGTACACATATTTAGATGAACTTCGCTGCAATTATCATTTATTGCCATATTAAAAACTGGTCTGTGAGCCATATTTGGAACCTAATGAAATATCTAAATGTTACTGCATTCTTTCAACTTTATTACGGAACACATTTACCAGTAGGCACATTCAAAATATTATGCACATTTCTGCTCTGATTGAGATAAATGCCGCCAAGTTTGACTGCGTCCTCTGTATTCCCAGATATGTCTGGAACCTGTCATCCAATGCAGTTCCAGTGCCCTGATCACAGATGCATCGACAACGCGTACGTGTGTGATGGGGACTCGGACTGTGTTGATGGTGCCGATGAGAGAGGATGTGGTGAGGACCTTTTCTTTAATATCCAGTGTTGCTGCTTACGTAAAACAATGAATGTGGCATGAATTAGGACTGCAGTACATAGATATATGTCACCTATAATAGTTTTTTTTGGGTTAGATCGCGTAAATATATAAGAGTGTCGTTAAAATCCGCCACCACCCGACACGGCCAACTAGTAAGGGTTGTCTCGTAAACAGAACGTGGCCAATTCGTCACTAGTACAGCACACCGGTGTGTTAGAGAGCCAAGCCACAACATTTATAATCTGAGTACGACGTTTCGCCAGTAATTACAACTAGCTTCATCAGGCGGTAGCCTGATGAAGCTAGTTGTTGTACGGTATTTTGATCGTTTTAATTACTTGAGTAGTTTCAATGCTCGTGTTATTTTAGTTGGTTTTGGCATTCAAGTGCCCTGTTGATTTGTGCATCATTATAACCGTTCATTTGCAGCGCTTCTTTAACATGTTGAATTTTACTTCTCAGACTATCACCATCTGAAACTTTCTTAGCTCAATGAATAAGCGTCTTGATAAGAGTAGATTTTTGTGCGGGGTGATGGTGTGACTGCATTCAGATAGGCGTCAATATACTTTTTCTAACGGTAAATGCTGAGTGTTATTTTTCCATTTGGACCCCGTCCGAGCAGAATATCCAGAAATGGCAGAGTTCTGTCAGCTTTCACTTCCATGGTGAACTAGATGGATGGGTTTTGCTAGTTGAGATGATTTAGAAATTCGTTAAGTGTATCTTAACCACACATTTATATATTTACGCGATCTAATCCCAAAAAAACCTCTTATGGATGATATTGGTCGTGAAAGCCTATGTGTTAAACTGATTAACCTACTGTATATGTCACCTGTTGATCCACTACAGATGTATCCGTGCATTGTTTGAGAGTTCCCGAGTGATGCTTTCACTGATAATTTGATGTTTTTACAGTCTTCAATTGCACATCATACCAGTTCTCGTGCTCTAGTGGAGACCAGTGCATCTCCACTTACTACCGCTGCGATGGAGCCCTTGACTGTCGGGATCGTTCAGATGAAGTCGGCTGTCGTAAGTGATTTTCCTTGGTTGTATTTGTTGACATGCTTTACACCTTTATTTTGACAAAAATGTTTAATAAGATAAAGCGCGAACAAGTACAAAAGGACACAAAGAAGAAATCCGTGTAATAACCCCGATCGTGATCGTGGCCAAAACATCGTCGTTGTCATCATCAACGTGATGTATGAGCGTGGTTGAAATGCAGGGCTGCCTGTCATGCAGCTGAGACCCACTGCTAACCACTCTCTCCTCCACCCATGCCCGCCACCATCGTGGGCTCAGCCACACGTGCACCCGGCCTGTGCCACAACGACGAGTTCCAGTGCCAGTCGGATGGGCTGTGCATCCCGGCTGGCTGGGAGTGTGACGGGCACCCGGATTGTGATGACGGGTCAGACGAGCACCCCGGCTGCCCCCCGCGCACCTGCGCTGCGGGGTACCTGCGCTGCGACAACGGCAACTGCGTGCCCGAGTCGTGGCGCTGTGACGGGGACAACGACTGCCGTGACGGCACGGACGAGCGCGACTGCCCCACGCCGTCCTACCGGTGCCAGTCGCCCTCGCAGTGGCTTTGCCCCAACCATCGAGTGTGTGTGGATCTGCACAAGGTCTGCGACGGGGATTTCGACTGCCCCGACGGCGGCGATGAGTCCCCGCACTGCAGTGAGTGCCGAGTGCGGAGGGCCCGTGTTCAGGCTCGCGCCTTCGCTGCAGAAATGTGGACGTTTCAAAATTCTGCGGGTTTTACATGTTATGACGGTGCTTTGGTAGTGTGAATGTAAAGAATGCACAGATTGACTGATTTTTATTTTAATGTCGTATTCATACATTGCAATGTTATCTGCCCAGTAAAGCAAAATAGAGGATGGTCAACGTTTTAACTTTACCCTCTTGAGGATTCATTCACGAATTAGTAAATAATGCTTATTTTTTGTGTCTTTTCCCATTTGTTACGGAACAGACCACAGAAGTTGACTGCACAACACTTATTCTGAGATACTGTTTCTTCAGTTGATTTGTTTTAACCCACACACCACAAGGGGTGCCCTTTCTGACATTGCCTGCTATATGAGAGACATATCTATCACAGTGACAGTGAAAGCAATGGGTTTTTTTTTTTCTGAGCTGGAACGTAGACAAATACATGAAACATTAAACTAAATACATAGGTAGAAAAATAATAAAAATATATATATATACCTACGTGACTTTACCGAAGACCCAAAGAGTATGGATTCCTGCAGTCACGAAAGTTTCAAATCAAGATTAAACTAAATACGTGTTTTTTTTGCGCAGTCATTGGTAACCTAACTGCAAAAAAGTCGACATTTTATTTCCAATAACATTTAAAAACAACTCATTTAAAATCACTTGTCACTTCACTGTCGGATGCACTGTACGCCAGTGCATCACGTTAGCACATCGATAACATTCCCAAAACAAAGTCCTTTAAACAAGCTCTCATCCGTTTTGTATTCTCAACCGGCCGTGTTACAAACGTTCCCCCTTTGCCTGGCAGATGAGCACGACTGCTCTGTGAACAATGGCGGCTGCTCGCACGGCTGCGTCCAGGGACCGTTTGGCGCCCAGTGCACCTGCCCTCCCGGCTTCCAGCTCCTCGACGACACTAAGAACTGCGCCGACGTGGACGAGTGCCAGCCCCCGGGCACCTGCAGCCAGCAGTGCGTCAACGAGCACGGCTCCTTTCGCTGCCACTGCGACCTGGGCTACACGATGGAATCCGACCGCCGCACGTGCAAGGCTAACGGTGGGGCGCTGCTGTCCGAGCCAGAGGAAGAGGCCACGCTTTCACGATCATATTATTATCTCCATTTAAAGCTTTCATGACTGCAGGGATTCATATTCTTGGTTCTTTCGGTAAAGTCACGTAGAATGGAAATAATAAAACTAATAAAAATAAAACAGACTCTGTCTCCTCGACAGACCTGTTCTCCACCTGAGGACGGCTGCTTGCGTTGTGGCCGAAACGTCGTGAGAATTATTTTATTATGTTTTATTTTTATTAGTTTTATTATTTTATTATTTCCATTCTATGTGACTTCACCGAAAGAACCAAGAATACATATTATTATCGTTGTCAAAATTTTATTAAACCCAATTGGTTCAGATGCAGCCCTGCAATTGCTTGCTCATGCCGACACATCCATGCTGGCAAGATGTCTTGGAAGAGATGGGAGTATCCACACTTTACCACACCACTCACATCCTGCTGATAAACTCACTGTGGTGTACCCATTTAGACTGGTGGGTGGACAGGATTTTAATAGATTTCCCCGATGTTTCAACTGCCGCACTGGAAGCTCGAAGTCCAGTGTCCTCACCATTACACTGTGGCAGCATCCCGAATGCAATAGAGTTTGACACACAAAAAACGTAATTCACAGTCTAATTACAAATTCATACCAAACTATGAATCCCCATTTTGCATGAGCTAATCTTAATGCATGAACCATGAGTGAATGCCTTTTGGGGCCTGTTTTACACAAGGGGCAAAAAGGATAATTTCTGTGCCCAACTGCCTTTTATTCCAAGTGTTGATGTTCTCATATGGGTTAATATACTCATTATAAGCTCGTAAGACCTAGAGAAGGCTTAGGTCAAGTTAAGATGCCAATTGCCACCGCTGATGTGCATGGCCAAGAATGGAACCCAGGTCAATGAGACTGCAGGGTAATGTACCAGCCGCTAGTGGAGAAATAAATCATCTTCCCCAGTGGCTCCAGGAGTTGTCAGCATTTAGAGCTGTGAATAATAATAATAATAAAATGACATTGCCATATATCATAGTGTCTCTATTGGCTGCAGAAACAATTTAAAAACATAACATACCACAAATACAAATAAACAAACGTTGATTATTACACGTGCAATGCATGGATCGTGAGCTTAATCGATTCATCTTTCGACCACTGCGAACCACTTTGCCCACCTCTGTTTCCAACGGACACACATGCACGCACTTTCACACACATGCACACTGCCGTTTTATTTTCCAAACAGATCGACATGAGGTGTTGCTGCTGGTGCCCAGCCGGAGCCAAATCTACTCTGACAACATCACAGCCACTCCCAACGTGCTGAGCTCCGTCGTGCGCAACGGTCGGAGCATCGTAGCCGTGGACTTTGACGCAAGGGCTGGCCGCATTTACTGGACAGACGTGGCCGAAGACAAGATCTGGAGCGCCCTTCGCAATGGCACTGACCGTCAGCTGGTAACACAAACAAGTTCAACTCTGGTTATCTTCGCAACGGCTTTTGGTTGGCTATCGAACAAAGGCTTACTGCCTCGTGCACTTTCAGATGCGCTTCTGCGGTCATCTGTAGCGCTCTTATTTCTGATATTAGGAAGCTACTGGAGCTATGCACTTTTAATTCTAGATTGAAATCTCATTTCTTTAGAACTGATTTTTGTGTTTAGTTTGTTGTCCTTTCTCTGCACCTCCGATTAGCACGGTTGGCTACGTATGGTGTGAAAGAAGTTCAACATACGTACAAACCTCAGGATTGTAATGGGATGGCGGGGGCCACGGTGAGGGAGACATTCGTGTTGCAGGTGTTAGCAGTTTAACTTTTTTCTTACTGATGGAATAATTTACTTCACCCAGCATTTTGTTAGTTCACCATCATCATCACTGGCTTTGGCCAATCCACTACTGGACAAACGCCTGCCCAAACCGCAGCCATCTCCCACGACCCTGCAATGTAACAATCTACCTAATTTTCTCAGTTATGCTTAAACTAAATTTAAACAGCCTAAACAAGTTAACCCGCTAACCATCCGAATCCATCTGCATTCCTTCTGCCACCAAAAACCCTTAGATTTTTAACAGTGGCCTAACGGTTACCGAAAACCTGGCTGTGGACTGGATTGGCAAGAATCTTTACTGGCTGGACTTTGTGCTGGAGACGATCGGGGTGTCGCGACTGGATGGCAGCCACCGCACTGTGCTCATCAGCACGAACGTCACCAACCCTCGCGGCCTCGTGCTGGACCCCCGTGACGGGTGAGCCCCTTCTCTGGAGAAGCGGAGACACGTGGGACCGGGCAATGATGAACTATTTAAATGTATTTAATATGCACACATGCTAAGACTGGGCCTGTGGTTTTGTGTCCAGCTGCCCACATTTCCACAACCACCTTTGAGAGATGATTTGAGACTTCCAAGCATCTGTCCTCTCGCCCAGCGCGGTACACGATATATACGTCGAAATGAATTTGGTTTGAATCTGGTTTGGCAGATCAACGGCTGGTGTGTTGTGCTTCACGTGTGTCCATATCTGCGCAGCTCACGCACAATGTTTTGGACGGACTGGGGCAAGAATCCACGGATCGAGCGAGCCGGCATGGACGGCAGCTTGCGCAGAACGATCGTGAGCAGCAAGTTGTACTGGCCCAACGGGCTGGCTATTGACTACGCCACAAATTTGCTCTACTTCGCCGATGCATACCTGGACTTCATTGATTTCTGCGACTTCAACGGACAGAACCGGCGTCAGGTCCTCGCCAGCGACTTGGTGAGACTGCGGAGGGCTCACACTGGAAGAGAAACTTCAATTCTGTTGACACACTCACTAAGTAATCCTCACGTAGTAATCATAATGAGGGTCATACAATGGCTCGAGGTAAGGCGTTATTATTCTTTGATTTCCATGGGGGGGGGGAGGATTGCTTTTAAAAGCAGTTATAACTACATCTTTCAAAAACCCACCATTTGAATATTAAATGTCTTAAAAATAGTGAAAGCCAAACAAGCCTTTAGCAGAATAGGTCAAATGATAAACTCTTGCTAATCACACTCTACTATGAATTACATTTTTATTTTGACAAAAATAGCAAGCCATTACTTAATATCGTAATTTTACTCTTAAACACCTAAGCATGGGAAAACAATCACAATATAATTTGAATGGATACAACACTAAAGTATAATTCATATTCTCTTAAGATGCAAATAAACACCGTGTCAAACTATTATGCTATGCTCATTTATTACAACAGTTTAGCTAACAAAACAATATGAACACAATGGAATGGCGTTTAATCATGAGTATATTTTCTGACTCAGATCCTGCAGCATCCCCATGCCATCACCATCTTTGAGGACTTTATGTACTGGACCGACCGTTCTACCAACCGCGTGATGCGAGCCAACAAGTGGCATGGAGGCAACCAGTCGACAATGATCTACAACCTCCAGCAGCCCATGGGGCTGGTGGCCAGCCACTCCGTCAGACAACCCACAGGTGGGCTCTTCTTGTCGTTTTGGTTTTAATTCGAGTGAACGAGAAATGAGATACATTCCCGTTTTTTTTGTTGCAAGGGGGATTTGCATGAGGATTTGCATGAGTTGTTGTGAGTAATTACCAATTTTTGGAGTATGGGCTGCATATAATGGTTTTCGATTAAAAGAAATGGCTCCGCCACCTTCAATATCCACATGAAAGCACCGCTGGGCAGCCACAGGCATCGAGCCATCAGATTTTTACAAACCAGTTGGGGGTTCACTGCGCCATCCCATGAGGTTATTCAGTCATCTATTCTCGATGTGTAATTCCAAAATGTTTCGTTTTATTCACTGTTTAATTGCGTGCCTTGTTTTTCTTTTTTCAAACCTGGGCATATATACGATTCAACAAAAAATTATAATTGATCAAATTGTGTGGCTGCAGCCACACTCAAATTGTGTGGCTGTTTTAACACATTTTCTCTTGGTGTCTATGTCATAGCTACGAACCCCTGTTTGGGCCAGCCCTGCAGCCACTTGTGTCTGCTCTCGCCGATCACACCCCTCTTCTACTCATGCGCCTGCCCCTCGGGGTGGAACCTCGGGCCAGACGGCCGCACCTGTCAGAAGGGTACGTGGCAGAACATGTGGCTAAAACCACAGGGGAGTCCTAACACAAATAACCCTTCAGGGCACTTGTGGCCTTCAAAATTGAATCGTTGCATATTGTGTAAAGCACATTCTGATGTTACACATTGATTTATATAATTGCTGCTGATCTCACGGAAGTGATGACACCTTTATGCACAAACGAAGTTTAATGCTGCGAGCTCGCGTCTGTGTGTGAATGCATAGAGGATCGGCCATTCCTCATTGTGGTGAGGAGCAGCATCATCTTTGGCATCTCACTGGATCCCAACCAGACAAGCAACGATGCCATGGTGCCCATCGCTGGAATCAGCAATGGCTACGATGTTGACTTTGATGACCGCGACCAGTTCATCTACTGGGTGGAGAATCCTGTGAGTCGCTGGCTTCGTTCCGTGGAACCTCTCAGCAGACACACACTCTCTCTTGTGGATACTGCAAGACCTGTTGACAAACATGCGTGTAAAGTTTAATTGGCTGCAAATTTAGCAATCCAATTTACGAGCTTCTGATATATTCGCGTCCTGATTCTCCATTGCGATGTGTTGCATCCATTGATTTCAGGGGTCGATTCACCGGGTGAAGACGGATGGGACAAACCGGACACAGTTTGCTCCGTCAGCCATCCTCGGCGCCCCATCGGGCTTGGCCATTGACTGGATAAGCCGAAATCTTTACTACACCAACCCTCGCTCACAGACCATTGAGGTGAGGAGCACGGTGATGCATGTGCCATTAACGAGCAAGCTTGCAGGAGATGTTTCGCATGGCTGCACAAAGTGATCGATAACACTTTTTTCACTGAACCGGAAAGTGATTATTTATTTCTGTTTAAAAAATATAAATTTGCAGCAATTAAACAGCCACGTTTTTTTCCCCCACACCATCAGGTGATAAAGATGGATGGAGTGCAAAACTACCGGAAAACAATTATTGGTAACAACGGACAGACAACAGGTGTCGGATACCCAGTGGGAATTGCTCTCGATCCATCTCGCGGGTACGGACATGCACACTGCAAATTATTATCTTATAATGTCAACCATAACTCTTAGGTTTCTTTCTGCATACAGCCAAAATTAATGTTTTACAGATTTAGCATTTTCACCTTGCCGAAGTTTTTTTTTCCTACACAGACTGTAATTCCCTAGTGTGGTGTGAAGTTTGCAGCAGAGTTGAAAGATGTAACCACATTATCACTTTATCATGGCATGGTCAAGTGGTTATGACATTTGCCACTTGTGGCAAAGGCTTCTGATTCGTGCCCAGTGATGCCTCCCTGGTGTACTCGCAAGTTACCTCATACTTGGCAAAGGCACGTAGCAACATCCCTGCCTTCTGTACGGCTACTGCAAGCTGTAATTATCTGTGAAACACACGGCGCCTTTGTTATCACCTTGCACTATACAAAGCATTTTTACGACACCCAACGTACGAATTCCTTGAATGGATTCGATCACTACTGTTTCAGGAGGCTGTATTGGACAGACCACGGCTCTGACAGTGGGGTCCCTGCGAAGGTCGCCGCTGCTGACATGGACGGCTCAAACCCCACGGTTTTGTTCAGCGGCAACATGGACCACGTGGACTTCATCACGCTCGACACGCGGGAGCAAAAGCTGTACTGGGCAGTGGCTGGCACCGGCGTGGTATAATTGGCTTTTCAAAATATACATTTTTCCTACACAGGCTTTGTGTAGCCTATAAAAGTGTCCTGTATTGGCACAAATTCAATACGGTTGTTTTCATGGATGAAATTAAGTTTTGAAATACTATTGTATATGTTTTCGCAGTTGTGGTGTATAGCTCTCCGATGTGTTTTTATGTTGTGCCGCATGATGTTCGGTATCATGAATGTTATTCGGCATGAAGAAGCTCCTACCTAGCATATGCAGCGAAACGTCGCACATCATGCTGTACATTGTGCAGCACAACCCAAAAGCACACAGAAGAGATTAATTTTTATGCTATTCTTTAATTTCTTCAAAGTTTGATGAAATAATAATCTCATGTCTTGTATCTTTTTATTACATTAAAAAATGTGTCAAGTAAAGTATAAGTTTTGAAAAAAAAATTATATAACATTATCATATAAATAAAAAAGGAGCAAACAATTATATCTAAAATTTGAAACATATTAGTTTAATTTCAGGATAACTCAAATGTCTTACATGCATCCCATCCAAGCTTTGATGTAGTTTAGCCAAGAGAACCCCCGGTGGCAGCAGTCCCTGTGCGGCCCAAGGTGAATGCAGCTCCGTCCTGCAAATAGGCTTTAGTCTGCCAGTTGGTGGCGATGTATCTACGTAGCTTTTCCCAATTCAGTAATTTGTGAGAAATCTATTATAAAAGCCTGGCGTTCCATTTGTCCGTTTACCAAATTATAAGAGCCTTCTGAACCAGTATGATCAATCTAATTATTGTTTCATCAATTATATTTTCATCCATTATCCAGAAATACTAAATTTTCCATTTATTGAGCATTTATTTAACGTTTTGATAGTTGTGGCCATGGATGGAGGGTGAAATAAAGAATATCTAATGAACTTTGAGGTACAACTCAGTAGTATCTGCACACATTGGCAAGGGGGGGGGCGAGAAGAGGACATCAGTGGGGGCGATGGGCGAGTGGCGCAGCACTGAGAAGCCCTCCGCAGGAGTTGGCATAAGGCGGCCACACATGCCGCCGAAAATTCTAGTTTTACTAAATTTGCCTCTGTTACTGGTCGACAACTTCACCCACCTCCCTTCGTTCCTCACCTCCCCACTCCCTGCAGATTGAGCGTGGCGACGTCACAGGACTCAACCGCATCACGGTGGTGCAGCATCTGTCACACCCGTGGGGCGTGGCCGTGCACGAGAGCCACCTCTACTACACCGACTATGACTACGAGGTGGTGGAGCGCGTGGGCAAGGACGGCTCCACGCCTGTCCTCATGCGCTCCAACATTCCGGGCCTCAAGTGCCTCAAAGTGCATTTCCGTGACAGTGAGAGCCAGCACCGGCGAACACAGACACACACACACAGCATTCCCCACCTCCGGTTGGCTATGTACGGTGCGAAAGAAGTTCAACATACATTCTTACACCTTGAATCCTCAACAAAGAGAAATATCCCCCGTATAGCCTTAATAGACTGTTTGGGCCAAGTAATGTTAGCGAGCAACTATGAAGGCTGGCCCGGCACATGAGGGCGTGGGTGGCCAGCAATACAACCACACACGCATTGAAGTTGCAAAAAATAAAGACACACACACCTTCCATAACACACACCCACCCACCTTAGAGGTGTAACACCAGTGTTAATTTAGTCAGCATTTTTGGTTGTAATGTCTAAATTAATTCCACACATTAAGATTTGACTCAACTGCCATCGACTAGACTAACACTAAAATCCTGATTAATTAACAGTGTACGACACCCACACAGCTTGAAGAACTGTCCACAGTATCGTTAAAGCACTTGAGTTCATTACTTCACTGAAAAGGTCTTTTGAGTGCAAAAAACTCATCATAGGTTTTAGATTTCCCTCTGATACAAAAGTTTTACTTTTCGTTCCTGATCTTTGTTGTTTCCTTTATCTTCACAAGAGTATCTTCAGAAATGTCTTTTGCAGAAGCTACTTTTGTTCAACTTAAACTTTCTTCAAACGTAAAACACAGCCGCAGCACTTTATGTTTTATTTTACTAAAGTGCTTCATCATGGTATGCATTTAATAAGTACCTTAGAATGTATTAGTATTCAGTCAGCCTTTTGGCTTCATCGCAATGTTCTTTGAACTCTGACCCCTGCTTTTAATTCTCTCCTTCACAGCCTCGTCGGGCACAACCAACGCCTGCAGCAGTGGCAATGGCGGCTGTCAGCAGCTGTGTTTGCCACGGCCAAATGCCCAGCGTGCTTGTGGCTGCGCTACAGGTTTCCAGCTGGCACCTGACCAGATCTCTTGCCAGCTCTACGAATCATTCGTCATTGTCTCCCAACTCAGCGCCATCCGTGGATTTCACATCAACAGCACTGACCACTCGGAGGCTATGGTGCCCGTAGCTGGAACAGGTCAGCATGAATGATTAGCGAATACTATGGGCTGTGACTATCCCTACCATGTGTTTCATTTTGCATTATTGTAAATGATATTATTGCACTCTGATACATTTTTTGGTCGCATAATGTCTTGTTTGAATCAAATTTCCCACCTCCGATGAGCACAGTTGGGTACGTACGGCGCAATAGAAGTTCAATAAACATACATACAGGAAGAAGCTCCCAGAGCATGGAGCGAAATTTCAGGCATTGTGCCCAACGGCACGGAATACAACCTGAAAAAACATTGGAGAGCTGTGTAGCACAACTGCAAAATCCTACGAAGTAGAATACCTTTATTGTTCTTTGTCATTTAAAAATTCATGGGGTATGTTTGTGATGTTGTAATTACCAGTAGGTGAGGATTTCTAGGCGTTGTTTACACCATTGATGTATGAGCTCTGCAATGAGGCAATGCTGCTAAAGCGGAGGTCTGGTGCATTGTTCGTGAATAGGCCGCAACGCGCTGCATGTGGACGTCCATATGCCATCGGGCTTCCTCTACTGGTGTGACCACGGCTCAGCGTCTGCCTACAGAGGAATCCGCCGCATCAAACCGGATGGGTCCGGCTTTCAGACCATTGTCTCCAGCGGCATCGGGCCCAGCGGGGTGGCAGGCATTGCTGTGGACTGGGTGGCAGGTCAGAGAATGCCTTTACTTTGAACACACACAATCGTTGCTCCCTCAAAAGGGCAAAGTGTTGTGAATAGAAGTAATTGTATACAGTAAAACCTTGGATTGCGAGCATAATTCGTTCCGGAACTGTGTTTGTAATCCAAAGCACTCGTATATTAAAGCACTCGTATATCAGTTGTGATCACGTGACGCACGGCAGACAAAGCGTATACGTACTACTCGTATTGCAAGACCTTGCTCGTTTATCAAATTAATATTTACTTTAAAAATTTGCTCGTCTTGCAAAACACTCGCAGACCAAGTTACTCGCAATCCAAGGTTTTACTTTATATTAATAAAAACAAGGTTTTCATAGCTTTTCTGCAGAGTGCTTGTTTGCAATCAGTTTATTAAATTCAGCATAAAAGTTGTACGTTTACATGAAGATCAGTTGTAAAATTTCTAAAAGTTATGAAGATCAATAATGAAGAGTGGGCGATTTTGGATGCCTCGCTTAATGCACCGCACACTGCCAACGTGACGCAGGAAACCTCTACTTCACCAACGTCTTCTCGTCGGAGACCCACCTGGAGGTGCAGCGTCTGGACACGTCCTTCCGGCGCGTGCTCTTCAAGACGAGTGTGGACCGGCCGCGCCACCTCGCCGTAGACCCACGCGCACGCTTCCTCTTCTGGGTGGACGCCGGTCAGCGGCCCAAGATCGAGCGAGCCTTCCTGGATGGCACCAACCGCTCGGTGGTGCTGGATGTGGGCCTCCTCTCGCCCCGTAGCCTCACCATCGACCGCGCCACTGACTGGGTGTACTGGGCGGACGACGGGCTCGACCGCATCGGGCGGTTGGCTCCTGATGGCAGCACGTGGCAGGTGGTGAGAGAGGGCCGTGGCTACCCGGCCCCCTATGGCCTGGCGATCTACGGCAGCAACTTGATCTGGGTCGACCGAAACTTGCGCAAGGTATCTGTGAACCAGCCTTCCGTTGTTAATGTACAATTTTTATTATTACAGTTATATTTTTGTGCGTTTTTTTAGCACATGTCTTTTTTAAGGGCATTTGAAGTTCATATTTAAAGTTTTAGACTAAAAAAAAAAGTTAGTGGCTACTACTAAATGGAGCATGTGGAGGTGCTCGTCTTCTATGTACAGCCACTGTTGACTTTCCCTCAATGTGTTACTCACTTTATCGACTACGGAGGGATAAAACGCCAAATCGACGCCAAAACTAAATTTAACTCGGAGCTTTCCAATTGCAATTGGCACAGTCCACTGATGCACTACATGGCTCATTCTCATTTAAACTGATAAAATACATATTGGTGCGACACTTGTTATATTCATTATTCATCTACGACTGGAAAAGTGACGTGGTTTTTTTTTGCCTTCATTTTGGGCAAAAGGCTTTGGGAAAAAAAAGCTGGATGTTTTGGTCCTCCTGTGAAACAGTTTTCTCCCTGCTGGGTCCTTCACAGGTGCTGCAGGCCAGCAAGGAACCACAGGCCTCTCCACCGCCACCAGAGGTGATTCGCGACAACCTGGGCACACTGCGTGACGTCACCATCTTCGACCCACGTGTGCAGCCCACAGCTCCCGAGCTCATTAACTTCAATCCATGCCGGCTGAACAACGGCGGCTGCCAGCAGTTCTGCTTCGCCCTGCCCAATGTCACGACAGCCACGTGTGCCTGCGCTCACGGAGAGCTGGGCTCGGACCGAGTGAGCTGTGTGATGCCCTCCGACGAGTACCTCGTGTTTGTTACGGAAGACTCCATCCGCAGCATGCGCCTCGACCCAGAGGTAATAACCCCGCTCAGGCTCACTGTGTGAGCAGCAGCAGTGGGCACGATCATAAGCCGATGGGTGCTCCGTGACTGAAGATGGGTGCTGAGAAACGCCTGGCTTTGGACAAGATAATTATGTTCTAAATATAAAATAATGAATTTATTTTAGAACGTGTTTTCATGTAAATTGAATTGTTTGCATGGTATTCATATTTAATACTCTAGTCAATAATACATGTGCATGGATTTCATGTTCATGAATTTAAATGAAGGCTGCAGATACCTCACATCTATGCGCAGGCTTTTGTCTCTGTTGCTTTTGGTATTGCTTAAATAGGTACAGTTAGTGGTCTCATAATTATCCTTGACTTAGCCACTGCTGAATGAAGGCCTATTCATGACATCGCCATCCATCACGATGCCACAATGCCACAACTCATCTCACTCCTGCCCTTGAAGTGGTCTCATTTCTCCGCTTTCCTTTTGGAGATGTCCCCACCTTTGATTCATTCCACACAAATCTCATCCATTGGCCGTCTTCCCATCTAGTAATGTGTCCTGCCAAAGGTCACTTTATGAACAGTCAATCTGAAATCTCTAATGTGCATTTGTTCTCTGATCCATGAGATCTTCTTTTTGTGTCTCAGTGTCATTCAGGGGCATGCATATCTTCGTGCTTTCTTTTGTGTGCATGTTTCCATTCCATCTCAAAGTAGATAAAATACACTGAAAACGCTCCTCTTTAGGCACATAGATGACACTGTAATATTTTGTTATCGTACTATATTTGTACAAAAAGACAGTGATTAAACATGAACTTTACATTAGAAAGGTACTACATTGATCTCATTATGTTGATCTCCCTAATATACTCTCATGTACAATATATGATGACCAGATTTTCCCAATTACAGCTTCTACCGTGGATCTAAAAAAACACAAGAGCTGCCACTGCACAAAGAAATTGGACCTTAAATCAACGAATGTGTTTGCCTGCAACAACAACTGCGATAACGAGCGTTTGATTTTTTTTCGCCAATCCCAGGACCACAGCCTGCCCATCCCAACTGCACAAGTGTCACGAGTGGCAGTGGCGCTGGACTTTGACATCGCAGATGGGCGAGTGTACTTCACGCAGAGCATGGGTCTGGCTCGCAGCCGAATCAGCTTCTTCAGTCTGAGTTCCCCCTCCTCTGTCACCGTAATTGCCAGCGGTATGGCATCTCAACACACATACACTCCCACCAATACCTTATCACTGCCATTGTGGAATGCCATACAAACCCACTTGCACCTTGTCAGTGTCAGTGTGGTATAGCACTCAGGCCCATATCCAGCCTCGATGTACTTTATCACTGTCATTGTGGAATACCAATTGAACCCAGAGAAGCATCTCGCCCATCCATACCTTATAATGAATTTAAACATGTATTTTATAAAGTCCCATTCCAACAGTTATAGCTTAACAGAAACAAAAACGTCAATGCCATTCCACATGGAAATATATCTTTAGTTGAAAACATGAAAAATAAAAATTCAAAAAAATACAATATTCGAAATTGTCAAATATAATTTCACGAAGTAAGTTTGAATATAATTATATTTAGCATGACATGGTTCATGGCATTGGCCTTAAAACATTCTTAAACTGTACAATTTCAGTGAAGTTATGAGTATTAACCAACAGGCCAAATTATGCAGAAGTTTACCCTCTGCATAATTTTACATTTGAATGCAATGCATTTTGTTCACATTCACTCAGTTCTTGGAGTTATACAACATTCCCATCAAGTAACAAATACACATATTTACTTATATTCTTTAACAGACTATTGGGGCAAGTGATGTTAGCGAGCTGCTATGAAGGCCAGAACAGTACACAAGGGGGTGGGGAGCCAGCACCACGCGCGACCACGTTTGTCTTCCCAGTGGTGATGTTTTATTCACCACACCAGGTACTGAATTGAGGCTGAGTCGACTTAGGGGAGGCCTAAGACCGGTTCCGATAATCGTCTCTGGTATTGGCCGTGAGCGGTAATCGAACTCGTGTCGCCGGGTTCATGGCTCAGCGCGCTAACCGCTGCGTCACTGCTCCCATCCACTCGCCACCGACGTACACACACACACAAACGCATTTGTCCACATGGCGCATTTCCCTTACCAGATCTGGGTTCCCCTGACGGGATCGCGTTCGACTGGATCAATCGGCGCATCTACTACAGCGACTACGCCAACCAAACCATCGGCTCCATGGGGCTGGACGGCGGCAACCGCACGGTGGTGGCGCTCGTGCCGCGGCCGCGTGCCATCATGCTGGACCCGTGCAAGGGGTGAGCGCTCTCGTCTCGCGGCCTCCATCGGTGCACTTCATTCGCCACCAGCTTTTGAAAGCGCGCGGAATGGCGTAGCTGTTGACTGCGCAGGCGGCGCGACTGCACCGGGGCCCGCAACAGCGGGAGGGGCGCCAGGTGCCGGGCTTACGGAGAAGGGGGTGAAAATTGGACGGGGGGGCCACGTTTCTTTTCTTGAGCCATCGAACAAAGACGGTCACTGCATCGCGAGCGTTCAGATGTGCTTCTGCGGCCGTCTGGAATGCTCTTCTTTAGGTTATTAGGAAGCCATAGGGGCAATGCACCTTAATATCTAGATTGAAAACTCATTTGTTAAGAACTGCTTTTTGTGTTTAGTTTGTTGTCCTTCCCCCGCACCTCCGATTAGCATGGTTGTGTACATACAATGTGAAATAAGTTTAAACTACATACATACGTGCTGTACCAATGAAAATCACCCGTGTTTACCCCGACATTTCAAGAGCAAATTAAATCTTGGTTGTCAGTAAGGGCTTACATAAAAGACAGCCAAGCATTAGCGTCTCCATTAGTTAGAACACGCCATCGATTGGACACGCTGCTCTCCCTTTGCTAAACACCTTGTGTCGCTGCATTATCCAGATACTGGCAAAATAATACACTTGACGTGTTCGGTTGAATACTCTGCTCCAAGTGAGCATCCAAAGAAGAAGAAATGAGTGCCATGTTTCACCATGTGTTATTTGTTTCCTCTGACAAAATGTTCTTTCATCAGTTACATGTACTGGACAGACTGGAGTGTCAATGCCAAGATTGAAAGGGCCACGCTGGGTGGAAACTTCCGAGTTCCAATCATCAACAGTAGCCTTGTGTGGCCCAATGGACTCACACTCGACTACTCAGAAAACATGCTGTACTGGGCTGATGCTTACAGGTAGATATATTTTATAAAAGTTCCACCATTGTTATATCTTATCTGTATTAATTGATGAGTTATGGATTCATTAATCTATTGTCTTTCATTGTTATTTTTTACAATGAAACCACATCCAGACATGTTTTAGATGGCGATTTTATGGATAAAATCAATTGAAGGAGCAGAATTCCACGACGAGCATATTTAGTTGTTTATCTATCGGATGTTTTTTTTGTTATTTTGGCGTTGTACTGTGTGCTGTTCGTCACAATGTTCTGACCTTTTTGCTCCACGTGCGGGGACCTACTCAGAGCGAGCGAAATCAGTTTGCGTCGTCTCGTATTGTGGTGTAACATTACCTGGCGCCGTCCAAATCTGCCACAGGCAGAAGATCGAACGGTCCACGCTGTCCGGCGACAGGCGTGAGGTGATCGTCAGCATGGCGGTGTACCCCTTCGCCCTGACCATACACGAGCAGCACGTTTACTGGACGGACTGGAACACTAAGAGTGTGTACCGTGCCACCAAGGACGATGGCGCGGACCAGGTGGTCATGATCCAGAACCTGCCCTACCGGCCCATGGACATTCACATACTGACGGCCAGCAAGCAGCAGCGTTGCTCAAACCCATGCAACCAGTTCAACGGCGGCTGCAGCCACATCTGTGTGCCAGGTGCTCGACCCGTTTATTCGTGCCCTCATAAGATTCGTTGCATTTCTTCTTTTCGTGCCATCGCTGTGGTGGCATTCGCAGGGAAATTATGCTTCGTGGGGAACTGCTAAGGGTGCATATCACGTGGCTCTTTCAGTGTTTATAGTGCTCACTTGCATCCACACTGACCAAATCAGATGAGGCAAAGCTAGCACAGCTCGTTTCCATTCATACCTTGAACAACTTCCAAAAACCAGCAACGGCATTCACAACAGCAGCTGTAGCTCTGACGTTCTCTCTAGGTGCCAGGATGCCCAAACCAAAACCAAAGTCTGCCTAACCTGAAGATGTATTTTCACAAACTGTGCCCAAATCATAGCTCTCTCCTCCAAGTGAGACGTGCTTATCGAAGGAGTTGCTCAGCATTTCTGTTGCGCGTAGTCACTTTAAGATGTTGTTTGTTCATGTTTTTGTTTGTTGCGGTTGCACCCGAGTCAAGAGCCGCATGGCTTACAGGGCTATCGATAATAAATGAAACTGATGCTCGGGGGGCGGTCTTATTGGCCGCTTAGCACGTGTGGATGCACCAATCAGATAAGCCTCTTTGGGACCGTTGGACGCTCGTGGGCAGTCTAAATTTTCCCCTTCACTCCATGTACGATAATCTCTGCACCTGAAACCATCATCGAATTGTCTTTTTTTTTACCGATAGCCCCGTGTAATGAAAGTTCAGCACACTTAACGCTCACGTCCAATTTTACGCCGCTTTGCGAATGCGCCCAGGTCCCGGTGGCGTGGAGTGCCAGTGCCCTGCGCAGGGCCGTTGGTACTTGGCCAACGGCGGCAAGGACTGCATCGACGACAACGGGCAGCAGTGCGCCACCAGCCAATTCACGTGCCTCAATGGCCGCTGCATTCCATCCCGCAACAAGTGTGACAACCGGGACAACTGCCGTGACGGCAGTGATGAGCTCGAGAGGGTCTGCGGTGAGTTTGTGCTGCCAAGCACGGGTTTCCCTCGCACATCCGATTCATTATCAGTTTACTACGTACAGTGTGAAAGAAGTTCAATATGCATATATACATTTATGGGGGTTCGATTTGTACGATTTCGCGTAGATACGGCAAACCTATTTCTACCCAACATTCATCATATACGGTTTTCATTCACTCATGTGAGGCTATGCGGTCTGAAGTGGGACAAGATTGTGTGTGTGTATTGTGAGTGTGTGTATTGTGTGTGTGTGTTGTGTGTATTGTGTGTGTGTATTGTGTGTGTATATTGTGTGCGCTACTCAGCAGGCAACTGTCTCGTGCAGTTTCGCTTTTTGCGCCCTTTTTTTTGGAACGCATCTACTGCATGAAGCGAGGGAAACCTGTATAATTTAGCTTCCGTTATTCGGACTGTCTGCCCTGGTGTGTCATGGTTAGCACACTGACTTCTAGAGTAATCTAGGGAACATCGACAGCTGGTACAATGGGCACGTTTCTAAGATCCCCCGCCCCTACCGTGTGTGGCGGGGCAAAGTGTTGCGTACTCCCACCTCAGCCAAAACGTCTGTCCAGTGTGGAAGAGTCGATCAGACTACCTGAGAGAGGGGCTTTCAAGAGCTTCCTGTAGCGGAGGCCTTTCTTCCAGCGGTGGCGTGAGCGAACAATTGCAAGGCTGTACCTTTACCTCGTTTCGCCACTGCATCATCCACACAATTCACCACTCTACATGACTATACCTGCATGATAGGCGTAGCTGCTACATCTCGTGGTAGGTTAAGCAAGAACGAAAAATGGATTTCGGAATGTGTTGCATTTATGCGTCTGTCCGTGGAAGTATTTATTTAGCAATGATAACGTTACATTTCTAGATGTACAACTTGACAACGTCACAGAGATTCCACGATGTCATCACCTTGGCCAATGAGCCCAATCCTTTTTGCACTGGCTTTTAAGTTTTGGGCAACCCTTTGATGAATGAACGACTATAAGTTAACTCCCTAATAGCGACACAACGCTTATCCTGTATGTATGTTGAACTTCTTTCGCACCATACTAGGCAGCTGTGCTATTTGGAGGTGCTAATCATGACCCCCACTCCCTTACAGTTACAGACAGAAGGACAGAGCTAATGCATTAAGGCTTTCAAGATTTTGTAGTCGTAAAGCATTCCCAAAAAAAAAAACTAGGAGTCAACATACACAGTTGCAGACGACGCCTTTGCAAAATTGCACGTATGCACACATGTTGAACTTCTTTCGCACCGTACGTAGCCGACCCCGCTCCTCACCAGTGCTCCCCTTCGCCCCCGCAGCTTTCCACACGTGCGAGCCCACCGACTTCACGTGCCGCAACGGGCGCTGCGTGCGCTACAGCTACCGCTGCGACCACACCAACGACTGCGGGGACAGCAGCGACGAGGAGGGGTGCACCTTCCGCACCTGCGACCCGGCCGCCGAGTTCGCCTGCACCAACGGGCGCTGCATCGCCCGCTCCCAAGTCTGCAACGGCGTCAACAACTGCCGCGACAACGCCACGTCGGACGAGCAGCACTGCCGTGAGAATCCGCTGCCCGTTGAGCCCCCCCCCCCCCCCTTTAACTGGCAACCTTGGTTCTGAGCAGAAACTGTTTGTGAACGTCATCTGCCCGTGAGAAAATAAAATATTGGTACCACGTTATCCGCGGTTTACTCTGTATCTGTACGCATAAAATTACTAAGATGCGGGTCTGTCACCTTTGTGTCCAAATTGTGAACAGCTCTGATAACAAGGATGTATTCAGTATGAAAGAGGTGAAGTTTTAAAGTCCCGTGAAAAATGTTATATTTCCCTTTCAGCTTTGGTAAAATATATCTATATAGTGAGGATACAGGTTCTACTGAAAATTTTACTTATGGTACCTTTTAACATTTTGAAAACTCGAATTCTATGGCAGTGATTTATCACGTCGACATTTATAGCCGCCAAATACTCTAAACGCATGTTTCATCTTGTTCAATAACGAATGTGATGTTCCCTCCCCAGCTGAGCGTACCTGCCGGCCAGGCCTCCTCAAGTGCCTGACGACTAACATCTGCGTACCTCGACATTACCTCTGCGATGGTGATAACGACTGTGGCGACAACAGCGACGAAAACCCCATCTTCTGCCGTACGTTGCCCTGTGTATTCCATTGCGACACCACACGCGAGAGTGTTCACTTTTCTCTATATTTCAATGGATATACAGCACTGCAATTTTTTGGGAGTGGAGTGGCGGCGCAGCGGTTAGCGCACTGCACTTTAAACCCGACGATTTGAGGTATTGGCCATGCGTAATGTCAGTGCCGAGTGATATCTGAACTGGTCCTGGGCCTCCCCCTTTACCACTCCACACTAACGAGTCGAGCCAACAACAGCTCTTATCTAGCGGTGGATCTACAAAGGGCTGTACGTTAATTTAATGTTATCATCAATTGTTTGAATTTGTTGTGAATGCCACAAATGTTACTAAATTACCATATTGTACCCTGGATAGAAACGTCACAGGAAACTTGGAAACATGAACACACAAAATAACTCCTGTACGTAAGCTATTTAATGCGTTACATTTTCCACGATACGTTTTCCTCGGCCGAGCTTGACTTGCAGATGCCGCGATTGTCCTGTTGGTTGGCAGATTCCGTGTCGTGCAGCGCCAATGAGTTCCGCTGTGGAAACGGCCAGTGCATCCCCCTCGCGTGGGTGTGCGACAGTGAGCAGGACTGCACGGACAACGCAGATGAGCCCTCCTCCTGCTGTGAGTGCGACAATGGGCACAGAACTGTACAAGTCAGAGAGTTTGACAACAGCACAAAATTGCATATCCGACCGTTACATATCTGCCCCTGAACTAGTGCAGTATCTGTGCACGGTGTAACTGTCATTCTTTGTAGATGTTTACATATCAGACCTGTGCACATATTCGCCTATACCTCAGTCCCCAGAGAGTCGGATATGTGATGTACTACATTTATAATTTGTGTTCATGTGGGGTCAGAGCAGTGATGCATTAGTTAGTGCCACGTGCTTAGAACCCAGCAATTGGAGTTTGATTCCTGGCATCAGTGATGAATGATAACTGTATTGGTATTGTCCCTTCCCTTTCCCCAACCCATAATGACCGGCATAGTGAAGTATGGTCAAACAACAAATTACCTCTGGGAGCCTTGACAAAGGAACATTACTTATTGATTATTTCGGTAAAGTCACGTAGGTAGAAAAAATAATAGATCACGACGTTTCGATCGCAACTCAAGCAACCGTCATCAGGTGTGAAACAAACACAGCAGGATGACTGCTGACGTAGGAGGTCAGCAGTCCTGCTGATTTTTTAAATTACTTATGCCATTGAAAAGTTAATTTTTTAAACCATAATTTTCATTATATGTACACAATATGTAAATGTGTTTTCATTGCCACTGGGAGGATGTTTTATTGCAAAATGTAAAATGTAAACATAATCTGGATTTATAATATAATTGCAACTGAAGATATCACTCAACAGGAAAGGGAACACCAGCGTGGTTGGGTGGCAGGTGATCACAATTGGGGAATAAACAGCAGCAGCATCATCATCATGCTGTGCCTATGACCATATAACCCAGAAAGGGCCCAATATTATCAGATCATAGAAGCTAATCAGGTCTGAGCCTGGATATTGTCTGCATGGGTGACCACAATACACAAACAGGTTGCCATCGGGCTGTGGGATTACGTGGTGGGCAGCAGAGGGCATTGGAGCAAAGCGAATGGTTCTACTTTGCTAATAAGCTTGCACACCCATGGTCCCCACCTTAACCAACCTGCACTCACCAACATGGTGAAGTATAATTAAATAGTCCTCCAGGACAAGCACAGCCCAGAGATGCCCTCATCCAGGAGCGTATTGACATGCTGCTACAAGGTAATCGTAACAACAAATTGTATGCAATATGGGTAATATATAACAGGAAAGTTGTCTATGTTGACCTTTGCATAACGATTGTTGTCATCAAACAAACAAACATAGTTTCCGCACAAAACAAAACACCGCTGCAGTCACAATGGCCTGACGCTTCAAAAAAACCCGTGTCCTCCCAGCGGACCCGGGACGCACCTGCCCCAGCACGCAGTTCACCTGCGACAGCGGGCGCTGCATCCCTGGCAGCTGGATCTGCGATGGCGACAACGACTGTGGGGACGGCAGCGACGAGGACGGGAGGCACGCGTGTGGTGCGCGCACGTGCGGCCCCGACGAGTTCACGTGCGCCAACACGAGCCCGCCGCGGCGGCGCTGCATTGAGCGCAGATTCGTGTGCGACGGCGACGCCGACTGCTCCGACGCACTCGACGAGCATCAGAACTGCACGCGGCGATCCTGCACGGCCGGCGAGTTCGCCTGCGACAATGGCCTCTGCGTGCACAGTCGATACCGGTAATGGACGGACTACGCGCCGCCGTTGTCGTCGTTGTCAACGGTCGCGCGATTTTGATCGATTGCATGCGGTCCCGGCAAATGTTAAAACATGACGTCACCGTAAACAAAAGTTGACGCGTGACGGCAAGAAAGCGTAGCCCTGCGATTTCTCGCTTGAGACTCATTCCGACAAAAAGGGCCTCTCCTCGAGGGCAGCTCTGGAGGGGTATTTTGAGCCTCGTTGTCGACACCGGCCTAAAAAGGGAAAAAAGAAAATCTACAAATAATCGTTCAGTTGCAAACTTTGCAGGAATTCACAGCCTCACGCCCCATGCCTCCAATGTGTAATTTCAGCTGCTGTGGCCACGTGAAGTTATCCCCGGCTACCGAACAATTTGTCGGACTCCGGTTGACAAACCCCAGAACTAGAGCACAGCTAAAAGTTGCTTCCCGATCAAAGAGAACGACCCGTGGTTTTTATTCCTATTTCGTGCAGGTGTGACAGGAGGAACGACTGCGGTGATGGGTCAGACGAGCGTGGTTGCACATACCCCACGTGCCGGCAGAACCAGTTCACCTGCGAGAACGGGCGCTGCATCCCGCGAATCTTTGCCTGCGATGGAGATAACGACTGTGGGGACGGATCTGATGAAGACACCCACTTGTGTCACCAGCCGCGCCCCACCTGCGCTCCGGGATTCTTTCAGTGCGGTGGGGGAGAGTGCATAGCCGTCCACCTGGTGTGCAACCAGGCCAACGACTGCGCAGATGGCAGCGACGAGAAGGGATGTGGTACGTGTACTCAATTATATCAAGACACGCTTTTTTGACCCACTTGTGATGATTGGTCCAGATAATGCTTTTAATTTAATTACATTGTAAGTGGGTTACAAAACAGCGAAATGTCTGTCTTTAAAGATTTTGTTTAATGTGAATTCTATTGAGATTTAATTTTTGCAAACGCACACAACAATTGGCTTACCTTCATCAGTTATTGTTTACACAAAAGGTCTCTATGGGACACGAGATGTCCATGCCCATAATCTCTATAATCTGAGAATTGTCGTCGCTTAATTGTAAATTGGGGCGTACCTTTACACCTGACGAATGTAGATGTCGATATGTGGATTCATGGGATTTGCAACAACATACACAGGAGCTACAGTAATGTATACGTGCTAATGTGACAACGAACAAGAACACTCCTGTATATAAACTGTTTCAGATGTAAAAAAAAGTGTACAAAATATGTTCTTTAATAACACTATATTGCTTTATTCTTGGCTTGTGTCGTGCATTCTCTGTTCAGGCATTAATGAATGCCTCTACGCATCCATAAACCAGTGCGCCCACAATTGCACCAACACCCTCACGAGCTTCTACTGCTCCTGTTGGGCTGGCTTCCGGCTCATGGCGAATGGCAGGGCATGTGAGGACATTGACGAGTGTAACGAGACCCCGCAGGTAAGATGCCGTGGATGCAGAGATTGCTTCATTCATCACGTCTCCAAGCATGCTCTCCGTAATGTGAATGCAATGGAGTTCAAAATGCATGGGTACCAGAGTCTGTTTTTAGACTCACTGATTTGTCTTATAAATCAATCTGTCTACTGAATGAATACGAGCCTAAAGGTTGTGCTGTATAGCTCTCCGAAATATTATTTGGTTATATTGTGGGTTATTCATTCAGCATGATATCCGACGTTTCGCTGCACATCCTAAGGAAGCTCCCATCACGGAAAATGAAACGTCGGACAACATCATGCCAAACAACACGCAGCAAGATGTCCAACTCACATTAAACAGCTGCCACCCTAAGGCGTTCACAATAAAGGAGACTCTACTTATTAAAAGTGACATTGCCACTTTGTTGACAAAGATACGGTAAAAAATAAATAAATTACACGACCCCAATGATGCATCCTAAGGCGCCAATTGCATTCCGCCCGGCCTCAGGTGTGCAGTCAACTGTGCGAGAACACGGCAGGCTCGTACTTCTGCAAGTGCGCACCAGGTTACGTGCGCTTGCCCGACGGGCGCACGTGCCGGCAGAACAGCGGGGTGGAGCCGTACCTGATCTTCTCCAACCGCTACTACGTACGCAACATGACGGTGGGCGGCGGCAGCTACACGCCTATCCTGCAAAACCTCACCAACGTGGTGGCGCTGGACTTTGATCGGGTGGAGCGCCGTCTCTACTGGGTCGATTACGGCCGGCGCACGATCGAGCGCATGTTCCTCAACCGCACGGGGCTGGAGACGGTGATGAAGCATGATCTGCCAGCACCGGAAGGATTGGCCATTGACTGGGTGGGCAGGTGAGTGGTGTAGGTGAAAAACCGTAAGAAAGGCAATGTCTTATACTTACCAGGTAAGGCCTACTGAGTTTTTTCGCTCTTTTTTCAGACCTGGCCACAAATGATAGCTCAACGAGGTGGCTGATCGAGTGGAAATTTTTGTAGCAGCCAAATACTCGGAATGTCAACGTGTCTCCTGGCTTAAACTTGCATTTGGGTTGTAGCCGTCAATGTTGGCAGCCATGAAGTAGTGGTGGAAATTCCACGTTCTTAAGGCATGGGCCAGTCTCTGTAGGGTGATTAATTATCCTACGAATAAGCCAGTTTAATGCAATTGATTTGACTAAACCATTCATGTAATTCCAGATTAAAACGATACACTTCTGCAAAACATTTACCATTTCAGTCCACTCGTAACTTTATTTTATGTTTCAGTCAAAACAGTTGCTTTAAACAAATGCATAATCTGTATCTAAGGCTACTGTTGACAATTTGTGCAATTTATTTACCCCAGAAAGATGACAATCTAAGTGCACTCAGAACTGGTAACCTCCAATTATCGAATCTAACACTGCACCACTAAACATGCCTTTTCTCTCATATATTTCTTACCTCCTCAGGTTTGACATTGAACGTTAAATATTTTATGGCTGTAATGTGTTTCTTGTTGACCGAGGTCAACCGTACAAAAGAGAATTTCATTCTCAATGGGCTCTCACCTGGTGAATTCAACTCAGTTATTTTGTTATTGGAACCAGAGCTACTTGACTGGAACATTGTGGCCAGTTGCAAAAGGACCCTTAAGCATTGTGTCCCTTAGCTCTGAGCAATGCTTTTAATGGTAGCCTTGGAGAAATGTCAACGTACTGTGTCTTTAAAAACAAGCCACTTGCGTGGTCGTTATCCAGGTTTTTGGATTGCTCTGCTTGTTATCCCGAGAAGATGTAGCGTGTGCATACACCGAACATTATTTAAAACCAATTCAAATGTCACCTTTTCTTTTTTTATGGTTAATGCAATAGTGTGATGTATAATAACGTTGAACTAATTCCCGTGGAAATGAATCTACTACACCTGCTATCTTGAGATGCTGATGGATGTATGCGTTAGAGCAAATTAAATTGCTGCTGCCGTTAACTGATGTTTTTCTCAGCACAGAGACTGTATAAGAACATGACTACTGCATGGCATTGTTTGCGGGTGTGTTGGATAGCTATCACGATGTGTTTTCAGATTGGACCGCGTGTTGTTGGAATGATGTCCGATGTTTCGCTCCACGTGCCGGGAACGTCTTTCGGAACCGAAGAAAAACACGCGGCACAACCCGATGCACACACATCGGATAACTATGCACGACACAGTGTTCTTCACTGGCGGTCCCTGGTGGCTTTTTAGTGCGGCCTCTGACGTGCGGCCCACGATAATACACAAAGAGTGAAAAGGCCCCCATCGTGCTGCTGTCAAACCCCAATGGTTTCAAATGTGTGAAGGCCCTCACACAGTCACACTGATGATGTTTTATCGGCTAAAGTGAGTCCCCCTCTGAAAATTCGTGAAGAACACTGATCTCCCGAGCACTCCTTGAGCTGACGTTCGGCCTCGTGACCGCCAGGTGGCGCGGTCGTTTGTTATTACGCTCGCGCAGGACTCTTCATTGTTCCAAAGCCGGTTTTCCATCGCTCTCCCGAACTAATGAGCCAAGGCCCCCTCTGTTCTCTGTACAATACTGAGTGATCTAACGGAGCCCTGTGGCTGTAGGAAGATGTACTGGGCGGACGCCGTGCTGGACTGCGTGAACGTGGCAGAGCTGGACGGACGCTACCGCAAGAAGCTGCTGTCGGGATGCGTGGATACCAACCACACGTACTGCCTGGAGAATCCACGAGGGGTCACACTGCACCCCAGATTCGGGCGAGTGCACGCACAAGACAAGAACTCCCATATTAGCGGACGCAGACTGGTGGGGAACGGGGCAAGGGCTGTTAGCGAGCACCAGTCAAGGCCTGCATGGCACACAGCAGGATGGGTGGGGCCAGAACCACCCTTGCCAGTACCAAGTAGAAATGTTAAGGCTAAGTTGACCTAGGGGAGGCCCATAATTGGTTTAGATATGACTCTCCACGGATGTTAGCCATGGTTGGAAATTTATGTCAGCTCGCCGAGTTCGTGGTGTGCCACATGGTACCACTGATGCATGGTTTAAGGCACATGTGCCTTGAGATTCATGGGAAAGTAAAGCAACCACATTCTTGGAGGCTCAACCGGGACACATGGTGAGGAGTCTGGCAGCCCCATCCCTCTCTCCGTAAGCCCACCCACTTCACGTAGCCCCGCCCACTTCACGTAGCCCCGCCCACTTCACATAGCCCCGCCCACTTCACATAGCCCCGCCCACTCAGCCACTGGCCCATCCACTGGGCGTGGCCTCGCTCTTTCTGACATTGGCCCCACTCACGACTCAGGTAGCCCCACCCTTTGCCTGTAGTACTATCTTAAGTTGACAAAATGCTAATTTTCACTAAAGCTTCTGGACAGCGGAACCACCATTCTGTCCCGGCCAAACCAGAACGCTTGGTAGCTTTAAAGTAGATACATCTCATACTCTCAGGTTTTTTCGATAAAGTCACGTGACTTTACCGAAAAAACCTGAGAGTATGAATTCTTGCAGTCACGAAAGCTTCAAATCTAGAATAGATACATCTCAGTTTAATGAAAGTAAAAATTTAGCAACCTTTCAGAAACAAAATCGGAATGTTTTTATATATATACTGGAGGAATCCGATTAGCTATAAAGCTATTTTTCACATGTCAATCCACTGCTGGAGGATGGCCTATTATTAGAATAAAAATGTATTCATATACTTTGAATCAAGGTTTTACAAACCAACATTGCCTCTCTAATGGCAACTGTTGGTGCCATGAACTGTGATCAATGTGATTGCAATGTTGTTGATGCGCAATGTGTCTGACTATACCGTGTTAAACTTCACGTGCAGCGTATTAGATTTACAACTAATTGCGTCCTAAAAATATATATATGTATATCCTGGTCATGAATATTATGTAACATTTTTATCCATCTTATAAACGTTCTGAATCATTTTCTTTATATATAAAAAGGCACTTATTCAAGCAATAGTTTTTTTTATTTTAATTATAGTTATTTTGCGTGTTTGCATGTTCTGGAGCCTAGGTGGCGGAGCCTATGATCATATACTTCAGCGTGAGCAGGCTCCCACCATTATATAGTTTATTCCAGTCAATGGCCCATCACAGAAACCCCTCTCCAAAGTCGAGAAAGTAATGGCAGTGTGCGGAGCACTATCATCATTATCATTATTGACGACTAGGTCGGTGTATACTATAGAGCCATTGGTGTCTTCGCGTGAGGGATGTGGCTGAAGCATGTGCCAGACTACACAGAGATGGGGTCCAGCTACCGTCTGTGGCCACAAAAATTATGTGTAGCGTGTTTCAATTTGTCTCTGTTTCCTCGTCTCTCATGTTCTTTCTTCGTCTCTATGTCTCTGTCTCTCGGTATTCCCCGTCTCCGTGGTGCCTGTGTTTTGGTTTATATATCTCTCTCTCCCTGTGTTTCTCTGTTTCCTTGTCTGTGTTGTATCCCCGTCTGCTCCCGGCCCTGCTGCGTATTGTATTTACATCCCCCTGCCTGTTGGGAGTCTCCTTGAACCCCAATCTCTCATTTCGCACCTGTCTCCTTTCAATCTATTACATTCCACTGCTATTGTTTAGTAAATTTGTAAAACAAAAATATATGTGTGTGTATATATGGTACTATGCTCAGTTTGAACTCTTAGTTTTTGCTAAGCAAAAGTTAACCACCACGATAAGACACTCATCGTCAGATGAAAATACATTCAGCGATAACTGAACCTTACATTGTGTGTCTGCAGGTACTTGTACTGGACGGACTGGGGAAACACGCCGTACATTGCCCGCATGGGCATGGATGGAAAAAACAAGTCTGTTGTGATCAGCACCAAGTTGGAATGGCCCAATGGTCTCACCATCGATTACACCACGGATCGCATATTCTGGTCGGATGCTCATCTCAATTACATTGAGTAAGTGTGCTAGCCTACGTGACCTCACGCAATTAATACCCCTGGTGGGGTGGAATGTCAGGGCATTGATATTATTCCTATTGCAAAGATGGGTCTAGATTTGTGTGGGGGGTATATAAAATATATGATAATAGCAATATCGTTTATCTGTCGATGATTAAAAAAATATTTATATCTAAATGACTTCCTGCTCAAATGAGCATTGAGGGGGTGCTTATCTCCTCTTGGTACCCCTTAGCCTGTGGTGGAAATTCCACATTCCTGTGGTGGAGGTGGATCCATCCTTCCCCACACATTGGTGCTCACTAGCATTGACCCCAGCGAGAAATGGGTGGAGTCAACCCCCAACCGGGATTTTAACTTGCAACCTTCAGATTGCGAGTCACCCACTCTCCCACTGAAAGCACCACCCATCAAATCTGAAGTGTTCATCAGGAGATTCTTGCATTGGGATATTTGTCCATTTCATTTTAAGTGGTGTTATCTCCAGACCACCTTGCAGCCAATTGGGATTTGGAGTTATAGCTGCTTCACCAACCCCTTTTGAGCTGTTTGACGGTCCTCTCCATGACAGATACTAAATATCGCAATAGATGGAAGGAATCTGTCCATCTAGGGCATTAACCCTCAGTTATGAGGACAGCACTCAATCAAATAGAACCCTTGCATCCAAATAGCGAGACTGCAACCATAATCTCATGCATTTCTGTTGCCGTGAGTGTACGTGAACCCGTAAAGTGGCCGCCAAAGTACGGCATTGATTGCATCTGCTTTGCTTCCCGAATGCAAGGTACGCAAACCTAGATGGAAGCCATCGGCACACAACACTGGCGGGCTCATTGCCGCACGTCTTCGCGCTCACCGTCTTTGAGGACACGATCTTCTGGACTGACTGGAACACGAGGAGCATTGAGAGCGCGCACAAGTACACGGGCGAAGGCCGCACCATGCTGGCCAACACCACGCACCGGCCCTTTGACATCCACGTGTATCACCCCTACCGCCAGCCGCCAGGTATACTCCATGAGGGCCTTGTGAAGGACACCTCCCGCCCGCCCGTCCGCTCGCCTGCCTGGCAGAATTCTTTGTAAAATGTATATGTTCACCCCCGATGTAGTCTGTGTGTTAAATATGCATTACATTAATCTGTGTAAGCATTACTGCTTGATCTGTCATCAATTTCCCTACATGCAATTTAAATCAGTGACAGGTTGACCGCTTTGTGTGTGTTAAATGCTTACCTTGCATATTTTTTAATGACAGTAAGTACATTATCAATTTCACTGACAATGCACACTTTGCATTCACTTGCACTTGAATGAGCAGAGTCTACAATTAAATAAATAAAAATTGTATAACTCTTCCACAACTCAACACCTCTCATGTAAAATAAAATAATATTTATAACAATATGACAATATCAGTCATAGATTTTGTTACATACTTGCATTCGTGTCATCTATTAACATGTATACAGTGTGAGCTAGTGATATAAACTAAAATAATGATGAGAAATTATAGAGATATCAACATTTATTTCAAAGCCTCTGCTTGTCTCCCTCCAATGCCAATACACTCATAAATCTGTTATCACTCTCCTTTGTGAGATCATATATCTGTTATCACTCTCCTTTGTGAGATATGGAGCCTTTGCTTTCACAATCTCCAAGCACCTGTTGAAAAGAAAGCAAGAGGGCCGTTTTTTAAATTAGTGGGGCATCGATAAATGGGATACCCTGTGTAAAAAGGGACGAGATGTTAACTCCCTCGCCTGGTGGCTTCGATCCCGACTCTGATGCCTATATATTTGGAGTTTGCATGTTCTCCCCGTGGTTGTGAGGATTTTTCTCCGGGTCCTCCAGTTTTTTCCTCCACATTTAGAATCAACATGCATTGAGAGTATTTGGCTGCTATACATTTCCACATGATGATAAGCTACTCCGTTGAGCTGTCATTTGCGGCCAGGTCGCTTCTGAAAGAATTGCTATAAAGTTCAGTGGGTCTTACCTGATAAAAAAATACAAAATTGTTTAATAAATATAAAAAAAAGATTACTTCATTTGTTTCTAAACTTTAACTGAATTGACCGCAAAACATTAACACGGCCTCAATCAACTTTCCCCACCCTCCGTCCCTCCTTGCGGCCACCAAGTGCCCAACCCGTGTGGCAGCAACAACGGCGGCTGCTCCCACCTCTGCCTGGTGGCGGCCGGTGGCGCCGGCTTCCAGTGCGAGTGCCCCGACGACTTTGCGGCCATCCACGTGGGCACGACCGTGCGCTGCCTGGCCCGCTGCACCAGCACCCAGTTCCGTTGCCAGGACGATGAGAGGCAAGGCCGCAGAAACCACAGAAGACAGCAAAGCAACCGTTACATACGGTGCCGCACTACTACACTGTGGAGAAAGATACCGTCGTAGTAAAAAAGTGTTATATTTTCAGAGTAAAAAAAAGTTATCGTGTTATCGACACGCCAGAGGTTGAAAAGAGGTTTGTACAAAAAGTAAGAGAGGCACAGATGTAAATCCAACACCAGACCCAAAAACAACAGTAACATTAAATACAAATCAGCAGAGTGCAGTGTTAAGGAATCTAAATAACAAAAATACAGATACAGCACTAATTGTGCGTGTGTCTGGTGTAAACACGTTGTATATAAAGGTCCAAAAACTAATTAATGTGTAATTGTACAGCTCTTTGTCAATTTACTGCTGAATGAAGGCCTTTTCAATTCCACATCAGTCATAGGATTTCCTCGACCATACACCACCATGTTGGTCAGAGCAGGTTGAGGCGAGGCTCAAAAGAGGCTGTCTCTGGTGTGGACCAATCAGTTTCAAAGACAATGCATATATTATCAGAGTACGTTTTTTGTTTGCATTCTGACCACAAGTATTGTGGTTAATGCAGACATGATTCCTTGTAAAGGTTTCAGTTTGGTGTTTTAACATCTTAGCACCTGTTTTGTTGCCAGAAACAAGGGGACAACCTATTCTCATATTTTGGTACTGGCAAAGGAGGTCCCATGATATTAGTTTATGCATTTTCCTAGATATTCAAGATATATAATGGTTCACTCCACCTACAAAGTTATACGTTGTCATGTTTAGTAATATTTTGATAGAAAAAAATGGAAATGTCTTCCCTTGTGCATCCTGAATCTATCGTGGCTGCAAGGTTTCCATTAATCAATGACATACAATATATATGAATTCAAAAACATCGATTTGTTGCATATATTGTGACTGTAGTAATCGATTTTAATCGATCAATCAATTAAACTTTACAAGCATAATATTGTCTACTCAACATTCAGGATATGCACAAGACAGGCAATTTTTTTTAGACTCTTCACCATCAATTATGGGTCAATACACTGCTGGCTTAAAATCACGAATATTAATGGTGGAAAATATTAACCAGATCAGCTTTGCTGACAAAATAGTCACTATGACGTCCAAAATGTGTGGTTTTTGTCTCTGCACTTTGACAGGTGCATCCCGATTTGGTGGAAGTGTGATGGGCAACGGGACTGTCGCGATGCCTCGGACGAGCCGGCGACGTGCCCTCACCGCTACTGCCCCATTGGGCGCTTCCAGTGCCGCGACGGCAACTGCACCAGCTCCAACCTCCTTTGTAATGGCAACAACAATTGCCCCGACGGCTCGGACGAGGAGGACACCCTATGCTGTGAGTTGCATCGCTTTACCCCTGCCAACTGGCTAACTGAACCTCGAACGCTCGCCCGTATCGCCCCAACTGCACGCTCCCTCTATCTGATGCCGTTCTATGTTGCGTGTGTGCACGCACAGTCAACCACCGGTGCAACAGCAACCAGTGGCAGTGCATGAATAAGCGCTGCATCCCAGCGGCGTGGCTGTGCGACGGCGGGCCGGACTGTCAGGACGGCAGCGATGAGGACTCCGCCACCTGCGCCGCGCGGCACATGCGCCCCGGGGCAGTTTCGCTGCAACAATGGGCGCTGCATCCCCCGCTCGTGGGTGTGTGACGTGGACGACGACTGTGGGGATGGCTCTGACGAGCCTCACGACACCTGCAGTGAGTCCACAACACATTGCTGATCTCGTCAAGGAGCATACTCCATCACGTGAACTCCGGTCATCATCACAGCAGCGGCTTTTGGGTGGCCATCAGATGCGCTCTGTGGCCGTCTGGAACGCTCTTCCGATACTAGGAAGCCACTGGAGCTATGCACTTTTAATCTAGATTGAGAACTAATATCTCTAGAACTGCTTTTTGTGTTGAGTTTGTTGTCCTTCCCCTGCACCTCCGATTAGCACGGTTGGCTACGTACTGGTATGAATGAAGTTCAACATACGTAAATACATACATACAAACATACATACCGTCGTCTGCTGCGCACTCTGCCACAAAAATGGCACGTGCCTGCGAAACACACTTCAATCCACTGCTGGATGAAGGCCTTCCCAAGCCATCACCATCCCTTCCGATCCTGCTTTGTAACAATCCACCTAGCACCTGCACACGAGCCGATTTCAGCACTCCATCTCCTCTGTGGATGTCGTCTACGTTGTGTTCCGTCACTTAGCTGCCACTCATCGTTATTCTACACCGTTATTCATCATTCCTCTTAGCGAGCACAGTTAAACGAGCGATATAATGATTCATCGATTTAATCATGTAAATCAATACCTCAGCTCACGATACACGTGTCGAATTATGCGGGAAAGAGTATATTATATATTAACTGTGCAAGTCATACACAAATCGTGTGCAAATGGTACTTTTAAACTAATAGAAAAAACAAGAAAGAATAATCAAGCCTGGACAATGAGGCAGCTCAAACAAGACAGTATAAACCAGACAACAATGATAATCAATTCTTGAATAACATTTAGGCTGATACTTGACAATTCATCAAATTTCCTGGGGATAAATCATTACATGCCTCTAGAGGAAATGCCTTCCATCATAGGTAAATGACAAGCTTATAGAGGCATCTTCCCTCTTGGGAAGAGGAGTGGTGGCGTGTCTTTTGTGCTGCACTTTTATTCCATTTATTTATCTAGATACATGAACTCAATCATAAATAAGTGCCCAGTTATATAAGAATGAGGATAATGAATTAAAAGTAAAAATGTAGTATCCATGTCGCTGACAATCCACTTTACAACTGGAAGCAAGGGAAAGGACATATCGTCAGCACTTGCTCTTACTGTGCTCAATAACTGCATTGATGGATCCATTGCCCTTCTCAAAGTTTCTGTTCGATCATCGTGTGCGTGCAGTGGGTCCGAGCCACCGGTGTGACAGCCACACAGAGTTCGCCTGCAGGACCAACTACCGCTGCGTCCCGACGTGGGCTGTGTGTAACGGCATGGACGACTGTCGTGACAACTCTGATGAGCAGGGCTGTGGTAAGCTCGTGTAATCATCGTCAGTCATGCTCTTTCCGCTGTTGGATGAAAGCCGCTCCAAGCTGCTGCCATTTTTCATCACCCTGCGAGGCAACGATCCATCTTGCACCTCCACATGAGATGAATTTACTGCTGCATCTCCATAAAGGACATCCTCTTGGGAGTGTTGTCTCCTTTGGCTGTAATTCTGTCATTGGTCTCAACCATTGGCCATCGTTGATGTGTCCTGCCCAGGCCCACTTACTTTGCTTCACAATCACAATGAGGTTTCTAACCTGCACATATCTCTAGTCCTTGTGCTCCTGTTTCCGTCTCTCAGTGGAATCCAAGTGTACACATCTTCATATTGCTTTTCGCTTTTCAGTTCTTTCAAATGTCTTTGTCAGTGTCCATGTTTCTGATCCATATTTGACAGTAGATAATATACATGGGTTAAAATGTTATTTTTTCGGCACATTACTATGTGGCTTTTGATAATTAAGTACAATTTTACAAAAACACTCCAACTTGTTCTCATACAGTACTTTATTTCGTAATGTTGATCCCAGTCCACCTTCAATAACTGCCCTCGGTATGCGTACTCTGATATGGTTTTCAGTTGTGACCCTCCAAAAGATATCTCCAATAGTTTAGTGAACGCGTTGAACATGACCTTTGCTTTGCTCGCATTTATCTCAATCCCCACTTTGCAGCCTTCTTTATTCAGCTCCTCCATCATGTAATTCGTTTCCATTGAATGTCATAAGACTCATTAGCAAAATGTGCACTGGTTTATATATTTTTTAAGTATATTTATGCGGTTTTTTTCTCCAAACCAATTTTTAGAAAACGTTATCTAATGTCGTGGCAAATAACATTTATGAAAGTGTGCGTCATGTTTAATTGCATTCGCGATTCATGCTTTTCATCCATCCATGTGAAACTAACTGGATTCCACATATGGTGACCTCCTCGAATGATGAGTGTTTGACCGACAGCTGTTCTCCGTTTGTACTATGTTACTAGCGGAGATAACTTGTGACCCTCTGGGTGATTACCGCTGTGACAACCACCGCTGTATCCCACTGCGATGGAGGTGCGATCGATACGATGACTGTGGCGATGGCTCTGATGAACGCAACTGTGGTACGAGAAAACCCACACACATTAAAAGGTTGCAGTGTTTAATTTTTCCAAACAATGTAAACATTTTCCCATTTGATATTTATTGGGTTTTTTTTATTGGGGAACTAAAATCATAATAATCATAAAAAACACATAAAAACAATACAATTAGCTCACTTCCGAAGAGTGGCTCTGTGGTAGCCCTACTCTGTCTCAGCCATCGATCTCTTCCCCATCTGCTCAGCCCCAAGGCCATGCTCCGAAAGCGAGTTCCGCTGCACAAACCAGCGCTGCATCCCGGGACGCTGGGTCTGCAACCATGAAAATGACTGCGGTGATAATTCAGACGAGCGCGACTGTGGTGAGAGATCCAGCAAACATTCACCACTCTGCGTGTCAGTAACGTTTACCAATTATGGACAGTTCCGACATAAGTGCACATCATGCAGATGCACATCTGGCCTTAGGCTAATTAATCACTTAACTCTGTTTAGTCATTATCGCATTACCGCCTTTTGTGTGTACTTAATGCGAATTTAATGTATACGTGTGTGCCAAGTGTGCATTTAAGATTCTGATGAGTGTTTCAATACATGCTTTTGTATACAGCCTGAGTGCATCCACCACCAGGACTGGCAAGGTATACTATATTCCCAGGATGCCACCATGCAGTCGTGAAAAACTTCTCTGGAAATTATGTAAATAATCATGGGATTGGCCATGCAGATATTGATCCAAACACCAGTTTTATATATATAATTGTATTCGTTTATTGCTTTGTTATGTTTTTGATGGAGAGGACCTGCCCCTGTGGTTGACACTTTGTTGATTCGGCAGACTGACATGCGGTGTGTTCCTAACTGTTTGGTTGCCGAGCTTGGCATGTCTTTCTGGCCCATTTTTCGTGCCTTGCTACCAGTCCCGTAGCATGCCAGCAGGGCATGGTGTGCCTGTACGCCTTGAGCCCCTGCAGGTTTTGATCGGTGGGCCTGAGCCCAGGGACCCGGCAGTGCTCAAAGAGCCTTGCCAGCATAAGGTAATTGCTGCTTTTTAAAAGCATTATGCCTCTCTAGGGCAGACAGTCCTGTGGCCTGCAAGGCCTTTGCGGACATTGCAAAGATGGCGAGTTTCGTGATTGATATGGGCATTGATTAGCAGAGAGTAGCCAATTTATCAATGGCACCCTGAATGGTTGGGTGCAGATCCCTCTGGCAGAGAGAGGACTTCCCAGAAAGTCTGAAGAAGGTGGACAAAGGAAGATCCCCACCTTATTTTATAGGCATAGGTGGAGGTAAGGTGACCTTCCAGAGAATTCTTCTATGCATGACTTAGTGGCATCTGGAGAATATAACTAACAGTAATAGCTATGGGTGATGCCAAGGGAGGAAAATAACTAAATGTGTACGTAAGTACGAAATCATACATTGGTCGCAATTTGTAACGCAGAACTGCGGACGTGCCTGCCTGGCTACTTCCAATGCGGGAGCGGTCACTGCATCCCTGAGCGCTTGAAGTGCGATGGCTCTGCTGACTGCCAGGACTTCTCTGATGAGTCTTTGTGCCGTAAGTATCCCTTTCCCCGTTCAGCACACTAACATTCTTAGGCCAAGTGTGAACTGTCTGGGTTAGATAGGAAGGTGTTGGCTTGTGGGTGCACAAGGAACAATAATGTGTTATAGAAGAACTATGGAGGATGATAAGCTGACGCCAACATACTTTAGAGTGATTAATAACACATTACTGCGGAGGGAGCTGGTAGAAACGTTGGGTTGCTCGGTCAATGGCCAGGGTCAACGGCGGCGTGGTGTATTCCGCAAATATGGCCGACGTGAATAGGTTAAATGTTGCGTTTTATAAGGGCACCACGGGGTGACCAGCCCCTCCCCACCCAGCCCCACCCTCCCCTCCCCACCCAGCCCCTCCCCACCCTCCCCACCCATCCCCTTCCCACCCTCCCCTCTCCACCCAGCCCCACCCCTCCCATTTTTGGATGCACGACGGACGGACGGACACAATAATCCCCTGTGGGCTGGTGGAACCAGGTGGTTCCTACCAGTATAACGTTTTCTTTACCTATTTTAAACACTCTAACAGCCTTTCCACTGTTTTCGGTGTGTCCTCAACAGCCACGCGCTATCCAAACGGGACGTGGTGCCCACCATCCTCGTTCGAGTGCGACAACCACGTGTGTATCCCGCCCTCGTGGAAGTGCTGACGGAGACAATGATTGCGGCGACGGCTCGGATGAGGAGCTGCACCACTGCTGTGAGCCACAGCTGCCGATCTATCTACTCTTGTGCAAATTTCCATCATCCACAAAATGTGGTCCTATGATCACGAGAGACATTGAGTGATCTGTGGAGCCTACCACTAGTTTCAGCATGTCTTACACACAGGTCACGCATCTTATTTCAAGGGTCATCTCTTAATGTCAGTCAAATATTCCTCAGGGTGATGGTCTCTGTACATTTATGTAGGAGGCACATGTGGAAATTATGCATTTTCATTGCACAAAAAGGATCCCAATAGATATAGACAGACCCTTCCACAAATTCTATAGCGGACAATTGTACGTAAGCCAAAGTTTGTCTTCATGTTATTTTATGTGCTGGTGTAATTTCGTTATGTCCCTGCGTCACCCTTGCGCTGACAGTGGACGTACCTTGCCATCCACCCGGACGCTTCCGCTGCGATAACAACCGCTGCATCTACAGCCATGAGATCTGCAACACCGTGGATGACTGTGGAGATGGGAGCGATGAGACGCCCGACAAATGTGAGCAAAAGCTGCAGACAATAATGCATTTTGTTTCTATGCCTGCAATTTACTGAACTTACCAGGTTGCGCCTCCTAGTACACTCGTGAGAGATTAACATTTTACGTTACTCAGCCGCGATACGTTTCTCTGTATCACTCGTCAATGTTGATTGGCGTGGCTGCTGATGATGATAGTAACAATCTTCTTGGTTCTTTCGGTAAAGTCACGTAGAAGGGAAATAATAAAATAATAAAAATAAAACATAATAAAATAATCCTCACGACGTTTCGGCCACAACACAAGCAGCCGTCTTTAGGTGAAGACCAGGTCTGTCGGGGAGACAGCGTCTGAATGAAACACCATCACGCTGTCAGACGCTGGATCCCCAACAGACCTGGTCTTCACCTGAGGACGGCTGCTTGGGTTGTGGCCGAAACGTCTTGAGGATTATTTTATTATGTTTTATTTTTATTTTTTATTATTTCCCTTCTACGTGACTTTACCGAAAGAACCAAGAAGATGAATCCCTGCAGTCACGAAAGCTTTAAATCGATAATAACAATGTTCAACGGATTCTGAAACGTTACCAGCGTCGGGTGTAACGCCCGTTGTCTGTGCGGCAGGTAAGGAGCCCACGTTTGCGCCGTGCACAGAAGAAGAGTTTAAGTGCACCAATGGGCGGTGCATCCCGATGGCAGCCGTCTGCAACAACTACAACGAGTGCAGAGATAACACCGACGAGACCGGATGCAGTAAGTCTGCACGTTATTGATGTGTCCGTTGGGCTGCTTTCTCCTAAGTCAAATAAATCACAAATTAGCATCGATACGGGTGCTCGTCTCCTGTTTACAGCAGTGATGGGAATTCCACGTTCCTACGACAGGAGTGAGTTTATCTGTAAGGCAATTACTGTTGATAATACAGTTTTTTTTTTAGGTTCGGTTGCGTAAATATAAATGTGTCCTTAATCCCCACTGCCACCCAACATAGCCAATTAGTAATTAGTAGCGACCTAACCCGAGAAACCTGTATTATGGATGATATTGGTCGTGAAAGCCTACATGTTAAACTAACCACTGTTGACTTCCACACAAAAAGGGGTACTTGTTTTTTTTATTAACCCTGAGGGGATGATTTGCAAGAAATTGAGATCTCTCAACGACTGGCTGAGCAACCTAACTGCATATAGCCAGTTCAAATGGGTGGGGGATTTCATCTTACACCTTCTCAACCACCCTTTCCAAAGTCTATTGCTTTTTAAATTCAATTTAAAGTTTTCATATTCTTTGGGTCTTTCGGGCAAGTCACTGTAGATAAGTTGAAATAAAATAACAAAAAACTACGACGTTTCGATCACAACGCAAGCGATCGTAATCAACCTATCTACGTGACTTGACCAAAAGACCCAAAGAATATTAATTCCTGCAGTCACGCAAACTTTAAGTCAAGATTTAAAGTTTTCAATTTAAAAGTTTTTAATCTAACCTATATAATTCTCTTTGTTTTATCACAAAGACCAGGGACAGGACCGAACTTGCGCCGAGCGGATTTGTGAGCAGAACTGCACAAACTTACCTGAGAATGGATTCATTTGTTCCTGTCGACCGGGCTTCACGGCCAATGCTGAAAACCGCAACAACTGTGATGGTAAAACACGATTGTGTTCATAGCAGGGGGGGTCACGAAATTACTTTCCTCACAAGAGAAACACTCAATTCACGAGCAACGTAAAAGGGAGAAAAAACTAATTCGCATGAATAACAGAGTTGAGCAGAACGTTCACACGGTATTCTCTTATTTTGGACGTTACTTTTACACTCAGACGAATGTCATTTCTAGGATCAATGCATTTTTTTTTGTAAAAACTGTTATTCGTGTGTTAACCAGCACCATCATAGTCACTATCATCATCATCATCATCATAAGTTTCAGCAACATGAAAGAAAAACTAATATTGGTGTCACGTGTATGTATTGCTGTGGTCTTAGCTGCCTCTGGTGTAATCCAGCATTGAAGACATAAGCAGTGAAGAAGAGTATATTGTACTTTTAAAACCACATGATTTCAACCATCCATTTGTGCATTGCTTTGTTTTCATTCCTGGGCAGATGTGAATGAGTGTGAAGGTGTTCGGAACATGCCCTCAGGACTGCCAGAATGCAAAGGGTACTTACGAGTGCTTCTGTGTGGATGGCTACCACTCAGCTGCGGGCAGCTACGGCAAGCGCTGCATTGCCAACGGTGAGACACGTCCTGCCAAGGGAAATCAGCAAACAACTGACGTGGCGTGTGGTTTCACTCCAGTAGTGGAACATGCAGCATAGTTTCCATTGCATCGTTAGAATCCTCTTTTTTTCCGAATTTATATTAATGCCAGAATGCATGATTGGAGTCATGGTTAGCACATTGGACTGGAAAACCAGTGGTTGCCAGTTTGTTCTCCCGGCGTAGGCAGTTGAAACAATGGGCAAGTTTCTTCAATCTCATCTGCCTCTATCCATCCAGCAGTAGAAATGCATATACAACAGCCAATCAGCAGGTTGCGTGTCGTGAGGCAATGTGTGGGGGTACTCACACTTCTTCTAATTCGTCCGGCCTGTGTGGTGAGCATGAGGACAACATTTAATCGAGATGGACTCTCTAGAGCTCCTTCTAGTGCAGGCCCTTCTGTCAGCCATGGCTTGAGCAAGCCATTTGAAGTCTTACACCTTTACCCATAATTCCATGCTTCCCGTATTCCAATCCTCATGATCCACCACTATTTATCTTGAGTTTACCAATTTACCTCTGTTAATATAAGACAATGTTGAGCAATTGTCAGGCACAGGCGGTGAAAAACATCCCATGCTCTCTACAATTAAATTCAATTAAATTTGGCACTCTACAATTTTCAGGTACTTGTAGTGTGTACTGGTTTATTGATACATTTGATAGTTGTACCATAGTTTTCATGAATAATGGATTTTTGGCAAACTGCCATAATATCACTCCATTTAAATTGTTAGATGTGATTACTAAAGTGTATTTGGAGTTGCTCATTGATGTGACAGCATTTACTGACTAAAGTGCACCGCCGTTCATTGCTACAGATAATTCGCCGCTGCTGTTGCTGGCTGACAAGGTGCGTGTGCGCAAGTACGACCTGACATCGCAGAAGCAAGCGGATTACATATCTAATGAGGAAGACATCCAAGCCCTGGACTTTGACTGGGATCATGATGGCACAGGGCTCAGTACGGCTCTTTCCACATTGTCACGTGCTCACCCTGATGTGCTGTGTGCAGTCGTTATTACATGAAATTGTCAGTTGGTAGCAAAACAAATGATTAAATAATCATATTACTTTATCGTATTTTTGTGGCTTTGTTTCTGTAACTAACCTTGCCTTTTCTTCTTGGTTCTTTCGGTAAAGTCACGTAGAAAACAAATGATTAAATAATCATATTACTTCATCGTATTTTTGTGGCTTTGTTTCTGTAACTAACCTTGCCTTTTCTTCTTGGTTCTTTCGGTAAAGTCACGTAGAAGGGAAATGATAAAATAATAAAAATAAAACAATAAAATAATTCTCACGACGTTTCGGCCACAACGTAAGCAGCCATCCTCAGGTGAAGAACAGGTCTGTCGGAAAGACAGCGTCTGAATATCTTTCCGACAGACCTGTTCTTCACCTGAGGACGGCTGCTTGCGTTGTGGCCGAAACGTCTTGAGGATTATTTTATTATGTTTTATTTTTATTATTTTATTATTTCCCTTCTACGCGACTTTACCGAAAGAACCAAGAAGATGAATCCCTGCAGTCACGAAAGCTTTAAATCGAAATTTAACCTTGCCTTTCTTCATAATATTTTCACAAGTAGAAGGTGCATATCTGTATTTCTTTATCTCCCAGGTATGGTGTACTACACTGTTTTGAGGAGTGGCGGAAAGTTTGGCTCTATTAAACGTGCTTACCTGCCGGCATTCTCCAATTCCAGCGAAAACTTGGCAACTGGCATCAACCTGGGCCTACGTTACATTAGTCAGCCAGATGGCATTGCCGTGGACTGGGTCGGGAGGTGAGTGTACAGTGTCCGTGGAGAAAATCTCCTTTCATATCCACCTTCGTATTCTCCACACGGGTAGTGAAATGTGACTTGACAGATTGACGATGCAGAGTGTCGGTGCCTTATCGTGTTGACGTATAATTATTTCTGTACCTATGACAGGCACATCTACTGGACAGATGCACAAACAAGCAGGATTGAGGTGGCCTTGCTGGACGGCAGATACCGAAAGCAGCTCATCAACTCTGTCTTAGACAAGCCAGCGGCAATTGCCCTCAACCCCAGGCTCGGGTATGGAAAGCTGATTTAATACATCGTATTTTATTCTTCATTTAATAAAAAATAAAGTACATGTAGCATGGAAGAAATATCATCTTCAAAGGAAGATTTAATTCAAATAAAAATTCTGTATCTCTTGTGTTTTATATACTTAGGCTGTGTGTGCTGGGTTGTCTGACTTACGTTTTGAAGCTTTGTAAATTAAACAAAGGAGCATTTAAATTTATGTCAGGAGGACTCGAGTGATATCACTGCAATGGTTTTGTATTTGGAAATATGAAATCCAAGTATTTAAGAAGTTAATATTACTATGCTCGTTTTATATGCCTCCATAAAGTGCAGTTCAGGATATGTGAATGACGCTCAAGGCTTGGGGAGACCTCCATCCAGTCGTGGATTTGAACATTGCTGACGATGAGTTTAATGGGTTTTTTTATCTTGACAATTGCGTGAGATAATTGGTTTTTACCCTTCTATCTGGCAACAAAACTGACACCTTTTTTACAAGGAGTCATGTTTGCATAGACCACAATACCTGCAGTCATAATGCAAACTAAAAATATAACTCTGATAATGTATGCACTGTCCTTGAAGTTGATTGGTCCACACCCGAGACAGCTTTCCTTAAAGCCTAGTCTCACATGGGTTGGACCAGATGACGCCAAAAGGCGTACAACTCAATATTTTTTACTGGCAAATGAGGTTCCAATGGTGTAATTGCGTGAGAGTTGATGTTTTTTTTCTCCTCGCGTGCTTCACAAGGATGATGTACTGGACTGACTGGGGTGTGGTGCCCAAAATTGAGATGGCGTGGATGGATGGCCAGCAGCGCCAGCATCTTGTGCAAGGTCTGTTGGGATGGCCAACAGGCCTAGCTGTGGATCATACCAACAACGGTCGAATCTATTGGTCTGACGCCAAGGAGAATGTCATCGAATCTGTGAAGCCTGATGGAGGAGATCGACGGACTGTCATCTCTGGAGGTGGGTCGAGGAGAATTTGGTAATTAAATAGCAAAAATAACAAATTGCTCTGAAGCAACACTTGGAATAAATGAGCAATATTTTCTTCGTAATTGTTATGTTATTAAATGTAAATTGCCTATGAGCAAATCACACTAATTGTGCCTGATTATCATCAGATGTCAGAAGCTAAGCAGCGTTGAGCCAAGTTGGTACTTGGATGGTTGACCAGCAGGCAGGGCCGGAATAATATTGTGTAGGCCCCTGGGCTACAGGTACTGTCGAGGCACCCAGTAAAATTTTCAAAAGGAAAACAAAGTTAAAGAAAAATAAAATTTACTTTTACAAGGCTAACAACAAATAAAATTCAGCATTCACAAGTAAAATAACTTTTCACTTCATCTCTGGAGGCCCTCCAGCTGGCGGAGGCCCCTGGGCTGCAGCCCGTCAAGCCCCGTGCCTTAATCCGGCCCTGCCAGCAGGGCGTGCCAGGTGTTATAGGCGTGGGGCTGCGGCAGAGGTCGCAAACGGGTTTTGATTCCTTACCCGTACCCGTACCCGGCCGCACCAGGGTCGCAAATGGGTACCCGTACCCGTACCCGGCCGGGTACGGGTACCCGTTCCCTACCCGTACCCGTACCCTACCCGGCATGAGTGACAAATGGTTACTCACCAGTGACTCACGGCCTACCCGTACCCGTACCCGGCTGCACCAGGGTCAAACGGCTACCCATACCCGTACCCGGCCGGGTACGGGTAGCCGGGTATCGGGTAGGGTACGGGTAATGGGTACCCGATTGCGACCTCTGGGCTGCGGTAGTCATGAGATGAAAGTACTGAGTCTCAGTCTCTGGTATATGTAGGGTTGTTCCTGCTACTTCGCATATCCTATCCCATGAGACCAAACACTAATTCATGGCATTGGCAAAACATCCAAATACGGGACCCTCCTAAAATAGTCTTGGGATTCGGTGAGACAATTCTTGGTAAATAATGGGCATTATTAGTATAAGGAAAATGCCACAACCAAGACTTTATCTTTTTGCACGAAATAATAACAGGTGTTTGTTAAGTTTTATGTCTTCTTGGTTCTTTCTGTAAAGTCACGTAGAAGGGAAATAATAAAATAATAAAAATAAAACATCATAAAATACAATTCTCACAATGTCTTACGTAAGCATTCAATTAATTGATTCTTTAAAGTTTTTGAGCGTAACTGAAAGTGCTATATATTTGTTATCCACTTTCATAGACCTCGGAAACCCATTCACGCTGGACGTGTTTGAGAACAATGTGTACTGGACCACACGGGAGACTGGACAAGTCTGGCAGCAGAACAAGTTTGGGAGCGGTGTGAAGAGCCACATTCTCACGGTCAACTCCTGGCTGTCCCAGGCGCGGGTTTTTCAGAAGCATCGCTACAATATCAATGGTGAGTGCCCCACCCGTATGCTTGGTCGTGTTCAAAACCAATTTCAGCCGTGATCTTTGCCTCTTTTTTTTCTAATAGCGTTTAATCTGGCTGGTTTGCTTAATTTGCACGATTAAAATTTATAACGCGTCTGAATGCAATAACATTACAAGACGCTTTATAAAAAAAAACTGGATTAGAGGGGGGGGGGGATAAGTTGTAGGGGATGAGTTAGGGGTCAGGCCAGGTAAACAGGGGAAAGGAGAGAGAGAGCAATGCACAGCCCAAGATGAATAACCGCAGATCAGCATCAACCGTACGGACAAGCCAGGGTGTTGTACATTTATTTTGTGTAGAATGCAGAATATCACACACTTTATTATTTATATATAGTAAAAGACTGGTATATTTATCAAAATTGCTTTCTGTAAAGCATGTTCGCAACAGTGACACTTGTGAAATAAGACTACTTATAACCAGATCAGAAACCATTTACATGTCATTTGTTTTTTGAATATATATTAATGGACATCGTGTAAAGTACATCTGCATGTGACATGTCACCCAAATATTTTTCTGTTCCCTGGCAGTAAAAAATCCATGCAAAGGCACCTGCAGCCACCTGTGCTTGCTTCGACCACAGGGATACACCTGTGCCTGTCCCCAAAATGCACAATTCATTCCAGGCAGTGAAACTGAGTGTGATGCTGGTAAGTATGCTCCATTGACGGGCTGTGCATCAGCACCCGCTCGCAAATGGAATACGCCAAAGATTCGCATTTGCAAGCATTTTAAAATATTTTAAGACTTTTGTGTTGATGCTATGAAGCATTTTCTTGGATGTGATGCAATAATATGCAGCGCAAAACAAATTAATTGTTCGGACGTGCTCTAATGTGTTTGACAGCTATTGTGCCACCTCCTACGATGCCACCTGCCTGCTTCTGTGTCAATGGTGGGACCTGTTATTTCAGCAGTGATGGGAATGCACATTGCAGGTTTGTGACTGGGATTGTCCCGTCTCTTAATTACCCACTTTCCGTGATTATTTAGTTTTAGCCGATGGCATGACATGTGATGAACGGTTAGCTGTTGTAATGATTGAGTATGTCTTCGTTATTCTTTCCAGATGCGTGTCAGGGTACACTGGGAACTACTGTCAGATGTCAACATTTATCGGACTCATATCTTCCTCTGGTGAGTCTCACTAGATCTGTTCAGCATCATTTCACGTTTTTGGTCACACACGTAGACATTATTAACTGTTGATGCAAATGTTGTCTTTCAGTATAAATTGTTATGTAGAACCTCTAAACATATTCATACAAATATCCATTCACTTGCTGTTGGGGTTTTTCCCCCCTGTTCACTACTTTGCAGTTGTGGCTGTGATTGTTATTATGGTCGTCATTGGTCTCATCGGAGGACTGCTCGCGTTTGCCCACTTCAATTACAAGCACAAAGGATTGCCTTTGCCACTGCCCAATCTCACCAGGTGAGCTGTCTCATTCACTTACATAACACCCACCGTGGTAATGCATCTGTGCCTTGTGCCTTGTCATTTATTTATTATGTATTCACACGTGTCCATGTGTGCTCTGGTAGCATTGTCAGCATTTTCAAGTCACAGAGAGCAAGTGCACCTGAGGCTGAGAGGGGACGAGATGTCTACGTAAACATTGAGAGACCCGGGATGAATACAGACGCTGCTATTAATGCAGCCTTGGAAATGGTAAATGTTTTGATTTGTAACATTATTATTATTATTTACATGTGCTTGTCTGTGAGAGAATATAAAATAATACATTATGTTGTGATTATCACATTATTCTTTTGATCTTTTTACACCTTTTTTACATATGCATAAATGGTTTCAACGAAATTTCAGATGCTGTAAAGTGTTAATTCTTTATTTTCTTTACAAAGGACAAGAATATGGCAGATGGAGGGAGGCCTCCAGTGAATTTTGAAAACCCTTTATATGGAGCCCATGCTGATGCTGAAATGCGCATCTCCAGACTTCCCAAGGTCAGGTTCTCATCTAAAATTGCAATGATTTCATCAGAATCCAGCCATGATCTATCCACTGCAGAATGTATGCCTTTGACTTATTCCCATCTCTCACAATCTCACAGATTCACCAATCCCATATAGCTCCCACACAGGAGCTGATCTCCTCGTTCCATTTGTGTGGTCTTGGATGTGTTCCCACCTTTGGCTGCCACTTCATCGCCAATAATGACGATCGGCTATAATTCGTTCGAGCTGTTTGTCTTATTTAAGCTCACTTTTCTTAGCAGTCAATGTGATGCCTCTCATTTGTACTTTTTTCTTTGATCCACGTGGCTCCGCTTTTTGTCTGTGTAATTCCAAGCTTGCATCAGCACGTTTCCCACGTTTCCAATCCATATATCAAAGCAGGTTATAAATGCACTCGTTCAAACAGTTATTCCTTCGGCACATTGGTATGTTACTTTTCATTCGGAAATTCCAAAAGCGCTCTAATCTGCTCGAATATTTCATCATTGTAATCCAGGTCTGCTTTCAAGAACTGCCATAGGTACATATACGTACTCTGAAAATTTACAGTTTCTTACAACATTGGTTTAGCAAACGTATTATACTAGACTTGTATTGCTCACTGTATCTGCAGCCAAACTTTGCAACCCATACTTGTTAAGTTATTCGGTAATTTCCTGTAAATGTATTTCATTTTGGCTATGACTATGTCATCAAATATATGTGATGGTTAACGTTTTCTACGGTAAATATAACACCTTTATTTCTCCAATACAATTTTCAGAAAAAAATCTTCGAATGTCGAATTTGGGCTATCGATTACATTTTGAAATATACTCATAAAAATAAAATCATTATGCCTCATGGAGACGGATTCAGTACTCTAAGGGCTGACAAATGAAAGCCTGAATACAATATATTTAGAAGTGATCATTAAAAACAAATTGGCAAATATGGAAAAGCTACACTGAGATTGAATTACATATTTATTTGTATACAGTATTTATTTTTACGTTTTGCTTACAATATATGGCTGTTATTTGATAGTGTGCAATAGAAATTGTAAGTTATTATCATCAGTGAATGAACAGGGGATGATGATCATGATTACACTTACCATTTTGAACAGCATCACGTGCCTGATAATGATAATAACAACATAAATCGACTGAGATAATGCATCCAATAATTTATTGACTCGAGGGAAATAAATTGAAGGGGCTGAGGATGCACAGAGTGCCATGATCGCCTATTTAGCCCCCTTTGGTTTTGTCTGTTAGGAGCTGATTCAGACCAGAAATAATGTGAGATGTGATTTGTAGGAAATGGTGAGCTCTGGACAAATGGAGGGAGCTGCTGCTTCTGAAAGCCTCGGCTTTGCATCAGAGGCCTCAAGTACAGCAGATGCTGCTGCATCACAGGTATGGAGCACAGATGTGTGCATGCAAATCCACACGTGCACCAAAAACATGAAGTTCTAGATGCACTCAAGGCATCATAACTCTGATCTTCATTGATGACCAGAAGCATATTTTATTGGACAAGATGCATCTATTTTGATCTCCCTAACATTTTCTTTGCAATTTGGAAGCTGTTTCCCCAATAAGCCATAGGTGTGAATCCACTCGTCATGTTTGCCCATGGAACAATCAAGTAATTGGCGTAATATTGTCAATTCTTAAATCTCAACAAAGGCTTCTAATACTTGACTGGAAATGTATAAGAATCCCCTGTAAGGATTTCCCTTGTCAGATTCATACCCACTGGAAATCATGTTTCTGTACCTCAATGATTACCCTCCCTTTAGGATAGCAAGGGAAACATCCTTTCATATGCTATTGATCCCCAAATCCTTTAAGGTCCAAGACAGGTTTGGAGGTATAATACCTCCCATAGTTGAGGGCAAGTGAAAGGAGATGCATCCCACGTCAGATACATTTTCTAAGACTGGAAGACAAGCACTTGCTTGAACACAACCAATGCAGTCCATATATACGATTCAATGCACATCGCAAGCCTATTCATCTTCATTTAATTATTAATTCACCCTTTTCTACTCAAACCATGCTATGTTATCGTTATCCTTTAGAGCCTGTGAAAGCGCCTGTCAGTGGTAATTGTTGAAATTTTTAATATAGTTATTCGCCAGAATAAATTAAGCTGCATTATTTCTGACAATTATGTTTTCAATATTTCATTTCAGGAAAAGAAGAGGTTTAGCTTCTTTGGGAAGAAGGAGAAAACTGAGAACAATTTTGAAAATCCGCTATACTCTCAGGTAACTAACTGCACTGCACAGACATCGATTTTTTTTTTAACACGATGTTAAAACGGAAAAACAGAAAACGCAACACTGCAGGTTTTACCTCCAATTATGTTTTTATACGCACTCACATTTTTTAATTTGAATGAAGTATTTTTTCTTCTTGATATAAACAAATAATTTATAAGGCTCACTCTGTAGTTTTAAATGTCAAGCAAGCTGCCATCAAACAAATTTGGTCCTTACCTATTGTCACTGCCTCAGGCGCACACTTGTTTCATTGCCAGACAATTTTGTATTCACTTTCAAAGTCATGCTGAAAGAGCCCAAGACCTGCGGTCCTACATTGTGTGAGCATTGTGAAGATAAATGTATTATTTTTTGGTGAAACATCTTCAGTGTTGCACGAAGTTCAGTTTGTAGCGACATCATGAGGAGCCACAGCTGAAGTGAAATTCACCAATATAAAGGAAAATATTTTATTGTGGATATTAACCATTTTAACATTTTTTTTTCCCCTTCAGAAACAAAGTGACCACGAGGGAAACACAGGCGACACCTGAAGCTAATCTGTTATTCGGATCCTCCGATACACTGGTCACGTGTCAGGGACTCACAAAGAGGTTAGATACTTAATACATTATTAGGCTCACAATGATTCACCTCCCCAGAAATTTGATGCATAGTTATGATTAATTGTCATGATTCAATCTTGACTCAAAGCTTTCGTGACTGCAGGAATTCATATTCTTTGGGTCTTTCGGTAAAGTCACGTAGATAGGTTCATCTGATGACGACCGCTTGTGTTGTGATCGAAACGTCGTAGTTTTTTGTTATTTTGTTCTTTGGAACCTATCTACGTGACTTTACCGAAAGACCCAAAGAATATGGTCATGATTGAATTTAATTGATCGGAATTTTTTCCGTCTCATTTGTACTCCATCCTTTTTTTTTATCTTGCTTGTACAACCATGTTCACTCCTTAGCCTGAACGTAACGGTACCATATTAGTAGCAATAGTTGTGCATCCTATACGATTATAGTAAACTAATATGGCCAGGATTCTAAACATTTATCGTGAGTGTAGGAAATGAATTTTAAACCAATGCATCATTACATGCTTAGATAAACATTGGTAAAAAATGCCAAAGAAAACACCAAAGCGAATTGTGTCTCTAACAAATGTAGTATTTCGATGGTTTTTTTACAATGTTCCTGTCAAAGCTAATTTGTCAAAGTTAAGGAATAAGCTTTTTTTAATGATTTTTTTACCTCTAATTTATTTTACATTATTTACATATGTAAAACCAGACTAAGAATCACACACCTCTGTTCTATAATTTATTCTTCCAATGGCTCACTGTTAATGCAAGTCTGTTATTTAACATATTAGAATAGCCACCTACTGCTGATCTTATATCTATTTTAATCCAAATGTAATTGTGTAATTATCTCACACTGAGCCAAGTGCCGATAACCTGAATGTAATGTGTACACTGGCTAAAATCTTTTACAATTTAATTTCCTGTTGATGATGAAGACATGGAGACATTTGACCTCCAATACCGAAGTGTTGACTACTGATTTGCGCAGTTGTGGGTGTTTCAGCTGTTGTTCTTATTGTACCTGTGACTCATTTTGCGAGGCTGATTAACACGTAAACGTTTAAATTATGCACTACTGCAGTGTTTGACGTGCATACAAACTGTGAACAATTTTGTAAAATACCAAACACTATACCCCCTTCTCACTCTCAAAGTCTGGTATGATGACGCTTTGATTTTGTCGCGGTTGGGGGGGGGGGATGATAGGTTTTCATGATAAATAAAGTGATTTTCTTCCAAAACATTGACATGTCCATTTCATCAAAATCTTTAATTACGGCATATTTTTTAAAAATAAAACTTTGCAGCTTTTGTGTATCCAACCTGATGGTGCAATGTTGCTTTAATAGTTTATTAATAACTAGCTTTTTTGCCCGTCCAAGGACGGGTGTATACTGCAGTAAATCTTAAATATTCAATAGAAAAATTGTTCAGCTCATGATTATTAATGAGGGGGGTTGCCCCATGTGGAGTGACGTCACCCCCTCATGGTTATTGTGGAGGGGTGCGGCATGTGGAGTGACGTGACCCGCTCATGATTATTAATGAGGGGAGGGGTGCGGCATGTGGAGTGCGCGACCTTGTGCTTTAGTGTAAATTTCCACGCAGGCATGAATATTCTTGAAGGGGGGGGGGGGTCCTCTTTTGCGGTGACGTCACGCGGGGGGGGAGGGTGGGCCTCGTGGAGTGACGTCACGGGGGGGGGAGGGTGGGCCTCGTGGAGTGACGTCACGCGAGGGGGTGGGCCTCGTGGAGTGACGTCACACGCGGGACACACATTCCTGGCTTATAGTAGTAATTCTGGTGCATTTTTATATTTTGCATGTGTAAATACATTCCGAGAACTGTGTTGTATTTTGCTTCAAATGGAGTATTCTGAAATTTACCGTGAGCTGTACTTATTCAACATTGATTTGGAAAATTACTTTGGTTGTAAAAGACTATAATGTGCAGCCCCCTTGTCAATCCACTGCTGAATGAAAGCATGCCATGCCATGAATTCGTGATGGTTGTTTCACCAAACTTCACCATGGCGGCCAGTACGAGTCGGTGAGGGGGGCAGAGGGCATGACCGGTTCAGTTATCACTGATGTTAGCCGTGGCTAGCAATTAAACTCATGTCGCTGTGTTTATTACGCAGCGTGCTAACCACTGCACCGCCGCTGTTACAGTCGCCACTAAATCGTATATCACAGTGCTTTGGAGAATATGCTGGGTGGATCATACAGAGATTTGTGAGACTCCTGAACCCACTGGGATGTGGCCAAGCGAATGGCAAATAAGGTGTTTAGTCTTGTTGAGAGGACGTTTGAGTTGTATCCCCTTATATGTGTGGATTTTCTCCCGGTACTCACTTTCTAACGTAATATAACAGTACATGTATCGTATTTTTGTGTTTACGTATTGCATAATTTTAATCTGATCCCTTTTTATCAGATAAAAGGACTACCGTATCAGATCTGTGGAGTTGCAGATCGGATGGGTTCGGGAATGGATTTTTGTAATGAACTGTTCCACACGTTCGTTGAAAAAAATAACGGAAGCATGGACCGCTGATGCTTGAGGACACAAAGCAGAGAAGCAAAGTGGATTCAGCAGCATTTTGGTTTATAGTCAAGCCTTTTGATCTGTTTCGAAACTTCAATGTGTGTTTTTTTGGTGGGTGCTCATGAACCAAATGGAAACCCTGCAGTCTTCCTCATAGACAAGCACAATACAGATGAAAGAAATACTAGAAATGTGTACCAACATACGATCATTTAAATGTTCTTTTTACGTTCATGTGCATATAAAACGTGTATGTTTTGTTACATTGCAAGTCGCAGAGCTGATCAATTACCCTGACAGCGTTATGTGTTGAAACGGTGGCTTCACAATAAAGTAGGCGCTTTGCAGTATGTGGCCATTGCTAGCATAAGCATTCATGTGGCATTTAAACCGGTCCGAGCCACTCTTCCCTCCCTACTTCATCAACTCACGTTGACCAGCATGGTTCAGTTTGGTAAAAAAAAACTATGACGAACACGGAGTGGAGAGAACTATCTTGCTGCATTTTGTAATGTTTTAAGTGTTACAAATGCTAAAGAGAGCTAACGCACCCAGCCAGCATAGCAAGATTATTAATATGATTTGGGTCTTTCGGTAAAGTCACGTAGATAGGTTCAAATAAAATAACAAAAAAACTACGACGTTTCGATCGCTTGTGTTGCTTGTGTTTCAATGGAAATGTAGTTTTTTGGTTATTTTCTTTTAACCTATCTACGTGACTTTACCAAAAGACCCAAGGAATATGAATTCCTGCAGTCATGAAAGCTTTTGCCCTTTCATCATACAACACCTCTTATAACGTTGATTAATGCGAGATTATTGCTTAAACTGTACATCTTATTAACAAAGCTTGCACAATTCACTATTCTCTGTCTCGTTGGTTTTGACTTTGGAAATTACCATCACAAAAAGTTATTCTACGAAACACAAACTTTCTAACCGTGTGTGTTTAATGCTCTGATGTGCATATAAAAGTGGAAGAAATATGGTGAAACTAGCATTCGAAGAATTATAATTACAATAATGTATTTACAATTTAAAAAAAATCAAGAATGTTAAATATACGGGCCATTATTCTAATGTTTTCACTGAAACGTGATTGCTTCTGAGCTATATTCGCCATCTGCAGTGAAATACAGTTCCTGTGCAAGAATTGTTCATGCAAAAGACTTCGTTGATTCAAGATGATATTAATGTAATTCAAATAACAGTAGAGTATGTCTCTTCTTAGGACTGCAGGATCAGTGAATCACAGCTTCCGTATGACTATAAATGTACAGTCTGCCTCTCATGGGAATCACGGAATCGATTTTTTTTTTGTAAACTGAGGCGTGTTTGGGGAGCTGATGTCCTCAATGCTCTGTGGATATTTAGATCAGATTTGGTGTGTTCATGGCTGTGGCAGAAAAGAACACGATCGCTCCATCTACCCATTCCACTCACGACCCATCCTAAGCTCTGCTGTATTTCCACAATGATTATAAACGCTAGACCATTTCTGGATTGACCTGGCATGATTCAGGTCTTTTCCCAATGTATGTTTCCATGAGCTTCGTTTCTTCCCGCCGCTGTATGTATTTTCTATATGCTGAATTTCTTTCACACCGTACGTCGCCAATTATACTACCTGCTGCTCTTCCTCTACCTTCTTAATCAGGTTTAACTTACACTTTTATTAACTTATGCTATCCAAAGTTAAAATGCATCATATTAGAATATTTCTGCCATATTTTGTTTTGTGCTCATTTTATCGACAAGCATAGAATATGTACTACAGATTTAAGATACAGGACTGCAAATTCCAAGAATTCAAGGCACCGATTAATTATAACGTGTCCAACCAGATGGCTAAACAGTAGAGCAATCTCGATTGAAAACTCATTTCTAAAAAACTGATTCAGTTAGTTGTCCTTCCCCTGCACCTCCGATTAGAATGGTTGGCTACAAAAGACAAAATAAGTTGAACATATACTGTACATACAGCAACTTTCAGTCTGGTTGGGGTTTGACTCAGCCTCTAATTTCTCGGGGATTATTAAAATGAGTATTACTTCGTGGGGAAGCCCACAGTGATCCTCTTGTAGATTGACTAGCCCCCCCCCCCATAGGAATTGTGGAATTTTCCATCACCGGCTCAGGGATCTAAACAAGAGATGAGCACCGTCTGAATTCCCATTTGAGCAGGAAATCACTTTGACTTTTTGGCTTAATCTATGTATAACCTTGCACGGGGAACTTGCTATTCTGAAATACACGCGATGAATAAATGTTTATTCGATTTCTATCGTGAGCACAAGGCTTGTAGAATGCAGCGATATAATTCCAAGTTTGGTGTACAGCTGGTGAGTCGTGGATTTTAATGTGGTTTAACGGCATGCATGCTTCAACATGTCAGCCGAGTTGTCATTTCTAATATCACACAGGCCAAAAATGTCAAACATATCGCCGCATCTGAATATGCACATGTCAAGCCACAAACGAACAATGCTCAAACTTCACAGAGATAAGTCAGAAACCAGTGTCACCTGTGACATTGGATTGGTATCAAATTTTACATGCGGTTTTAAACTGTAAATGGCATGTAAATGTGGTAAATTTTCTTGCCATTTTCATGGAAATAAATATAATGTACGATTAAAGCTCCCACCACACATGAGCAACACTTAATCGTCTTTTCAAAATGGGTGTCTAAATATTTGAAAACTTTCAATATACAGGTAATGTACCCTTGCATGTCCTCTTTTGCTGACTTATCGTGGAAGTTGCCCCGTGAACATGCAACTTTGGGGCCAACGTTGTCATTCGGTTGAATCTGTTGGACCAATGTTCCGTGTTTACTGGGTGGATGATTTCATGGCGCGAAGATGTGGACGGTGTGCCATTCAATCAATACACTGTTCCATTAACGGAGTTACAAGTGAGCTTATTTTGTTAAGTAAGACTGAGCTTGGAGCTTTTTGTGAGGCCATAGAAATTCTGTACGTACTTTAGAAAACACAGAAATACGGACCCTGCTTTGTAAGTCTTGGAATAATCATTAGGTCATCTCGTGACATTTCTTCAACGAGTCTCTCTTTGCAGTTGACACGCAGTGGAGGCCGACCTTACCATGGCAACCACGGTGAATGTGTTGCCGTGAGACAACATTGATCATAAAGACTCATAGGTTATAATTTATTTTACCTTCATTGATTGACTCAACTGTCGTAAAACTGATCAAAAATTAACACAACTAACAAAGCGTTGTGTTGCTGTTATGGACTTACCTGAGAAAACTAGCCACATTGATCAAACGGTTACTCAACACTTTGCAAACATAATAATCAGTTCTAAAAGGGTTCATATTGCCAATAATACCGCCGTATACATCATCAGCCACAATGTATCCAGTGCAGGATGAAGGCTTCTCCACATTGTTCACCATCCCTTAAGTTCAAGTAATTTTATTTCATTTATTAGGTATAGCCCTGTGAGCCATTCGGCTCTTGAATCGGGTGCAACCGCAACAAACAAAAAACAAAAACATGAACAAGAAAACATCTTAAAGTGACTATGTGCAAACAGAAAATCCAAGAAAAGACAGCAAAATATTGCAGAAAAATAGAGTTAGAGTCTGGCAATACCACAATCCATCTCGTTTCTGCACACGAGCTATAATAATAGTTCCTCACAACAACAAGGTATAATATGAGTC